ACATGGTCAAGACTCGGAAGATGTCTAGCGTACGAGGACGAATTGTACTTAAAGCCGAGGTTTCGGTTACCAAGGGATTCCAACTTTGAGCCAGATTTATCCTTCAGTACTACACACATAGAGCGTTAGAGTGTAAATCTCCCGCCTCTATCTTCCTCCCCATGTCAGTAACGTAATAGAACAGCAAAAGCTACTTAATACCATTGCTTACATACCGATGACCACGTATGTGGGGATTTTTAGTTCAACTTTTAGGTGAAGCTGTCTTAATTCCAACCGACCGGCTCCGGTGATTACCTGTACAAATTGCAAAATTCAACAATTCAATGGCCCTTATGCAAATGTATGTAGCGTTTAAACCCCGAAATTTGTACTTCAGTTGTGATGTCCATGGAGTCTCAACTATCTTGAAGACAGTGGTGTGAGAATGGCACAATGTATTCGGTGTTTTCTTGTTCCTATTTTATACAACTTGTGGGAATTGATGGCACAAGCTTATCTAACGACAACGCGACACATTACAATTTATCTGACATTTCAACCTGATCACATCTTACGGTAACCGTGTAGTTGATTGGAGTAAATATAATGGCAGATTAACATCACAGTTATCTCGAAAACGTGCATTCCATTGTGTTCTGGGGCTCTCAGTGTTGTGCGCATCTATAGCTCGCTGTCCATTTACATCGTGATGAATGGCCAATATATAATTACCTCATTGATTGGTCTCTGCAAACCAATTAACTGTCCTCTAAATATGCGCAGAGAGCGCTTATATATCGTATCTAGCAATAGTTGCTCAGGCAATATCCTAGCTTAAACTACAAGTATGACCCAATAAGTTGAAAGGTCACTCAGGGATTTTTTGTACAGCGTATGTGATTTATAGGTTTTTTTTGAAATTATGCATATTATGAGTTTTATCATATCAATTCAAAAGATAGTAAATTTAATTCAATATTAATTTATAAGACGCAACTTATTAAGCCAAGAGCATCAAAAAACCTAACAGAGCTAGAGTAGATGATCCCAACCGCAATGCCTCACCCTGGAAAGTGCTAACTTCTGGAAAGGTAGTGCCTTCGACAGTTGAGGTGGCTGCACTAGTAGTAGTTTTGGAGGCACTTCCAGATGTCTTGGTAATGGTGGTTGCAGACTTTATAGTTTCTGTCCCATGGGCTTCAGTACCAGTGGTTTCGGTAGTCTCCAGTGTAGTGGCTTCCTGTGTATTGGCTTCCTGTGTAGTTATTGCTTCAGGTGTTGTTTCCTTTGAGCTCACCACCACTGTTGTGGCAGTTTCAATTGGACAGTAGGTTGTGTATTCGGTGACCATACCATTAACAGTTTCAGTTACAACAGTGATACCAGTGGTAAAGACTCCGGTAGTACAAGATTCTGTTTCACAAGAGGTAATTGTGACCACTGTTGTTTTATCAAGAGAAACGGTAGAAGTAGATATGTTGCTGAAACTCATTTGGGTAACAATTGATGAATAATCCGCAGAAATATCAGATGCAGATACGGAGAGAGATGACTGAGCAGTGGGGGTCACCGAAGATGTAATCTCTTCAGAAGTAACTGCTGAAGTGATCTCGTCGGTGGAACTGACAGATGAAGATGTTTCTTCTTCTGATGAAGAGGTTGAAGATGTTGAAAAGTCAGAAGAGCTAGAAGAGTCCGAAGAGGTTGAAGAGTCAGAAGAGTCCGAAGAAGTTGAAGAGGCAAAAGAGGCTGAGGAGGCAGAAGAGGTTGAAGAATCAGAAGAGGTTGAAAAGTCAGAAGAGCTAGAAGAGATTGAGGAAGATGACACAACCACATTTGGGTTGAAATCAGTGATTGAATTACCATCAGAATCAACTGCAAGTATTTTAACTTCGATCATATCGCTTCTTCCAGCTGCAGCATTGACAGAGCCAAGCACATAATCACCCAAACCTTCACCATTTGGCACTGCGTGAAAGTCAGAGTCATAGAGCTTTAGGTAGCTATCTTCAATAGTGAAATTGTAGGACACAGACCAATAGGAAGAGCTAGCAACTGTTGCCAAAAAGTTTCTCCCAACACCCATTGGTTTTCCATCCACTATCAACTGACCGTCATCATTAATGTAACCTGACATTGAGTTTTCTGCTTTGGTAATATCAACACGTGAACCAATACTGGACAGATAAAATCCTTCAACAAGCGTATCAGATGCCTCAAGGACCATGTTGAAAGTACTGGTTGCAGCCAAGATGGTTGTTGAGAAGATTGTAAGCAGAATAGTTAAACGAGTGTAGGTCATTTTGTTATAGCCAATAATGATATATTCTTGTACAGCAAATGGGACAATATGGGATCTCTAGCAAGATCTGAGCGGGATTGACACCTTTATATACACATATGGCTTAATCAGGCTCTTGCTAAGGCTAAATATTTGCTCATTTTGGAGATTTTACACTCTTCTGCAAGCTATAGGTAAACAAACAACGCCCCATACACGCTATAATCTAGGTGTTAGTACTGTAACATACCTGCTGAAGGCATCCGAAAGGGAAACTTCTTTTACAAATATGGCTAAACTTGCTCATTTTCACTGAAATGGTTCATTGAAATGATGCAAGAAGTCCTGAGGACGAACATCGTGTTTGAGTGAATATCCTTAGAATCTTGTGCACACCAAGATCTAAGAACTTTGTGATTGAAGACGACAACGTAAGATGTGTCTGCTGGATTCGTTATGAGTTATATATGAGGATAATCTTACAAGTAAACATAGTAGCCGTGTGTGTGTTTGAACGCATACCTTCATGTGTCTTTAATCTACCTATTTGTACGTACAAAGTTATTCAAAGTTCAGCTCCTTGCTGGATAAAAACAATACAGAATACAGATCTGGTGTGTTATGTCCTATTCATGATGCTAGCAGCACTGAGACTTACACGCTTGGAGAGTCCTGGAACGTACAAAGGTTATGACTGTGCGCTATGAAACATGCCAATCTGATGCTGTAACAAGGCACAAGTCCCAGGGCCTGTGGAGCACAGCGACCTTGGACTACCAAGGCACTGCGTCACCTCTAAACAGCCAAAATACAAGAGAAAACGGTACCCAAGCATCTACAATTTTGACGTGAGCATTGTTACATATCACGGCCTCCAACCTGGTCTCTTCCCAAACTGACCATGGCTGAAACACCAAACCATCCATCATAAACGCTGAGGAGCTCAGAGTCAACACCGGGAAACTACAGCTCACGCCTTCCCAGGGTAACAAGCCTACAACGGTGTGGCATTCCTCACAATGACCAACACACACACACCCATATATATTCACATATACTTGTTAACAACTACACAGATGAGCCCCCACGGGCTCTCATCTCAGAACTACGCACTAGGGGTCTCTCCACGAAACTCCCCCGTCGCAACGGAAGCCCTCGGCGCCCAAAGATGCACAGCGTGCAAAGCTCAAAGCCCTTGCCCAACCGTGAACACCCACAGTGCTTTACACAGCTCTTAGACTGCCAATCATCGTTGGTGGAGTTAAAGGGCACCAGAGCCCACTTGCAGCCCAGACATTCTACGCGGCCTCAACTTCCTAAAGTAGCTGGGCTCCGCGCCCGGATGGCCGTGGGTGCGGATAGCGACGGCCGAGGAAGCACGGGCTGAACCGTAGCAACGCAGGGCTTAAGAGCTCATCATTTATATGTTTATAATACAGAGACATGGATTTGTAATGCAAACAGATCTATTATGTAATTCAGCAAGTATAAGAGGTGTGTGTTTTGATCTGTTGGTGGTGTTTGAATTGTATGGTGGCTTGTATAGGAGGCCATTTTGAGTAGTTCAGTGGAGCACAGGTAATATAGAACACAGCATAATGTCCGACCAAGCACAGCCATCTGGTGTTGTGGATGCCGCTGAACGTGTTGGAAGTGAGGAGCCGAACGAGCTGAGCCGGTACATCACGGGCACTGACATTGCACGCTCCATCATTGGCATTGATCAGCTGACCAAGAACTACACACAGACGAGGAATGACGAGGAGTCTGGTGCTGAGAGCAGCGACAGTACGAGCAATGAGAAGGCCACTGGTGCAACGCCTAGCACTGGTAATGCTGGAGATGGAGCTGCTGTTGCTACTGGAGAGGGGCACCGTGGTGCCCCTGCACAGAGAGTCAGCATGTTTGATCCGTCAGTGAAGCAGCTTCGAATCAAAGTGGCTGTGAAGTTCATCATGGTGTGGTTTATCATTGGATGCCTGATCATTGCCAGTTTCTCGCTTTACTGGGGGTCCTTGTACAACAGACAGTCGCACCTGGTGAAGGTGAAGATGCTCGTGGTGATTGAGGATGACTACATGACAGGCGTGAACCAAACCATCGGAGAGGCATACATGGACATCATCAATACATCGCTCAAACATAAGGGTGACTGGACGATTCTCAACGGAACTCAAGAGATTGATGAGTTCTTTGGACCTTATACCAACTTGACTGCTGAAATCATAGAAAGAGTGCACCATCGTGAATATTGGACTGCTACTCATGTGTCTGCGAATGCCACTCTAGGGCTTCTCAACTACTACAACGGCGAGCTGGCTACAAAGCCTATGCAAGTGCAATATGTCTATGAGAGTGGCAGAGACCCCACTGGTATGTCAACCATTCTTGCAGTAATTGAGGAACTCACACAGTTATTCGAAAGCACGGTATTCCCAACGCTTCTATCGGAGTTGCTCAGCATGCTGTCGAGCGAACAACTCTTGACGTTTATGAGTGCCAGTACAGTGAGTGTTAACCCATACTTTGGCGAATTGGATTATCGTCCTTTCTACAACTCCATTCTTTTAGCTCCGTTACAGGTTGGTCTCATTTTCCTTCTCATCAGCTCTTTCATTCTCTTCAACTTCTTTGGCCAGGTGCACGCGATACTGTTGCCTCACGTCAAGATCCCACATTATATGCTCTACAGGTTTCTTGGTAACCACATATCCTATCTAGTGCTATCGTTATTCATCTGCACAGTGAGTGCTATATTCCAGATCGATTTTACCCTGGCCTTTGGAAGAGCAGGGTTTGTCATCTTTTGGTTCTCAACATACCTCACAATGGCAGCAGTTGGTGGTGCCAACGATAACGTGTGCATGGTGATATTTGCCCACAACCCACCGTTCTTGGGTGTCTGGCTGATCTCGTTCGTCATCATGAACGTTTCACCGAGTTTCTCAGCTATGGCACTGACAAATAACTTTTACCGGTATGGCTACGCCATGCCGATGCACCAGGCCAACGAGATCTTTAAGGTGATCTTCCTAGACCTTTGGAAGGGCAATCTGGGGCGAAACTACGGTATCTTGGTGGTATGGATCGTGCTGAACACTGTGATCAATCCGTTTGTACTCAAGCACGTCGGTTCAGTGATGGCCAAGAGAGCAGCAGCGGAAGCAAGAGCAAAGGCCAATTGATACTGGATGACAGACAAAGCCAACCAAAACAGGAAAGAACACGACTGAGAGCTGAATGCAGACCCACTAGAACGAACACTCTAATGCCTAATTGGGGTGTCTACCCACCATGTCCATCAGCAACACTCCAGTGTTGCTCAAGAGATATTTTTCGTTGTTACTGCCTTTCCCATTTAAGCTTGAACCGATGTACATATTCAAAACAAAGCTCTGCGTTAATATTTAACCCCAAGTGCGTAGAGATGCCTCATGACATCTATTTTTGCAACTGGACGGACTGAGGAGTGGGTGGAGGTTACCGTTTGCGTGGTGAGAGTGCCTTTGATGAGAGTGGAAGCTGCCTATATTTAGCGCTTTTCCTTCAATACATCATACATGCATGTGTGAATGGTGATCTTTTGCTCTGCTCGGGGAGATGAGGATGTGAGTTCACTATATAAATGCCTCGAAGTATCGTCACTGCGATGTCCAATCCTTCGTTCAAGTCCTGCTGTTGTAATTCACTCGTTATATAATCATCGTTCAAGAAATGCTTTCAAAGTCCATTGTCGCTGCTTCTCTTGTTGCGTATGCTGCAGCTGCTTACGAGAACACCACTGAGATCACTACTGTGACTCACGATGTTGTCGTTACGGAGTTCACCACTTACTGTCCAGAGCCAACCACCTTCATCACGAACTCTCAAACCATCACCGTCACAGAGCCAACCACCTTGACCATCACTGACTGCCCATGTACCATCAAGACCACCCAAACCTGTTCTGATGACTGCACCGTTCCAACCAACACTGCCTCTACCAAGGCCAGTCCACCAGTGTGTACGCCAAAGGGCACTGCTGCTCCATCTTCTGGTGAGACTGAGACTGCCACCTCTACTGCTTCTGGTAAGAAGACTCCACCACAGTGCACAGCAAAGTCTGGCGAGGCACCAGGTACCACCACCACTGCTACCACCACCACCAAGGCCGCAGAAGGTGAGACCACCGCTACCACCAAGACCGTTGCTCCAGGTGAGACCACTGCTTCTGGTAAGAAGACTCCACCACAGTGCACTGCAAAGTCTGGTGAAGCTCCAGGCACCACGAAGGCTCCAGAGACCGAGGCTCCAGGCACAACTGTCACCACGAAGGCTCCAGAGACCGAGGCTCCAGGCACAACTGTCACCACGAAGGCTCCAGAGACAGAGGCTCCAGGCACAACTGTCACCACGAAGGCCCAAGTCTCCACCACCAGCATTGCCTCTGTCGAAACCTACACCGGCAACGGTGCTGCTGCGCTCGGTGCCGGTCTTGCAGGTGTTTTCATCGCTGCTTTGTTGTAAGCTTACTTATTCTTTCTAAATGAGCTCACATTATAAATATCAAATGGCCCCCTTTTCTTTATAATTGACTCTCAATTTTACTCCTTTTTGAACACTTTTACACGTAGTGGTCTCTACAGAGTGATGACAGTGGCCCATCTTCCAAATGGCAACATCTACTTAGCCTCGAACAGTAAAAGCTCTGCTGGTTCCACTGACGTGACATGAGTGAAACGTCCATTCTCGCGGATCCTCATCAACACAGCAGTTACAGAGAAAACTCCACGGTGGTCATGCCTGTCCGCGTGAACCTCCAGCCTTCTAATTTTGGCATCAGCACCACCAGCAAACACCTCGATGTACAGGCACTTATCCTACACAGCACTGGAAGCACATCGGTTGAGTGCTTGACTCCACTGTTGCACTGAGAGACGGAGAGGGGGAGGAAGCCAGCCTCTTTCCCTCCTAATCCACCAGTGTTTAGCCTACACACGGAGGTAATTCCATCTAGCTCATTGTGATTGGTAGTGACTTGATGGCACAGATAAGCATGGCAGCAACGGTGCAGGTAGTCGAAGCATGATGAGCCAAACCGATGAGACGAAATGAGCCATATGGCTCCCAAAGCCTCTTGCTGACGTCTGCGAGATGATGCACGAGTGGGTGTAGATGGGCGAATGCGGTAATATTCGCGACGTGGTACTGGGCTGGTTTTTGGCGCAGTGGAAAACACTCGAGATGGACGCACAGGGGGACGGACCGGTTCCATGTTCGACCCTTGTCTGCTCCCTTCCAGAAAGAATGTTTCTCGAGTCAAAAGAACAGGGGAAATTAACCTCATCAAATCTCATCTCATCAGCCAAAAAAAATTGATACCCCCTTTGTTGTTCTTCTTCTCTTCTACAATTTCGACTCACATCCACACGAACATTTGTACACACCACTGCGATGTCAATCACACAAACCAACCTGGATAACATCCTGCCACTCGTTGCGCGTGGTAAAGTGCGTGACATCTACGAAGTGGACGAGAAGACCTTGCTCTTTGTTGCAACGGACAGAATCTCTGCCTATGATGTGATTATGGAGAACGGTATCCCACAGAAGGGTCAGCTATTGACGCAGTTGTCCGAGTTCTGGTTTGAGTTCCTCAAGCCGTACATCAAGACACACCTTATAGAGGTGGATGACATTTTTGCCCATCTGCCTAAGGAGCTCAGCGAGGACAAGTACAAGTCACAGCTACAAGGGCGTTCGCTGTTGGTGAGAAAGTACAAGCTGGTTCCGCTGGAGGTCATTGTCAGGGGCTACATCACGGGTTCTGCCTGGAAGGAGTACAAGAAGTCCGGTACTGTTCATGGTGTCAAGGCTGCGGAGGGTCTTCAGGAATCTCAAGAGTTCCCAACTCCAATATTCACACCTTCGACGAAGGCTGAACAGGGCGAGCACGACGAGAACATCTCTGTGGAGCAAGCCGAGGCCATTGTCGGTAAGGAATTGGCCGACAAGATTGGTAAAGTTGCCGTTGAGTTGTACTCTAAGGCCAAAGAGTACGCTGCCGGCAGAGGTATCATCATTGCCGATACCAAGTTTGAATTCGGGCTCGATGATGACAACGAGCTTGTGCTTGTAGATGAGGTGTTGACACCAGACTCTTCTAGATTCTGGAATGCGAAGACATATGAAGTCGGTAAGGGCCAAGACTCCTATGATAAGCAATTCTTGAGAGATTGGCTCACTTCCAACGGCCTCGCTGGTAAAGAAGGTGTCAGTATGACCGAGGACATTGCCACTAGATCTAGAGCCAAGTACGTTGAGGCCTATGAAGCACTGACAGGTAAGAAATGGGAGTAAATTGCTCACACACACTTGCCTTTCCTCCCTCCCTGTTTATGGTCATAGTTTGACGATAATACACGTTATAATGATAAATATATATGCATAAAGGGTCGTTATATAAATGGTTCCGATGACCAAAACACTCACCAGCGTTGGTTATTGTTGAACCTTCTAAGGAATGGCGAAGGTAGCACGGATGAGTCGTCCTGTAGCACTTGAGCCTTTTCAAAGAGCTTTGCATTCTTTGTGAGTAATGCGTTAGGCTTTGGAACCGAGTACGTATCGTTTGGAGATGCCTTTGTATACTTTTTGCTCACCACTTCATCGTTGATCAATTGTAAAGGACGACGCTCAATGGAAGATCTATACGAATCATGTTCTTTCCCTTTGACTGGGCTTGGTAGTTCTTTCATCTTTGGAGTCGATTGGCCAGACTGGATCTGTTTCAGCCGGGATCTGACCTCCTTCTCCACAACATAGTTGAACTCATTCTGGTAGTTAATACGAATCTCTTCAACTTCTTGTTCTAGAAGCTCTCTTTGGTAGTTTAGCTCGTTGTTAAGAGATTTCCTTGCACGTATCAGTTCTTGTTCCTTACTCATCAATTCCCGTTCAAATTCCTTCAAGTTGAGCTCATAGTTTGCCAGTTGCAGGTCCTTCATTTGGATCTTGAAGTGGATGTCCTGTAGCAGGTCATAGGTGCCACTTCTTCTGTTAAGATCCACTTGAATGCAACAGTGTATGGCATTCTTCAACGAAGAAGAGTAATGAGACGGGATCGTAGGATAGATCCCACTCTGGATGTTCTTCTGCAGCTGTAGATGCGTCTTTGCCTGGAATGGAGGGTGTAAGGAACACAGTTCATAAACGACACAGCCTAATGACCATATATCGCACAGTGGGTCATATGGCTTATCGAGAAGCACCTCTGGCGACATATAATACGGTGTTCCAACACAGGTAGTAGCAAATTCAACCTCGTTGTTCAGAGACTTTGCCAGTCCAAAGTCACCCAGCTTGAAGTTACCATTCGCAAGGAAGATGTTATCCGGCTTAATATCTCTGTGTATAATCACCCGCGTATTATCAGTAATCTGGGGATACTCGAGGTCCCGGTAGATATTGGTGATCAGCGGGGAGTTGGTGCCGTAGTGACATCTATACAGGGCCATCAGGATCTGTGTGAAAATGTTCCAAATCATACTCTCTGGAAGGTACTCATTCGAAGTTCTGTAAGACTTGATGATCCGGGACAGGTCTCCACCATCACAATACTCCATGTACAGGTAAAGCATGTGGCGTTCTGGAATGTGCGCATGTTGCACGTACTGGACGATGTTTGGGTGGTTCAGCTCACTCAGGATCCTGAACTCTGCCACCAGCTGTGATCTCTCCTTGGGGTTCATGTGCCCATATGGTATCTCCTTTCTCACAAGCATCCGACCATCTCTTATTCTACGCACTTTCCGTACACAGCCAAAGGACCCGCGTCCTATGAGTTCCAGTACCTCATACCCGTCCTCTGAGCTCATTGGCCTAACATCGAATGTCCTTGAGACCTGCTGGCATAGGGCAGAGCCACTGATGATGGAAGAAGAGAGAACACCAGGGCGAGCTGTGATGGAATTGGTAGCGTATGCTTTGTTTACCTTTTCCCCTTTCGGGAACATGCCCGGAAGGCTTAAAGTGGGAAGTTTTCTGCTTACTAAGCACTTATGTAATCAGAGCTGAGACTCATGGCTGACTCAGGTATTATGTAAGCACGTCACGTGATCCAATTCAAAATTTCCTGACTCGGGCCACGTTACCGGGCAACCGCACAACGAAGGGGAAATTTGCTGTAAATTTGATGCTCATCTCCCTTCACATTTATCTCCAATTCCTCCCATTTCTCGCTAGCAATACTCGCAAGTCGGTAGATCGATACCACAGTAACACATAGAAATGGACTCAAAGGTTGTTGGAATTCTTGGAGGTGGCCAGCTTGGCCGCATGCTCGTCGAAGCAGCCCATAGATTGAACGTGAAGACCGTTGTGCTCGATGCTCCTGGAGCTCCAGCTAAGCAGATCAACGCACTTGACGACCACGTTGACGGATCCTTCAGCGATGCCTCTGCCATTGCTCAGTTGGCTGCTAAGAGTGACGTGCTCACTGTTGAGATTGAGCACGTTGACGCCGATGCCCTGGCCAAGACCGTGGAAACCACACATGTCAAGTGCTATCCATTGCCTGAGACTATCAAGCTAATCCAGGATAAGTATGTTCAGAAGGAGCATTTGATCAAGCATGGGATCGAAGTGGCTGAGTCTGTTGCCGTGGAGAGTACTCCAGAGGCGCTGAAGGCTGTTGGTGACAAGTTTGGCTACCCATTCATGCTGAAATCGAGAACTTTGGCGTACGATGGCCGTGGTAACTTTGTTGTGAAGAGTGTCGATGACATCTCTGAAGCCCTCAAGGTTCTTCACGACCGTCCGTTGTACGCTGAGAAGTGGGCTCCTTTTGTCAAGGAGCTTGCGGTGATGGTTGTGCGTTCCATCGAAGGTGAGGTGTTTGCCTATCCAACAGTGGAGACCATTCATGAGAACAACATCTGCCATTTGGTGTATGCTCCAGCTCGTGTTGCCGACTCTATCCAATACAAGGCCCAGCTGCTGGCTCAGAACGCTGTGAAGTCGTTCCCAGGTGCTGGTATCTTTGGTGTTGAAATGTTTCTCCTTGCCAGTGGTGAGCTCCTCATCAACGAGATTGCTCCAAGACCACATAACTCTGGCCATTACACCATTGATGCTTGTGTCACGTCACAGTTCGAGGCACACATCAGAGCTGTTGCAGGCTTGCCTCTGCCAAAGGGCTTTACCTCTTTGACCACCTCGAACACCAACGCCATTATGCTCAACGTGTTGGGAACAAAGGAGCCAAACGGTGAACTGGAGACCTGTAGACGTGCACTAGAAACACCAGGTGCCTCTGTATATCTGTACGGAAAGAGTACGAGATTTGCCAGAAAGATGGGCCATATTAACGTTGTGGCATCTTCCATGGCCGAGGCTGAACGTCGTCTAGCGTACATCATGGGTGAAACTGATACACTTGAAGTTGAACAAGGGTCTGGAAAGGTGAAGCCGGTTGTTGGTATAATAATGGGATCGGACTCGGATCTGCCAGTGATGGCTAAAGGTGCCGACATCTTGAAGAAGTTCAACGTTCCATTCGAAGTCACCATTGTTTCAGCACATAGAACTCCTCACAGAATGAGCAAATACGCTGTTGAAGCCCACCAACGTGGTATCAAGACCATCATCGCAGGTGCTGGTGGTGCTGCTCACTTGCCAGGCATGGTTGCTGCTATGACGCCTCTACCTGTGATTGGTGTCCCAGTTAAAGGCTCGACTTTGGATGGTGTTGATTCGCTTCACTCCATCGTCCAAATGCCTAGAGGCATTCCAGTAGCCACTGTTGCCATCAACAACGCCACGAACGCTGCTCTGTTGGCAATTAGAATCCTGGGAACAAGTGAGCCAAAGTACCTGACTGAGATGCAAAGCTTCTTACTCGAACAAGAGGAGGAGGTTTTGACCAAAGCTGAAAGATTAGAAAGCGTTGGTTATGAAAAGTATTAGATGGTTCTAAGTACAGGCAAGCAGAGGTGTGGTTAGTTCCACGGTATAATACTCACGATGAATAAAACTATTTACATGTACATCTCAATCGTCTTGAGGTCCAAGTTGTTATCGAGACAGAGTGACTTGATCTTTGAAGCAACCTGTTCATCAAATTTGTAATTTGGAATTCGTATTATCTTTATCACTTCAAAGGCTTTGAACCAATACTGTGATTCTAATACCAGTTTGAGCAATTGATTCACAGTTTTCGGCTTCCAAAGTTTTAAGTGTGAAGATAGCAATAAAGTCAACACCATATCCAGTTGATGGTTATCGCCAGATTTCTTTAAGCCACATATTAGCTGCCATATTGATTCTTCGTTCAGGTGTCTCTTGAGCCTTGGGTTGGTTATCAAGATTGTTATGATATTTTCCAATCTATCCACTTCAACGCTCTTTGCAATTGCCAATGAAAGATAGAAGCATTTCACCTCCACGGGGTCATTTGACTGCATCTTTATCAACAGAGCATCAGCTTGGCCTTCTCTCAAAGTCAGTTGAAATTTGTTCAAAAGGTTTGGATAGTCTATGACTTCCAACATACCCTTTTCGTGACTCTGAGATAGGAACTTCCAGCTATTTCTGAATCCATCTCTCAAGGCAAACGATTCAACCATCGTTCTTCTTAATCTTCCATGAAGTTCAGGTGTCAGTGAAGATTTCATTCTTGCTGTTTTCAGTATGGAACCCATTTCGCCTATTGAAGCATGGCGTTCCAGAAGCTCAGCTAAAGCCACTATGGTTCCATTCTCTATGAAAGTATAGCACAGCATATGGCCTAGCCGTTCTCGACAATACGCTATCTCACCTTGTTCGATGGCACAGGAGTACACCACTGACCAAGTCCGTGGATAGATTTCGTACTTGAAGAAGTCGGCAATCTCTTTAACGATACGAACAGAGTGGAAATCACCCTTATATGAACAGTGCATCATCAACATCTCCACGGTCGAGTCTCGTATCCTTAGATTCTGCTGTGATATCCTTAGCAGGAACTTCAATGCCTTTGACAGATCGCCTGTCCTTATATACATTATTATCAAGGTATTCGCACTCAAAGGTGTTAGCGATTCATCAACAAGTCTCTCCAATGTACGAACCAAATTGATATTGGAATCACAGTACTTTGACAGAAACTGAGTGATATACTTAGCCTCCTTCAAGTTCTTCACGTTGGATTGGCCCAGTGTAGTCATTATGTGCAGTAGATTCAAAATGCTCGCCAGACTCGTGTCCTCCACTCGCAAGTGGTTCAATGTTGTGATGAGCATTGAATCCTTTGTAGTTGGTCGCAGCTTACCCAGCACCTGATCACAGAGCCTTGATCTCTCAGAGACATCATCCAATTGCTCAACCAGAGACTCAAATCTCCTGGCAGTCTCCATTGTCGGCTTGTTTGAGAGGTTCCTTAGAAGAGTTGATACCTCATCGGACGATACTGTCGTGTACCATCTCTTGGAGCAGAAACGTAACATATTAGGCAAGTTCAGCGAGCAAGTAACACACACACACGAGCAAGAGTCCAAGCACACCGAACAACAAGTCACCTGGTCCAAGCACTGAGTCTCGCCGTCTGTCCTCGTCTATGGCGTTGTCGATGACTTTGTCTCTGGCTTTGTCTCTGGTTTTGTCCGCACAGGAAAAGTCTCGAATGTCTCTTCTCGAAAATGTCTAGTCCCTCGAGAAGGGCTAGTCTCGTGCTTACATAATCACTAGCCGAATTTTTCACCGGAAAACTTTCCACATTTACGGATGAACAAATCGGCCATTGAGTACGACAAGAGGAGGGAAGCCGTGACGATTAAAGACACCAATGATGATTAGAACCTCTTTGATTCGCTCAGTTAGAACGGTATGGATGACGTTCTCCAGGGACTTTTAACCGCAACGGCTTGTTGTGGTGCTTACAAGAGGCCATTGTTACTAACTCTTCCCTTTGCAAGATTCGTTTGGCTCCTGTTGGAATGGCCTCTGGCTTCATCGCACCACGGGCCCAGTTTAGCCACTCCAACGTTAGATTCAACTCCTCCAGCAGTGCTGCCGAGGTTGCCTCTGAGATTCAAAAGCAGCTGCCGTCGTTTGACTCCGTTACTGATTCTGTGTCACAGGCCTCGCAAGCCATTGGCGAGGCATCAATGCAGTGGGGGTACTTACAATCTGTTGGACTTGCCAAATCTTGGTGGTGGCCTCCAGATTTGATTCAACACCTGATGGAGATTGTGCACGTGTCCACTGGATTGCCATGGTGGGCTACAATCACCGTTGTTACGCTCGGTGTTCGTTTTGCCTTGTTCCCACTCTACGTGAAGTCCTCTGACATGATGGCTAAGAATGCAAAGATCAAGCCTGAGCTGGACGAACTACAGGCCAAGATGATGGCTTCCGTGGAGATGTCTGAGACCCAGACCATCATGCTTAAACGTAAGAAGTTGCTTGCTGCCAATGGTATCAAGAACCGTTACCTCATGGCCCCAATGCTTCAGATTCCATTGGCCATTGGGTTCTTTTCCGGCTTACGTTCAATGGCAAACATCCCGGTTGATGGTTTCCAAAACCAAGGTATCCTTTGGTTCCAAGATTTGACTGCAACTGACCCTTACCTCGGATTGCAATGTTTATCTGCTGCGGTGATTATGGGGTTCATGAGACTCGGTGGTGAGACTGGTGCTCAGAACTTCTCTCCAGCCATGATGAAGGTGTTCACAATCTTACCACTCATCTCCATCCCGGCTACGATGTCATTCTCCTCAGGCGTTGTCCTCTACTTCTTCGTCAACGGTTTGTTCTCTGTGTTGCAGAGTTTTGTTCTGAAGCAAAAGTCGTTCAGAAAGGCACTGGGACTTTCAGAAATTGTTCCACCACCTCCAGTAGATCCAAGCAAACCACAAGAGGGTATTATGGATGCCTTCAGAAAGAACATGGAAAGAGCAAGAGAGCAAGCAGAGAAGAGAGCAGAGTCAAAGGCAAGGGAGGATGAGCAAAAGGAGCTCGCTCAAAAGCAAAGACAAAACAACCATATCAAGATTGTTAGAAAATCTCAAATGAAGAAGAAAGATTAATCATGTGTTGATGATCTTTTCCTCTCTCCATTGAAACTTGTAAATATCAACAACATCCTGTTAGTATTACCAAACATGACTTTGAAATATATATAATAATAAGATGTTCATTGCCTCTTATACAACGTCTTTTTTTAATAACAGCACAGCTTCTGTTCGTTTTCTTTTTGGTTCATCCAGCGAATACAGAATCTGGATCCTTAATCATGCACTGTAAAATGCTTTGCAATGCGCCTAAATCTGAGCCCATACTGAAACCAACATTGTCACCATCGATAAAGCTCATCGAAAACACAATTGCTAGGTTCACAGCATCCATCCTATTAGAATCTGAATGTTGAACAACCTTGTGCAGATGGCCAAACAGTCTTTGTAAGACTTGGTAGTTGTGTTCTGGTAGTTGTACCAACAGGACCCGCAGGTTCTGGGTCAAGTCCCCGCTCTTGGTGGAAGAGACAAACTCTGGTAATAGAACACTGGTGAATAAACTCTCTGGAAGATCTCTTAGATATGCCTTAAAACATCCTGCAATGGTATGGATATCGTGATTCAGAGAAACCTCCTCTCCTTGGTCAAACGCTTGCTTCAATAAGTTTATATTGCCGACAGAACCTGGAATTCTATAAAGCCCAGTTTCATCCAACCCTCTCTTCTCAATTTCACTTAATAATTTTTCCACAACAACAGGAACCAAAGTACCTTCTCTATCACAAACATCAGATATTGGAACACCGAACACTTTCGAACTCGTTAAGCCTTGGGCATCACTAGATAGATATGTGTATCTCTTACACATGTTCAAGGCAGAAATCCAGCTCTGAGCCTCGGAATTACTAGTGGCCTGGAAGTAATACTCTTCGCCACTATTTTCACTGACTATTTTGAAGAAACCCTCGATGTTTGAATGAACAAATAATGGTTTATGGTGGAAAAGGGTAATCTGCTGGTATGGCTTAGAAAGTTTCCCATTGAGATCAACTTGATTGACGTCTGGAAGTTCATCCGGATGAACTACTCTATCAGACCCTGACCAGCCAGAACCAACACTTATGGAGAATGGACGGACAGACTTGAGCAGCCCTCCAAGCCTCTTCATACCAGTAGATTTTGAAGGAGATATATTGGTTTGACGACTTCTCCGCTGAGAATCATTTGACAGACTTAAATGCTCATTTGAGCCAAAAGCAGATGACCGACTTGCTTGGGCAAGCAATTGAGATCTCTTGAATTCCATCTGTTGGTTATTCAGGTCGTCCCTTTTGAGCGCATCCCTCATGTTCTTCTCGATTTCAAATTCCAATGTTCTATCAAATAACTTTGTCGCGCTGTGATCGGTGTTCTCTAACTGAGCAGTTTCCAAAACATCGTTGAATTTTGGTAAAATTACCAAGTTTGATTTCAAAATGAACCCATAATCGTTATTATCAACTTCCACAGACTCCCTATCACTTGTATAGTATAATGCCATTATGTTAGAAACACAGTTATAAGTGAAACGACGCTTGTCAAAGTTTATCAGATTGGTATCAATCAAAGCATGATGAGGCACACAATTGGAAACTTCCATTAGTCTTTCGATGAACCAGCCTGGGCATGGTGTTAATGGTGACTTCATGTTTTCCGAGAGATCTTGAGTGTTCAAATCGGTTAACAGTTCAGAAATACTTGTATGTGATCCAGAGACAGGATACCAACTTCCTTGGAATGCACGAGATTCGGGGCTAACAATAGCTTGCAATATTGCGGATTCAATAAAGGATGGTATCGTTGATGCAATTCCAAATTCAGATTCACAAGACTCATCAAATATAGCAGCACCCCTCATTCTAAATCTGGCGATGCTCAAAATTTGCAAAATAGCTTGAATATTGGCAATTCGTTCATCCTTACTAATTGTCGTGTTCACAATTTGGAGTTTGAAGTATTTTTCCAAATTATCGTGTGCATTCAAGAGTGTTCGAACAGTTGGCGGAACTCTGTCAATAATAAGACCATCAGGTTTATCACTATAAAGTGTCTTAATCCATGAGAAAATATTCAGGATCTGAAGTTTTTCTAGATCATTAGAAGAACTCTTGTATCTGTAGAATCCGATCAGGGAACTACCGGTTTGGCTTTCAATAATTTCCGAGACTTCAATCCAGTCTGAAGTGGTGACAGCAGATGAAAGGTGGTTGACGAATGAATCCAGTTTCTCCACAAACAATTCTGCTTCCCCAAGAGCCTTTGGTAAGGGAACCATGCACAAACTATCAACAGATGAATTCAATTGTTCAGGGAATAAATCCAATGGTCTATAACATCTTTTGATGAATGATTTTCGGATTTTCTTGTACAAAGTTGACAACACAGCATAGAGGTTGGAAAGCTCCGTCTTGACTTCACTATCATCAGGTGTCTGAGCGAGTGTCTCCGGCCACACGATTACAATTTCACGATCAATCAGACGTAGCAAGTCGATAAACAATTGCTTGTTCTTGAGATCATCTGTAAAATCTGCATAGTGGTCTGTGACTAGGATGGAAAGGGCCTCTAAGACTCCGATTTGCACATTGCCAACAAAAGACCAATTTAACTCAGGCGAACTTGACGAGACATTTTTATCCCAATCCGGGAAGGTGCTATCAGAGTTGGAGTTCAAATGGCTAATAGAGATCGAAACTGATTTAGAACCACTGAACCTTTTTGACAATGCCTCAATAAGCTGTGCAGTGGTGGCAAAACTCTTATACGTTGCAAAGAACGTTGAGGTGTAGACACCGTTGTCCATCTTTAATTTCACATATTGGTTGTCTAGCAGGTTGGATTTCAGCAGGAATTTCTCAGCCTCAGACCTCTTGATCTTTTTCGAGAAGACGTTTGCGGTCAAAACCAAGACATCCACCATTTTATCAAATGTTCCAGCATTGAACGCAACGTTTAAAGGTTTGATCAAAGTATTTAAGACATCAGAGCTATCAAGACCTGCAAACACTCCATTAGCCAGAGCATTATCATCGTTATCAGCATCGGCCAGAGCAATTTCAGAGAAACGTGAATTTGAAATCATGGACAGCCTTCTACTTGAAGGATTTTCCAGCAAAATCAACGATGGATTTTTCTTCGTATCATTTTGAGTCAAAATGGGTTTAAACACCAGATCCTCACCGACAAGTAACTTATTGGAACCACAACCAAGTGTATTCTTCACAGATTTGATAAATCCGTTTTGTTGTTCTCTGGTTAACTTCATGGTATCCGACGATCCTGTGTCATCAAGATCCGAGCGCATAGCGAAGCCACCAGCCCCAATGAGAATCTTTTGGTTAAAGATTTTGTAAGATGGTATTATCTCAGTGAATAAAACTGGTAAAAACGAACCCGTCGTCAACGGAGCTCTTGCTTCGTCATGGTGAAAGGCACCCACTGAGGCCGGTTCACTTGAAATACTAAACTCCATAACTGAAGACAGAGTCAATGGCTCTAATGACACGTGGTTTGATAAGAAATTGTAGAGTTGAGATTGAAGCGATTCATCTTCGACTTTAGGTCTTGGCTTCAAAGATTCGACATCTGTCACCATCGACAGATAGTCATCCCATCTGCTGAAGGAGATCTTTACCCTTTGAACTTTCTTTTCACATTGTTTGAGAGGCGAGTTTGGGACAAATTTAACCGTCAAATCACCAAAATACGGAACGACATCCTCTTTGGAATAAGTCTCACCCAATCCCTGGGGTGCAATAACATGATATGACGATCTGTGACTTGCTTCACAAACGATATTTCTTCTGTCAAGTTCGAAAACCACTGGTGCCCATTCGGACGATATAATATTCAATAGTCTTTCATCAACCAAGGACCATGTCTTTTTCAACCTCAGGATCGGCACCGAACAAATTAACGTGGCAATTGCCAACCAACTGACCATATCACCCATTTTATCAAAGATGCAACCGATTTCAATCCATCTCTCTAAAACTCGTGAACGTTGTACCTCCCCATGAATTGGATCATGTACTGCAAATAAATGCGTAACAATTAACCTTCCCAAGTAATGGATATTTGTGTTGTAATTAAATATTAGTGGGTTCATCCTTGGATAGGTGAGATTTTTCAATTCGTATAGCAGAGATGCATCCGATTTGGGATTCCACAAGCTGTTGAATTTCAAATCGATGATGTTTATCTGTTCCGCCAAATGTTTTGGATCCAATTTAAGGAAATTCTCCACAATGGTTAAGTCTTTTGAGCCTGAGGGGTTATATGGTGAAGATTTATAACTCGTCAAGTTCTTCATGTAGGTTTGACGATGTGTCAAATCAATTTTAAGCTTATGTGCTAACCTCTCATCGTAACTTGATAATCCCTTGACCAAAATGAACAAAAGTTCTGAAATCTCATCATCTAGAAGCATTCCTGGGAAGGAATCGATGAAAGTTGTAACCACCAACCCCAATCTCTGTCTAACTGCGTAATCAGTGTTATTTGAGATCACAACCTTGGAACCCGGATTAGACCTTGTCACTCTGCCTTGTGCAATGAACGCATTTGCATATGCATTAAAGTACCTCAGATAGTCCTTTGGGTCTCCAAAGACAGGTAACACCATAAGTAAATTGTACGATAATTTGTCATCGTGCAAAGTATTGAACAGGACTGTATGGCACATTGCCTCGAGTGTACCAGAAGTGATCGAGTTAGTCTCGCTGAGTTGTAGATCAGGATGTGGATAAACTTCAGATAGATATTTCAACTTCTTGGAAGAAGCATCGGTTTTCGAATCCTCTTGTTCAAGTTGAGCTTTCTGTGCCCTTATGCTTGCCTTAAGGTCAGACCGTGATATTTGGGACATTCTCTTCTGTCGTAGTGAGTGAATATCTGAGTTATCATTGATGTTGTTATTGTTTGAAGCACAGCTGCTGCCTGTGATTCCTCCATTATTAGGATTGTTGTCATGATGGTGATTATGATTATTAGCGCTACTTTTCACGTCAAATGACTTGATGTTCAGCTCCTGTGGTAGCTTGTAGAGCGAGAGTACAGGTCCCTCTAACACAGCTTTGTAAATTCTCCAAGAGTCAGAGCTTGTGTTTGACCAATTGGTAATATTGTGACCTTTGTTGATCCATCCCGTTTTAACCACTGTGGTGTCATAGTTCTCATATGTGAATGGCCTCGATTTGGACGAAACATTCAAAGAGGACATTGAAAGTTGCAGCGTACTGCCGTTAGCCTTTGACGTGTTTGTCTGGCTTGCAGAGCCAAACGTGTTGCTATTACCTTGCGACACAGAAGACTGTAAGGAGCTGTGCGATTCAGACCCAACCATCGTGGACGCTATTGGCGCATTGAGAGTGCTTTGAGAGTCCAATGACAATTGCGAATGACTCCGGCTCCCGGCATTGGCTGTGTAAACCTCCTGTAGACTTGAAGGTTCTCTCTCCGGTTGAACGCTCTTACGTCTTGAGCGCCTTGAAGACCATTTCTTCATCATCGTGACCGTTGCAAAAAAAAGCTGATTCCTCCCTCTATATCTCACCCGTATCGTTAGTACACACAACGTTCGACGTGTTCACTCTTCTTGTCGTACCTGTTTTGTTCAACTTCTTTCCACTAACCCTATTGTGTCCTCTGTGTGTATACGTACAAGGGTTTGGAAAATTTGGGCAAAGAGAGCCTCCTTTGAGCAGTGTGAAACACATTCCGTTACACACACAATATTCCAGCTTACTTTGGCCAGTTTTTCTTTGATGTGTGTGGGACGAGGTCCGAGGGCGGCGCAAATCGAGCGGGACGGTAGAAACACACACAGGAAGAGAATGGGAACAGGAACTTCACCGTTGGGCGGATGAGTTTCGATCAAAACTAATGGCCAATGTCCGCTTTGATGACGATTCCCACTGAGACCAATGGCATAGCACCTTCCCGCCCTGTGAGATGAAGGAACCGCCATGCTCTTTTCACCGTGCCGCCGTCCAGTGTTCAAGCTAACCTCATTTGTAAACAAACACCGTTTACACACATTTTCCCACCAGCGACACAAAGTAAACAACGTAAACAAAACAATGAAACAATGAAACAAGAAAAACAACAAAACAAATCAGTTAACTCACAAGTTCTAACAAAGTCGACAAAGCTCATTCACAGACAAGCAGATGAATCCAGAAAAGTATAGCAAATTTACGCAATGAAGTGTGCTTATATTCGTTGAAACCGCCTCTCAAAACTAGTTGGTGACTTCACAGAGGAGAATGTGTGTGTTTTTCCCCCCTCCGTTTGGGATTTGCCCAGGAGGGAGAAAAAGAGCGTGCGAAGGAAAAAAAAACACACACACACGAGAAAACTCCCCTTTGGATTTGTGGGTTTTTGGGGCGCGTCCACGCGTCCACGCGCGCCATCTTACGTTTTTTTTATTTTTTTGGGGGCTTTTGGGCTCGCGCGCTCGTTATAGGCTGAGCCTGGGAAGCATTGGAAAAGCGTTGGTACGCGCAGCCTGGTGGGCCTTCTGGGACGTGAAGAGACGATCAATTGGTGTACGATGAAGATCACATCATCACCGGAATGCTCAGCTCACTGGTACAGTTAATGTGATATAGTGTGCTCATAGGTGAGGTTCTGATTGTAAAAACGGAAAGGTCTCATCAGGGCTTCACGCTTCTGAAGACAAGTGTCAGGGATTCTCATCCCCCTCCCCCGATGAGGCGTGCTGGTGAAGTGTATACAGGAAACCTCTTCCAGAGCAGTGGGCTCAGGCCCACTCGGTGTTTGATAACATCAGCAGTGCCTAAATAAGCGTGGAGAGAGACTCATCGTGGGAAGCCGTGACGTCCGGTCGTTTAGGTCCCCCATTACTGCTGTTTTACGGCACGTCTACACAAGCTGTCCCAGCTGATGTGCTTTGGAGGCTGGGTAGGATGCTGTGCGTCCCTGACAGGATGCATGTACTTGTGCAGTTCTCCAAGCCCAGAGCGTGAGGTTAGGATACGAAATGGGGAGCTTGTGTTATTCTTGCCAGCCTGTTGCAGTGAGAGCTGTTTCAGAGTGCAGCCGATATAGAACTACTGGGAGGTGTGGAGGAGATATGTGTGTGGGCCCTGGCCCACCTTCACCTAAAAATATGCATCTAAAGAATCTAAATACCCCCAAGTTATAACGATTACAAGCTCATCTGAGCCAACTTGATAACAGCGTCCTTGGTCTGTGCACCCCCGATGAACCCTGCGGCATGTACAAAGATACATCCCTCAACTCCAGTCTTTTCACTAAGAGCATCGTCTCTCAAACCTCTCCATTCCTCTGGTAATGCCTTTCTATTTTCAAAGCCCTTCCCCTGGATTGGAACCGTAGAGATTCTCCATTTACCTGTTGAATCTGGGAAGAGCACGAATAACACTTCGCCAGATTTACCAGCTTCGTCTTCAATGGTGAAGAGATGGTCCTTCCATGGCGCAAATTGGTCAAAGAGCATGATCTTACCAGACTCGTGGATTTCAAATCTCTTAGCAAATGCGTCTTGAACCAACTGTTTTGCAGGCAACCATCCCAATCCAAAGTTTCTCACAACGTTGACGAAGGTGGTCCCCATGAACTCAGACGCCAGCAAGAACTGTCTGTCGAAATCAGCATCGCTGTCACCCTCGTTCCACAGCGGATTCAACCAATGTACCACGGATGAAAGCTTGAAGCCGTTTTCCTTGAATCTCGGTTTGGACGTCTCTTCGTAGACGCTGATACCGTTGTCGTTGGCATCAACAGCCTCGATGAACTCCTCGTAGATCTTCTTGTGCAGGAGTTCCAATGTATGCGTATCGTCGCTCTTGATAACTTGCGCAATGGCCTCTTTCCCGAAATGCTTGTACACCAACCCTGCGGAACTCAACTTGGTGTGGAAATCGGCAGAGAAGGTCTCCTCGAATCCTCTCTGGTGATGATCAAAGAACTTGACGCCGTCGTACTTACCACCAACGTCAACAACGATATCGCTCTCCTCCCATTTGGCTGGGTCACGTGATCTCACAAGCGTACTCTCTTTGAACTTTGGCAAGAGACGTAAGATGTACACCGCCAACGCCTCGTCAGCGTGGAAAGAGCCACTGTGTGTACAGATCCGTAGAGGAGTGGTGATTGACATGTTGTTATTAGCGGCAGACGACTCAACTTTCGGCCTCTTCAGCTGTGGTTCCATTGAAGGTTGGAGTTTTGCTAAAGGGTCAAAGCGGTCGCAAATTTCTTACATTCGCACAAATTTTGATTCGATGAGCATCGGAAAAACTTTCACACAACCGGGGCGGCTCTCCGGGTTGGCGCAACACTGCAAAACGTGTTCGCGGTGGGATTATGTAATCACTCTGGGTGTCCGGGTGTTCCAATTCCTCCTCCTGGTAGGGGCAGCTGACGGTTGCCCAAGAAAAACTTAACAGACCGGGCTCTGAGTCCCTTCAATGGAACGCTACAGCGAAGCAGAGAGACGAGACACAGCACCAATGTCATTGTTAGGCAAACTGTTCCCAAGGCTAAGCAGATCGCAGCTGGAGCTGTTCAGAGTATGTTGACGAGTCTGTGTGTGGTGATGTAGCGGCGTTCGTTGTACTAACAGGAGTGCGCACAGTTCACGTTCTACCTTCTAACGCCAATTGGTGTGATGTACTACGTTGGTATCGACGCTGACAAGAAGTTCAACGTGCCTGGGTTCTGGCCAGATCCTGAGACCACGAACAAGATTCCTAAGGAGCGTCATGAGATCAAGGCGGAGTTGGCGAGAATGAAGAAGGAGTCGCTGGAGAAGAGAAGGCTCTTGGAGGAGAAGCTCGCTAAGGAATTCGGTATCGATATTGAGGAAGAGAGGGCAAAGTTCAAGGCCCAGTCTGAACAAGAGGATAAGTGAGGCAGAAGGAGGGTGTGGCAAGCGACTTGTATATATATAACATAAAATCTACAGTGTTAATACAATGTGCCGTCATTAGACGGATTTGATAAAACAGAGCCCTATAAAGAAGGGCAGTATTAAACGGATGGATGCGAAGTAATATCATGCAGTAATCTCTGGTAGAGGTCGTTAATCTCGTTCTTTGCACTCTTGGAGAGTAGAAGAGAACGATCAGACTCCACCAAGTTCATAAAATTGTGAATAATCTCCAGTTTCTCTTCGTTCGAGATCATCTGTGTCGGGCTTAACATGGCATCGTTGGTCACACCAAATTCCAGGTTATTCAACCCAAATCTGATATCTGCAGGCGTGAGGCTTGACGACTCCAAAGGTTGGGCCATGTATGGCTGTGTATTTGGTGCAAATGTCCCCCAGGTCTGCGCAGAAGGTGCCAATTCAGACATGAGCTGAACCTGTGTAACAGGTGCTTGTGCTTGTGCTGGCGATGGTTCATTCCCAAGCATATAAAAGTCTGCCATATTACCATCAAACTGGAAGTTGTCCAGGTCCCAGTAGTCTGACGGGATTCTGGGCGATGTGGAGTCCGTAGGCGTGCTTCCATTGGAGTAATATCCGTATTTACGACGGACCTGGCCAAATCTTCGAAGTGGCTGGAATTCTTGTCCCAATGTATGTGAGAATGGAGCTCTTAATTGTTTCCCAGTACTGTGGTCGAAATCGTCGTAGTTATCAACGATACAGGACTCGATGATCTCCTGGTTTGAAAGAAAAGTCTTGTTGATCTTCTTCTCAATGCTTAGATCCATAAGCGATAGTACATCCCACTTCTCCTGCACTAGTAAAGAGTCAATAGCATCCACCAGTTTCGTCTCCAAAGTGTCATCGAACATTCGAACCTTCCCGAATGACTGTGTGATGGAATCTGGTAATATACCAGACTGCTTCCAAGCAGATTTGATCCTAGAGGCGGGCAAATTTGCCCATGCCACTTTAATTAGGTCAAACGTGTCTGCCATAGTGAAATGCAACTCCTGATCTGACAAGATCTTATCCCTCAGCGAGACCTGCTTCTGTCTGAGCTTTTCGTATTGAGCAATTCTGAAATTCAACCGTAGATCGTTCTCAACACCCCAGGCCATAGGTAAGAAGTTAGAATTTGAAGAGGTGTACAACAGACGAATCCTTTGAAGCTTGATGTTAACAACTCTGTGCGAAGCAGTGTCATCAAGTACCAAAATAATATCCTTTTGGACAAGTGCCAATCTCTTATCAAGGACACACAGCCAATCGTAGAAAACAGTCGAGGTGAGCCATTTCTTACGATTGCTGCGATAGCTGACGCCGTGCTTTGTAGCTGCCTTCATCGATGATTTCGACTCAAAAGACGGGTAGTCTTCGTACCTTCCAATGATCAACGGGTCCAACCTCTCAGACCCGTCAACGTTCGTGCACAACATACAAGTGAGAAAATCAGAGCTATCGTGATAAAGAGCCTTGTCCAAGGGCAGGTCGTGACTGATCAGCATCTCCTGCACAGTGAAGATCTTTGAAGGATCCACACCTGTAAACAGCGACTTCAGGTTCTCTCTCTCTTCAAATGTCCAGACATGGAGCCTGTTGGCATATAAGTCCCGGTCAATGGTCGACAAGTTGATGTTGACCCTCGACAAGAACTGAGAGCACCATTTGAACGAGAACTCACCAGTCCCGTCTTTCATCGTCTCTGGTAACTGCTTCCAAAAGTTGGCTGCTGAGCTCAGTATGATTGGAGACGTTATTGGAATGTTGTTCCACACGCATTGCGTGATCCACTCCAGCAGCACTTTCCTCAAGAGCGTGTTTGAGAGGCGTCTTCGCCGTATGAGCTTGTACTCGTGCTCTTTTAGAGAGATGAGGGCATCCTTCTTGGCCAATATCCTCGAGATTGTGGTCTGAGATGGTGGTTTCGTGGAGTTGAACCTTGTCTTTGCCCATTGAGCAAGATCCGTTTGAGTCATACTGGGATTTGCCTCACTCATGAGGCAAATGTCGATCTTTTGCTTCATAGAGTAACCCATCGTGCCACGTTCCACCACTCCAATGTCTCTCTAACGTCAATAGGCACAGGACAACGTTGAATGTCCACACGACTTGACTAAGAAAGAGGTTGGAATCGAAAAGCTTTTACGGCGCAGTATCATGCGGAAGGGAACATCAGGACACCACATCATCAGTACACCACATCATTCGGACACCTCACACCCGGACACCAACACATCCATACACCCAAACATCCACACACCACACTCCTCTCCGGACCACCTCCCATATACAACCGGCCCTCCAACTCTTTCTCCATGTTGATGGAGTTATGCCACTGTTTATCCCTCCAGAGTAATTGAAACACCTCGAAGATGAGTGAGCCACAGACATTCACCGATAGGATTAAACAATCTTCGCATCCGTTGGCACTTCTGTTCTTCCTTGGTTTCAGAATTGGTGAGTGACACCCTTTCCTCAGCGATTGGATGAGCTGAGCTGAGCCGATTTCACCGCCTGAACAAGCTTACTAACAGCTGAGATAACAGGTGCACCGGTGGCGTATGCTCTTGGAATGTTCTTCACGAAAAGCTTGTGAGTATTTGTACACCTCCCGTTTCTCCTCAACAGACATAGAAGACTCAATTGACCTCCCCTAAGACTACGTGCCCCGATATCGACGGAGCACTGACTACGGTCTCATTTGAGCCTTCCACAGCTCTGATTTGGCTCCCTTGCAGTATCAACTGACACATACTCTACTAGCATTCTTGAATTCATAACTGTCATCTTACTGTTGGCTGCTGATTTCTGGAACGTCAAGAACATCAGCGGACGACTTCTCGTTGGACTGCGTTGGTGGAACGAGACTGACGACAACGGTGAAAGCATATGGGTCTTCGAAACTGCCAACCCTGACAGACAGATCAACCCTGTTGACTCAAACATATTCTGGTTCTGGCTATACCTCACGCCTTTCGTCTGGGGCGTTATGGGCATCTTGGCTTTCCTCAAACTCGAATTCCTGTCGTTGATACTGGTGATTATTGGGCTCACGCTGACCATCATCAACACCATGGCGTTCACAAGATGTGACAAGTTCGGAAAGGCCAACGATCTGGCCTCCAGTGTCTTTGGAACCGTGTCAGGCTCCATGTTTGGAAGACTAGTGCCATCCTTCTTCAGAGGAAACCAGTAAAAAAACCACTCGAGTATACATAAGTATGCTTATACACACTCAATTGATCTATATAAACAACAAATAACTGAAGTACTTACCCTCGAGTGTATAGAAAAGTTGCCTAGTTGGTTAATCCTGGCTAAAATGTGTGCTCATCTCTCATACATTGTGCCCATACCGCACGCCATACCGTAACTTCAACAACACTGACTTTCCGAGCTAGTTATGTCTCGTCTCTCAGCAACGTTCATAATACAAAGGGCACGATGGTACGAGTTATTACAGGTTAGTAGCACCATTTGGATGAGCTCTGAGTGCATCGTAACTGACACAGCTTAGGTTCTCTCGTTGAGTGCGATCCTTCGATTAGAGCTTTGATCCTCCAGATCGATTCGACGGAGCATGACATCGTGATACAGGTGAGTATATCGATGAGCCAAAGGTTCTATACGTGGAGAAGCTGATACTGACTACAGAGGGTGTGTGAAGGAGCTGGATGATACACATTTGCTCATAGATAAGAGTAAGGTGGAGTACGTGAAGACCATGCTTAATAAGCTTCTGGCTGCTAATACTTATAACCCATTGGACGATGAGGAGAACAATGACCACTGAAGGTCGTACACTACACTCCAGGATACTGTACTGGTGTCAATTCACTATATTTGTTGGGTTCTACTCTTCAATGGCCAGCTTGTCCAGATCATGAGAGGTTTGAAACTCAGGTGTAGATTCAAACATCTTTGCAACAATCTGTCCGATGAAGGCGATCATCATGTCGACCTCTACTAACCCTTCAACTTTCGAGGAAAGATTGTGGTAGTAATCCTCGTAATTCTGGACGAGAAGTTCCTGGATCCCATCGATGAGTGCGGTTATGACATTTTCATCATCGATGAATAGCTCAATCTGCTGTTTAATACGAGGAAGTGTCGCTTCAATATTATCACGTAGTTCTCTCGAGTCATCAAGGGCACTGCTCACTTCCTGCTCCTTGATAGGTACACATATCTGGGAAACAACATCCTGTGTGAAGATATGAACAACATTACGGAGCTCTAACTGTAGCTCCTGTCTTGCATCAATCATGTTTTTAACAACTCTTGGTACACTTTCCTGGACCAACCCCAGTAGGCCTTGAGACTTGAAAACACTTTCACCATTGCTGATCTTGTGAATGATGTCTCCAACACCACTGAAATCCAGGAACGTTTCAGAGCTCACGTATTCGATGTCAAACTCCTGGACTCGTTCCTTCAACACCAAAAAGTTCTTCAGGAGGAAAAGGTCAGCATCGAACTTTCCAACTGCGTGGACACCAACCTCATAAGCCTGTTTCAACGAGATTATACAATCGTGAACTATGTGATGTGCCAGGTCATCAAACACAGAGGATGAAACCAGCTCATAGATCTTGGAGAGCAAAGAAATTCCCTTCTCCAGTGGGGTGTACCAATCTTTCAATCCAGTCTTGGAGTAAGCAGTGGAAACGAGCTCATTATCAGCACCAGTAACATCTCTAATGCTATGCTTTCTAGCACCGATCTGGAAATCCTTTGCAGAAGGTTTGTACTTGACGATGTTCTCCTCAACAAATATCTGTGTTCTGAATACCAATCTGGACTGTAAATCTTGCAATATTGGTTCGAATACTGCTCCTAGATCGACATTTTCGAATCTTTCTCCTTCATGGGTACTTCCAGACTCGTCGTACTCATTTTCAAAGTGATCATCCTCATATTCGTAGTACTTGTTTAACAGCGTGATCATCTCAGTTAAAGAGACGATCGAAGTCTCCTTCAAGATAATATTTCTCAAGTCATCATGTAAAGGCTCACCTAATTGTTGGAACCAATTTCTCAGCGCATTACCACTGTCTGTTGAAAACACCTTGTAAAACAGTTCAAACTCATTCTCCAGGACTTGGGTGAAGAACAGAATGTTCGTCTGAGCATGCTGTACCAAAGGCTTCTTATCATTATGATGGGACTGGAACTGCTCTTTCAAAAGAGGTGAAATGAGCTTAGATCTGATGCTGAAGTAGTTGTTGTAACAATCGTTCAGCAGGCCTTGGAACTCCTGGTCCTCACCAGCACGCACACATAGCTCATAGGAGACGTCTTTCAGGAATGAACAGTCAGCACCGAATCTCGTATAAATCAGGGCGTTCTGTGTGACAGCAGACTTTGCACTTGACAGCTTTGAATTTATCTCATCTCTCACTGTTTTCAAGTTATTGATGATGTAGTTTCTTATCAGAGTCAAGGATCTAATAAGACACTGTTTGAATCTTCTTTCGAACACTTCGTGCTCCTTGTGCTGTGGATGGTCCTTCACAAACTTCAAGCATTCGTCTAGCTGTTCGACCATTTTCCTAAACGATTCCTTTCTGACAATGTTTGGACTCGGGTTGTTCAGCTTTCTCGTGAACGCATCCAGCATCTCGTAGTAGTGCAGCTCGTCCTTGACATCCTCTCCTAACTTCACAATAGACGTATACTCCTTCAGCAGCGAATCGGACTTCTTCTGGAACTCCTCCGTCTCCTTCGTCACGGTGTCGTACATGAACGTCAGTTTGGCCAACGAGGTGATGATCTCATCAGAATCGTTAATCAGGTCCGAGTACGTGTGCTGTCTATAGTCGCAGCTCTGGAGAAACTGTGTGTACTTCAAGTTCTGTTGGTAATCCATTTGCTTTTGCTCCTCTGGCGTCGTCAGCACTCTAAAGTTGAAGGAGTCATTGTACGCCTGGGACACCTTGAGCTTTTCAGACTCTGTTAGCGGGAAAATGATCGCACTTGGGTCGTCGCTCTGGATCTTTCTCGTGATCAGGTATTCTGCTGTCTTTGGCTGTTCCTTATGATCCAAAGTGACTCGGCTCTTAGCATCGTGTGTTAGTTACTGGCTTCACGGGACATATATTGGCACACTCACCTCCAATTGCGGAATATTATGGGCAATAGATTGGATAACAGAGGCCCTGCGGCCTCTGCTCATACGTCTCTGGTCAACAGTCATCGTCACAGCCGCCTGTCTACGTTCTCTTCCCACCCTTTGATGCTGTGAAACATCAACATCAACACGGTGAAGTGGCCCGTTTGGGGTTCGTGCCCGAAGCAAAGCGTTTTTGCCCGTACGTCAAAATGGCAGAATGCGTCGTTTTATTACCTAATCATTACGTAATCTCCAGTTCCCTGTGCTTTTACCCTCATCTTCTCTTATAAATACACGGTTTCAGCAACCATTTGCCCTCTGGGACCTTCTGTCTCTTCTTCTCAAGCCTCTCCTTGTCATCTTCCTGCTCCACAAACTTCTGCTTTCGTTCGAGTTTGGCTCTTCTCTCTGCGAGGATGTCTGGTGGTGGCTTGAAGAACTCAAATCTGGTGAACATCTTGTTGTCGTCATCCGTCTTCTTATGGAAGAATCCCATGAGCTTTAGGGTCTCGACAAACTCGTCACCTTTGCCATCCTTTTCGCCAAATCGGGACTTGATCTCTGCGATCCATAGCTCTCCTCTTGGTGCCAAGATTCTATAGGCTTCGGTGATGAAATCAAGAAAGTTCGTTCCCATCAATGCGAGACAAAAGATCACAATGTTACACGAGTTATCCTCCAGAGGGACGTTTCTGATGTCTGCAACGGTGATTCTCTCGTTTCCTTTCTTCAGGTCGAAGCTGTGTACCTCAATATCCAAGTTCTTGGTGAACTTTTTAGCGCCTTTCTTCGTCTTCACCTGTTTGAGGAACTTCTCAACATCAAGAGCCAATTGAGCCTCACCACACCCCATATCAGCCACAACGACTTTCTTGTCCTTATGTCCTGGTAATCCACCTGGTGCATTCACAGGTCTCTGCGCCCTCTCCTTGATCTGGTTGACAAACACATCAACAGGGTTCTCCGGCCATGACTGAACTTGGGACCTGAACCCATCATGGTACTCGTCAAACAGCGAAGGCTGGCTCTCAACAAGTTTCAACGCCTCGTCTGAGCTGATTGTGTAGAGCTGCTCGTTGATCCATCTGAATCTCGATCCTGTAAGCTTGGCCATCATCTTCTGCTGTAAGGGAGTAAGCTTGGTCTGCGGGAGAACCTCCAGCTTTGGTGGAATCTCAGACTCCACAGACTCCACAGACTCCACAGTCTCACCCTTGGCAACAGGGGTCTTGTAGTTCTTCTGCTTAACCTGTTTCTTCTTCTTATTTGCCTTATCCTGTGCATACTCCTGGACCACATCACCTTCATCAAGCTCATCGCTCGCCCTCTTCTTATTGTTCTTCTTCTTCTTAGAAGAAGACCCACCCTTCACAACCTTTGTGTTCAAATCCCAGCCGTCAACTTGGAAAAGTGCCATCTTATCACAATCACACTCTGCTTGCTTCAGCAACTAACACTCTCTCCTCTGTTGATAAATAAGAAGCTCATCGCATAGTAAAATCAACTGAAAAATTTCCCCCCACGCTGTGAAAAATTTCACATCCGGACACCACCATACATAAGAGCCCAGGGCCATCACATAAAGAGCCAAAGGCCCGTGGTTTGAACCAGGTACCACTTGCTGTGCTGTCTGCTGTTGCTGACGTATCGTAGCATCATGGACTGGAGCAGAGGGTCCTCGATGTCGACGTCCAAGTGCCGTGTTTTGTTGAAAACAGCGAGGACTTCTCTCGGGTCGAATATGGAGCCAACAGTGGTGATGAGGTTGATTTCGTCTTGCAACTGTACTATGAAGTCGATCAGCACGCCAGAGGAACACTCTTTAGACCTTGTGCATAGAATGAGACCACTCCTCTGTAGCAGATGCCTTGCCCTGTGGAAAAGCTCGCCGTGCACCTGGTTCAACGACTTGACCCCCGTAGTGTCTTCAGTGAGATCAACAACCTGGGCAGAGAGTTCGTTCTCAGCCAGTGTCTTTAGATAGTCCCTGATAAGTGGATCCTGGTACGCCTTGTTCAGGTGGAAGTGCCGTTCTCCATTGTCGACGATCCATTCGGTCAGTAGGATGGTCAGATCAGAAACACTGGGCCCTTGTTGTCTCTTCATGAGATCATCCACCGATACTGAGTCCATTAATACACTCTCAGGGAGCACCTGGACGGACTCTGTGCGTAGTTGGCGTGGCCTATTGGCGAAAACGTCGCTGGTAATCTCTTCGATATCAGAACTCGAGGATAGATCCTGATCATCTGCCCTTTTCCTCCTCTCTGATTCATTCAGGACAGTCCTCTTGGTGTAAATGCTAGAGTCAAGTACCAGAGGTGGATAGTCCTTGTGGGGACTGGATAATACCATATTTCTTTCCATATATTTCCTCCTCTGCGCAGTAGCGTCCATGCGTACTGGAGGCTCATCGCCATTGTCAGCATCGAGCTGTGGTGTCTGATACCAGGGTGTCTCCAAAACACGTCGTACCCTAAACACTTCACTCCAGAACTGCAACTCATAAGTCAAATGGTTTTCTCGTGGGAGTAGCTTCAAAGCATTAGCCTTTATTTCAAGCTCACCGTACACTTTGCTGCAAACACCAACGATTTCCACCAGCGACCCCTCGCACCGTCCTTCTAGCCCAGCTTCCTCCAACACAGCGTTACGTACCATGCACTTGATTGCCTCGCCACTGGAATCATCCAAAGACAAGAAGTAGTACATCATCTGCCTAATCTCCTTCATGGTGTAATCACTGATCCAGCCTGTCACACGTACCCGCCTAACAGGATGGTTTTTCAGAAGCACAACGTTATCCCTCACCAACCTGTGTCCGCCATGGCCATAGATGTCATAAGGGTCAACCGCTCGCACAAGATCAACCACCAATACTGGAGTCACAGCGTTGTAGAATGGCGAAGAGTGGAACGTCTCGATGGTGTAGTATTCAACACCATCTCTCCTAAGAACAACATTGCGACCATCTGGAGCAGAATCAACAGATTCCGAGCCGTGGCGTATGCTCAGCGGCCTCTTCATCGATGTGTCACAGCGTCTTTGCCACAGGTTATCGTCTCCATCAACGAGGATGTCATATATTGCTGATCATGGAAGTGGAAGTGGAAGTGAAAGTGGAAGTAAACATACACAGCATTTCAGAATGTTCCGAAAATGGGGGTAAATCGCTTCCGCGATGAGCTCTCGGAATAATTTTTCACTTGTTCCACACCGAGATGAGATACAATGGCTTGGTGCTTCTCGCTCGTGTGGACTTGTGTGTGTGTGCGTTAGACGATTCCAGTGAGTTCTAGACGAGTATGAGCTCCACGGTGCGAGTGCTGAGACGAGGTGTCTCGGTTCATCGAGGTGTATTCCAGATCATTGCCATGAGAACTCTTATAGTGGCGCCTCAGAGACGACAGACGAAGAGGAAGCACAAGAGAAGGCCAGCGGCTAGCGGCGATGCTGTTCACATCAATCATGAGGCCAGGGTGCTGGACGATAAGCTGAGGGAGCTGCAGAAGCTCGCGCAGTCCGTGAAACAAGACATTGCTCAGAGGAAGGAGGAGAAGATTCAACAGATGATGGACCTTGAACACGACACAGAAGACGCAGATATCGATATGCTGTACAACGAGCTGATGATAGAAGGATCGAAGAGCAATGACACGTTGAAGATCTCTGATGGCCAGAGCAATACCTCCGTATCGCTCTTTGACACCCCGGCTAAGGGCATCAACCTTCCAAGGCCAATACTGGACAGGCTGGACGATTCTGTAAGGAACATCGTTGTCAAGGACCGTTCTAACTGGAATGCCGTGGTTTCAGACTTGTACACCAAGAAGGAAGGCTTTAAAGGCCTGACGTCAAAGGACGTTGGCCAGTTCATGAGTGAGATCCCTGCTGGGTCGATCAACGTTGCAAGTGTCTCAATGGTCGACTCCATGATGAAAGACGCCTCTATGGATTATACAAGGCATAGCTATGACTTCTTCATGAAGCACTACGCCGCAAATGGCGATGCTGTGAAGACTCAGGAGCTGTTCGATCTCTATTCTAAAGTGCACGAGCCGTCTTTATACATGTATGGTCATCTCATCAAGGCCTACGTCGCAAATTCCAACTTGTCACGTATAAACGTTGCACTTGAAAAGATGTTCGACAAGGGAATCGAACCAAGCTTACAGATATATACAAACGTCTTACAACTATGTGTGGCTCTTGATGACTCGAAGCAAGCAGATGAGGTGTTCCAAATGATGAAGTTCAGGTCTGTGAAGAGCAAGCCAGATGTGCATGCGTACAACAAGATGATCCACCTGGCATGCAAGGACAGAGACATTCATAGAGCATTTGATCTCTACCACGAGATGCTGAGCGAAAAGCTGAGGCCTGATATATTCACCTACGACACCCTGATTCGCTCATGCTCCAAGACCAACGACCACATTGTCGATGGCTACAACTTCATTTCGAAGGTCTACGAAACAGGACTAGAACTGGGTGTCAATACATTCCAATCGATGCTGAGACTGGCTGCCCGTGACGGTGATCTGGAACTCGCCAGAGCACTGTATCTCTTGATATTCGAGAAAAGAGGTGAACCGAACGCAGAATCGTTGGTATATCTGATGATGGCGTACAGAGATTTCAGAGAGGGCCATGTTCCCCAGATCTTCCATCATAAGGATGGATCCAACATGCGGCGTAACGTGCTAAGAATGGTGGACTTCATGGGCTTGCACCAAACCGACGTTGATGACATCCAGCTTCAAAGACGTAGAGAGATGTATCCACCTCTGCTGCCTCTCAGTAACGTCAGAGCTCCAAAACACATCATTGCTGAATCCAATGCCATTTGGGCATGGAACATCGCAAAGAATCGAACGCTCTTGAACAGTCGTACATTGATACCCTACTTACGAATCTCAGTGGAGCACGGGGACAAGGATGAGTTTCAAAGACGGTGGAACCAATACACCTATGCATGCAAGGAAATTGGCAAAGATGATGTTATCATCATGGAGCAGCAGGACGATGGTTCTAATGCTGAACCCGACGACAACCTTTCACCACCAGCATTGAGCTTTGTTAAACAGATGAACTACTCCATTGAAAGGAACAGCGAGCTCTATCTCACATACCTGTCAGCTGGTAAGAGATTCGAAGACTACTCGATGTGCGAAAGAGCATGGATTGAGAGAGGAAAGTACAGATCCACCACAGCATACCAATCCTTGCCTCGTCGCACCAAGGCACAACTCGATTTCAACTTTGCCCGCGAGATGGTATTGGCCCTCACCCACCTGAAACTACTACAGGACGCCGTTCATGTGGTTAAGTCCTCGGAGAAGCAGTTCCCATGGAGCTTCTACACGTTGAAGCCACTCTACGTTGCCTGTGAGGAAGTTGGAGACTACGCAAGTGCCCGTGAAATCAGTGCCATCTGTGGAAAGGACAAGGCAAGACATAGAAACTTGTCCTTGAGATGAGCCAACAAACCCAGGAGAACAAGCAGATTGTCGACAACCCTGAAGCTTCCCTTCGACCTGGTCATGACGAGTTAATGAGCCTGTATATACGTATATCTCTTCATAATAATTGCTACATAGATACTGAAGATCAAGGCACCGTAGGGCGAGAAGAGGGCTTTGAAGATAAGCTTTCCCAAACACCCAAACACCACATAATTTTTCTGAAACTCTCTTTTTGGCGGGATCTGTTTTTTTTGCGCAAATTTTCGTCTTGCGCTGTCGGCATTTCTCGACCTGGCCAATTTCTGTAGCAACCGATTGGTTGAAGTGTCTCATGTGCATATTGACGCTGGCATGCAAATCATGTAGGGAGAGAATGGCACTGTGATGATGATACAACTAGCCGGTGTAGGAGCAAACCTGAGGCCGTTTGTCATAAGCCGTTGTCTCCTGTGTTGGTCATACTCGTTTCAGGCAGGGCAAGGTTTTGCGCTTGTTGTTTGAAAGTGCAACAGACCGTTGTCGATCCCGACGTGTTGTTTCAGATGAAAGGAGTATGTACAAGTAGCGTGCTGTTAGAACGAGTTGTACAAGCCCCGGTTACTGTTGGCTACAATCGAATAGCCACTAATGTGTGTGTGTTCTAGAGTTATGGTCGATGGTCCAAGCTGTTTGTGATGAGGGAAACAGTATATTGTGCTTGGCATAGCCCGCACCAATGAATGAATAGTGCATGTTGGCTGAAACCTGGTGGTTCTACAGTTCGATTGTATGTAGGAGGAATCTAATCAAGCGCACTCTGTAACGCCTATGTATTGTTACTCAAGACGGAGTTGTGGTTCTATGCCGAGCACTACGCTGGAAGCAGTATGCTGTTCGTATCGGAGCGACGTCCCATGACTGTTTCTAGTGAGAGTTGTTGATGACAAGTGCGTGCAAGATCTACTGGAGATTGAACAAGCAGCAACAGAAAGTACAAATATCAATAGGCCTTGAGTTGACGTCTGAGCACGGACCCCGGACTCTATTTCCCAGCATTTGACCAGCCATTGAGCTCGTAAGAACTGTCCTCTGGCAATACGTAGAGATCTGTAGCTTTAGACGGTGATACATTCCAAGCTGAGTCAGTCTTTACCCACCAGTGTTGCGAATACGTCATTTTTCACTCTGTTGAGGGTCCCAGCAGTTCTCAGATGCTCCAGCACTCCCCAACGCCGATACCGGTGTTTCTAGCAGGGCACCCGTCCATTACATATATACTACTCATATAAAGCACACAACACACCCAATATCACAAGCCCGGGCCCTATCCTCCATGCTCTGCCCCTCCGACGACCCGTCTGTGCAAAACCTAAGATCTCAGCACCTCATTATCTACGGTTTAAGCTCTAATTATATGTGCTCCGCCTATCGTCGCCTATGCATGCTATACGACAAAGACGTCTATGTCTCCCCACAACGAGCTTTCTCTTCCCTCCTACCACTTCCTCTACAGCTCCAACGCTGCACACGCTCTGGTTGTCTGGAGCGGCCGGAAACCACCGCTGAGTTGTAACCTGGCAATCGGTACGCCCGTAAGTGAAAGCCTTTCCAAGGCTCTGTGCAAGCCATAAAGAGACACACACACAGCAGAAAAACGACACGATCGAAATGGATTCCCGCATAGCATCAGGTCTAAAAATAGAGAGACACAGCATAACACCGTAGCACTGGCGAGACTGGTAACTCGTACGCCGCGATCCACGTCGCAGACGACAGACGTGCCGATAAGACACTCCGTAATATCAATTCTGCCACTACAAGAACGCTCAGAGAGTAGCCGAGTAGCACCCAGCACACAGCACATCCCGAAAGTCCCACCTGGAGAGCCTCTGCTACCCGGAATCGCTGCCTGATCGCAGTGGCCACCCTACACCCCTCTCCAAACGGGAGAGACAGAACGAGACAAATTTGGTTGCCATTTTCCCAATCGGGAGTGAGAGTTTCGCCCGGGAAGCAGAGCCATTGCCTTTTTCGCAGCCGCTTGCGCCTGCTAACACCTACGCACAAGGTTCTGAAGAGCAAAGGCCTGCATGTGCTACAGAGAACAAGTGCGCGAAAATGCGCCAAAAGGCGCCAAATTCCGCCAAAGTCAACAAGCCCACGCAGGCCAACCGAAAAAGAAAGGGCGAAAATAAATACCAAAACTGCACTCTCAGCTGCTGATGGAAAAGGAAAACAATCAGCACTGCCTTTTCCTTTCTTTTCCTTTTGCTTCTCATCGCTCTCTCTCTCTCTACTGCTCCTGGCTACTGAAAACAGGCTGAAGATCCCAGACACGGAAGGCGAGACTGCTGAACTACTCCTCCCCAGCTTGCGTGTGTATTCGATCCCTTTTGGCGAGCCCACACTATCAACATCAGAAGGAAACCTCCCCTACCAAGAGCCTTCCCTTCACAGCGCTACGACCCACGCCGGCCCATACACAGCGCACATAGGCACACACGCTCGCAACAGCAACACACACACACAGAGAGAAGACAACAACACCGACTGTGAGAGTGGTTTGCGCGGGCTCGCACTTGAATCCCTCCTCCTGTCTACTGAAGCACACATACGAGACATATATACGAGGCATATACACATACGTCTCGCTGCCATCATTGGAGAGCTTCCTGCTGATCATATCGCATTGCCAATTGTCCAGTGGTGCCGCTCACTCACACTCGCTTTAGCCATCTGGAAGGACCCCCGTCACGCCTCCCATCTTCACACACCTCGGTACTGTCCGAGCGTCTCCTCAGCCTGAACAAGCTTACACAGCCCGAAACAAGGGCAGACAATATCACCAATGTACCAATCACAACGCCATAGGGCCGGGTCTGTGTCGAGCTTGAGCTCGAACCCGCAGTCTAGGGTCCCCAGGGACCTCAGTACGTCGTCTCTGATTGATCTGGACCCGAAGTTCACCAGGGCTTCACGGTCAAAGCAGCAATTGCACTCGCATGCTATGTCGAGCACGCCATCGATGGTGTCCTCGAAGTCCCGCGCCATACCTCGCTCACAGAGCTTCCAGCAGGTGCCGACAATAGCTGTCAATGAACAAAGGCTACACCGTGCACAAGGCTCCGGTAAGCTGAGGAAATCGGAGTCTTTGACCGTGATTCCAACCACTAGAAGGCCATCCGTGGAGAGAGTACAAGTCCAGCAGTTTCGAAACCACAACCAGTTCAGCAGCAACGGTGCTTTCCCTCATAGGCAGCCATTTCACGGTGATAACTATCAACTCCAGCAACATGGACCACCACATCAGCAACAAATACACGAACAACAGCAACAATCACAGCCGCAGCAGTCACAGCCCTTACGTCGTCATGCCAATAGACCAACGCAGTCGTTCATGTTCCCCAACGGTGAGGTGTACATTCCAAGGAACAAACAGAGAGGCTCTCTCAGCAATTTAAACAAGTTGAACACCACAGTGGTGCCGCAATCGAGAGGACCTTCTTCTGCACCGTCAATGCTGGCGAGACCGATGTCCAATCACAGCTCTTCTGGAGGACACTCATCGTCAAACTCTTCCTCCACCATTGTCAGTGACAATGGTGTGTCGACCACCAGTAATACCCTCTCCATTAGAGATAATACGCTGACGTTATCGTTTCCAACCTCGTCGGCCTCACCATCGCCATCTCGGACCTCAAGGACCAACTCTAGCCTCGGTGAAAGCACACCGCCATCCTCTGTCGATGACTTTACCGTGAACAGCAATGGCTCAACAAGTGGGTTCATGGGGAAACCTGGCGACGGCTCCGTTGTATTGTTACAGAAGATTGAAGAGCTGAGCTCTACAACCGACGATACATTGACCAGGCAGCATCAGCACAGCGAGCATAATATTAATACGGACGACAAAAGCAACAGTGCTACACCTGGTGATGTTGAGAATACAAAGAGTCCTGTTGACGTGAGAAGAGAGGACAGATCACAACGGGTTCCTTCTCCACCGCAGATTCAACTACCTGCTCAAAAGAGGGAGTCTCAGCAACTCAAAGCTTCAATAGCTCAAGAGAAGCAGCATGCTACAGCACCGCCAGCAACGTCGCTGCAGAAAAGACACACCAAGGTTGAAGTTGAGAGAAAGCCTTCTGGGTTGAAGAAGTTCCTGTCAAGGATCTTCTCATCGAAGAAGAAGAACAAACACGCTACGAACCAAATACCGAAATCACCATTATCAAGAGTTATCAATGACGATTCGTCCACGAGTGTCTGCAATGCTCCAGCTGTGGATAAACAACAAGCAGCAACACCAGCATTAGAACATCACCAACACCAAGAACAAGAGCAGGAACAAGTATTGGTGGTGCAACCACCAATAAGCGCCGATAATGGAAGGACACATGAATCTAATAGCGTTGACGATACTTTCTCCTTCTTGGAAGGCGATGAGGACGCTGGAATCAATGTTGCACAACTGCCATTGGACGTTGCTGACGGTGACTTTGACGATGATGATTACAAGAGCGAGCTGATACTGGACACTCTGTTCTCCAGGCTCTCAGGCACAAGTGACGTGAAGAGCATCGACTTGAAGAAGAGAGATAAGGAGCCGCAACAGAAACAAAGAGCTGTGCAGCCTTCAGATGCGGATGACGAGGACTACGTCATGACGTTTGACGATATGGAGTTCATTGAGAAGATCACAGAGTTTGGTGAAACGTCGTTCCCTGATTTGGCACAGCCTGACATGGGGCAATCGCATAGGAAGCTGCTGAGATCCAAATCTATCGAAAGACGCAGATCGATCAGATCTATCAGCTCTTCTTCCAAGTGGTCGACACAGGCAAACACCAACTCGGTGTTTGTTCCTGAGACCGTGCCTCTTGAGCAGATGACGGTGGTCACAACCAACAGGCTAAAGTCGCCTGTGGAAGGTGACGCCGTGGTGGTGGAGTCGATTATGAAACATGGCAATGCGCTGGATAATAAGGCGGTGAAGTCTGTACAGTTTGACAACAGGGTGTTCGTCAACGTTACGTATCCCTCCACTGTCTACAACCGTCATTCCGTGCCTGTCTCAAGCTACAAGCTCGGTCCACAGATGGTCCAGCACATCAGACGTGAGCTCAACGAATTCAAGAGACACATGGTTGTCCACCAACAGAGCATCGCAAACACGCACTTCTTCAGACCGTAGGGTTCGTTTACCATACAAACAAGGCTCATATTTATATTCCAGCGTGCGTACACGCGTGTTTATTGTAGGTAAACAAAACAAAACAAGCATTAGAGAGAGACAACACGCCTTCAGCGGTAGAAGTCAGGCCTACTGACATTCAGCCCATACTCTCCCAAGGCACTGCTCAGGTCTTCCATCGTCAGCACCACCTTCTTTGAGCTGTTTCCTGCTGTGGAGTTCACCATCTGTTGACCAGCAGCGCCAGCGACTAGCGCCTTGTTCCTGGCCTGGGGGTTAGAGGAGTTGTACACGGCGGACTGCGACCTGATACGCGAGTATTCATAGGCGTCCGTGGCAATATCGGAGATGAACTTCTGTGTGGCGAGGGCGAGTATTCTCTTGACCCTGATATCGTCACATTCGAGTCCATTCTTCTCGAGGTAGTAGTCCGTGACTGCGTCAGGTATCTATAGCGTCGTTAGCGATCTGGACACACCAGGGCGGCTCGTGGCATCAATAGATCAATACGTACGATAGGGTAGTAGTCTTCCATCATCGACAAGACCTCGTGCAAGGTCTTGTCCTTCTTCGTGAACTCCGGCAGCTCTGGCACCTTCATCGACGGCTCTTCATCGGCATCCTTCATGCTCTGATCACCGTTCTGCTGTTCCGCGCCTTCAACGTTGTCGTTGAAGATCTCGTCGTCCTCAACCTCAACGTCTTCCACGTCGTCAGCGTTACTGCTGTCCAACTTAGGCTCTTCTGGCATGTTTCACTGCGGCGTTGTCGATGGAGTTTGCCCCAGCAGTCTGTCCTTGTTGCCTAATAGAGAGAGACAAGGCCTCTCTTCGCTACGGGGGTTTGCGTGTTTTTCGCGCCGCGAAGTTAGTGCACGTTCGCGAACTCGTTTGTTGATTCTTGGTTTGTCGCTTATGTAAGACACTGCTCATATATCCCAATCACCTTCAACGGCTTGCAATGGCTGGTCGATGGTGTCGATCTTCAGGTCAGAGCACAGTGGACACCGCTTACAGAGCAGTGCATCCACGTCTGGGCTGTTGACAAACTTGGCCTTTTTATCCTTGTTGTTTGCTATGAACTTTTTCTGTAGGAACTCCAGCCTCTTCTTCGTAGCGTAGTCGTTGGACTTCAAGATGTCGTTCACGAGACAGTCTGAATGGAAAGCGTGTCCACAGGGGAATAGAAAGAACTTTCTGGACGTCAGAAGCAGTTCACAGATGGAGCACGGTTCCCCGGCGTGAATGATCTGGGATTTCTCCTGGTATGTGCCGATCTGTTGCGCAATTTTATCGTTCAACTGTAGGGACGTGTTCATCTCGTGGGACAGCTTGGTGATTTGTGTGCCAAAGTTCTCCAAGTCAGTGCAGATCTCATCTCTGAGATCGTCGATCGATGTGAAGTCAGGTATCAGAGGTAAAAGATCCTTAATTGTCAGTAGTTCACACTTGTCCAGTAAACATTTCACAACAGACTTTACCTGGGACTGGTCAGATGGTCTCAATTTGGACGTTTTAGCCTTTGCAATCTTCATCCACAGGAACTTTCTCAAATTCTCATCATCTGGCTTATCCGCAATGACAATGGCCAATTCAACCATATCGTGACTCAATGCCAAATCAACGGCATCCTCGTAGCAGTCCAATAAGGAATAAACGTACGTTGCGGATTGGATCTTGTAAAATTTCAAACATAATCTCAGTATGAAGTCGGGGTTGTAGTTCATCTGTGATCCATACTCCTCCAAGTATCGTAATATGAACTCCTCCTGATCACTCGATTGGTTTGATATGAGCAAGAATAGCAAAGTATCATGAACGTTAGGGTCTCTGGTTTTTGTTTCATGGATATATGACAACAGGTACCGCACTCCATGATGACTGGCCGATTGAACCCTTCTTGCGTTCTTATTGTACGTCAAGATAGCTGGTAATAGCTTTGAGGCATCCAGATCTGACAGTTTCAACCAGGTATCGACAGTGACTTTAGGAGAGTTAACCAATAGCACTGTAGAGTACTTGTATGCCATCTCAGAGCCGTTATTTTTTAGGAGGACGTTCAAGGCCTCCTCCCATCTCTCTAATCTAATCCAATATGCCAGCACAAAGTCGTAGTCGTTGATCAAGTTTGCATAGTACAATAGCTCTGATCTTCTGTTATGTGCTGTGATAATCTCGTAAATAGTTTTCCTATCCAGGTGGTCTTTGTTGTCGATGATAAACTCTTGGAACTTCTTCTCAACAGTGGTCTTTTCGCTAATTGTCTGCTCGAGGTGTATAGACTGTTCAGTTGCTAAGAGATCGTCCAATTCATTCAACTGTTCGACATAGAACTCGACAATCCATGATGAAAGCATGATAAGTTGCATGGCAAAATCGTAATTCTTATTCGATTTCAACACGTGAAATTTTTGAAGAAAGTACTCCAATAGAGCGTCCTGTCTCTTTGCATTGATAAACTTCAGAGCAACAGTCTCAAACCATTTGTTAGAGAGTGCAAATGAGCGTGCTGCGTCTATAAACTCACCTTGTTGTATCAAGTATTCTCCCTTCTGTGCATATATGGCATCCCTTATCTTTACTTCAGAAGTCACTGCGAGTGCCTCATCAAACATATTGTTCTCACACATTGACCTCCAGATATGCTTTTCCTCCTGGTCCACCGTTATCTCAAACAAATTACAATTGGAGTACAGCCAATACGTAGATTTCGTATAATCTGCACATAGACCAACAAACCTTTCATTCTCCGAAACAGGTAAGGTCTGGTGATAGACCAACTCGTCGTTGATCTTATTGATGATGAACAGCTCTGAGCCTCTTAGAAGCAGTAGGTGGTACTTGGTCATCATCACAGACTTGAACTTGTGATTAGAAGCTGGCAGTTCCATGGTTAGAAGAATCTTTAAATCGCCAATATTCCTTTGTGTTGCAATTTTGTCCCTTGTGATGGACCCAAATACAGTACCAGCAGCTGTGAGCCATGCGAACTCGTTCCCATGGCCATAGAACTTTGACCCGTTAATATTTCCCAAGTCCTGGTACTGCTCAATTTCAACAGGATTCGACTTGAACACTTCCCCTAAGATCAAATCGTTATATTTGGCATTCTGTCTCATGGACGCAGTATGCCAGTATGCAATGTTATCTCCAGACGCAAGGATAATGGTGACTTCCTTGTTAGCATCATCGTACGTGACTTGCAAGCCATCAATGCTTGACGATCTCTTGTACACATCTCTTTGAATCTTCTTGGAGTACTTCTGTGAAGCTTCAGAGTACTCCAGAAACGCCTCATGAATACCACCGTTTCTATCACCAATGAGAAACGCTCCCGTATTTTGCTCTTCAACCGCAAAGTCATTCCATGCCACAACGTTCACCTTTAGTCCTTTCAGATCTTGCAAGTACTTGAAAGTCGTCGTGCTCTTGTGTATGTAAAACGACTCCAACTGGCTCGTGGTGACAATCAAATGAGACCCGGTTTTGTCCTGGAAGATCTTGTCAATCCTCCCCAGCTCCTGTAAGGATCTCTTGTACGGGAGCTCAAGGGTCTCAATCACCGAGGGATTGTTCAGGTCAATCCTGAACAGCTTACCGTTCTTGAAGGCAATCGCCATCATATCATTAACGACGCTTAGACAACTAATGTTGGTCATCTCCGTCTGGAACTGCACAGGCGCGATGCTGAAGATCGAGGACTCGTTGACATCTCCCAGCAGATCCTCCATTGCACCTCGTTTTCTCTCTCCTTTCACCAGTAGAACAGCTCTCTTGTGCTCTGTGCGAAGGTGTTGTTGTTGTTGTTGTTGTTGTTGTTCTGAGCCCTCGGCTTTTTGTATGGGATTTCCCTGGAAACGTATCGGCGCTAGGTGGAACAGAGTATTACGTAATCCACAATTAAAGGGTAGTCCAACAGGGGAACTTGATCGATGAAATGCGTTATTAGTTATGTTTGTTGTGAGGTTATCATATGCTCACCTTACTCTGGTGATCTGCGGCTTGCTGAGTGGATTAACACCGTTCAGACAGCTGTTCATCCTTTTTAACAATGTTCTGTGGTATTTTTGCACTTCCGAATTGGGAAGTCAACACTGCGCATACAGCGTAAAAAAGCTTTTACCCATAACAACAGACGGATTAATACTTCTCAGTATTGTAATTCGAACATAGTGAGCTCTTCTCTGCTTAATTGGATTAGCAAAGATGTCTGCAGGAATACCAGTGAAACTCTTAAGTGAAGCTCAAGGACACATCATATCGTTGGAGCTGAATTCAGGGGAGACCTACCGTGGGAAACTAATAGAGTGTGAGTGTTCATAAAAGTATCAACCCTGTTGAATGCGAAGTACTAACTAGCCTTATTAAAGCTGAGGATAATATGAACGTGCGTCTGAGTGATATAACCGTTACGTCGAGAGAAGGTAAGGCTACGCATCTGGATAACGTCTTCGTCAGAGGCTCCACGATCAGATTCTTTTCGGTACCTGAAATGCTGAGGAACGCTCCAATGTTTGATCCAACACATACAAAACCGCCTCCTCCAATACGTGGGCCAAAAAGAAAATGATTATATACTACACCGGTTATATGTACAACTGAGATGAATAATAAATTTCAACCTCTTCTTCTATTTGATGATATATCCATTGCTTTTGTTTAGTGTTTCCAATCAAGAGTTGAAGACAGTGTACTCTATACTTGAAGCCCCCAAAGCTCCAGTCAACACCTCGGAATTGGTAGCCACTATGTGGTTCATATCAACGTTTGATGTTAGAATCGTCTTGTATATCAACTTGATGTTGTTCAAAGTGGCGTTCGTGGCCGATCTGCCGACAATATTCTTAAAGAACTCAACATCGAGGAACACCTGGCCTAAGCCTTCTGAGGAAAACACAGTGACATTTCTAAAATCTTCGAGTAAACGTGCAGAGACAAATTCAACCAGTTCTCTCATTATCATCCCGATGAGCTCGGTGGAGACACTCACGACACCGGTATGAACGGTGACGAGAACATTTAGCGCTTCATAGACAAAGGATGAAACCTTTGATGGGTTAGAGCTTATACCTGCCCAATCTGTCGATGCAATGCCCCTTTGAAGAATCGTAGATATGGCCTTTTTCTGTTCACCCATATATGTGTCGAGAATAGTGTGTTCCATCTTTGTTAGAAGAGAGTAAATCTCCAAGTTTTCGCTGCGTAACTTCGTTTCAAAAACTGCATCAAATTTATCAATAGACGTGGGGACAACTGTCGATGACATCTTCTTGATGTTTAATAACGTCAATAACTGATGGTGTGTCTTCAAATGTTTGGAAATTTTGGGGTCGTGAATCTCCTCAATAACCTTTTTGATCATACTCTCCAATAAGATATCAAAGGAGCCTAAGAATTGAATTTGAACTCCAGTTAATATCTTCTTTGAAGGGTATCTCACAATCTGAACATCTTTCCCTTCAGGTAACTTGGTAAACAATAATTCCCCAATCTTTTCAACAACGTGTGTTTCAAATTGTAGGATGGAGTTTGGTAATGAGGTTTCACCAGAGTCCAATCTTGCCCAATCCTCTAATCTGTAAATGGTATGACAATCGTTGACCCACGCTGTGCATACAGCACTTATGATTCTCTCGTTAATCTCAAGAGATAATCCCCTAAGCATCTCAATGGATTTTGTAGTTATCGACAATTGTCCTAGTTCGTTCAACATCTCTGAAACATTTCCCGCAATGCCAGGCAAGTATTTCAACGTACTCAGAGAGTTTGTAAAAGGTGGAATAAATCCATAACTTGCCAATGAAGCTTCTCCTTTAACGTCCAAGTTCAATGATAGATGTGTTGAGTGGAAGAAATCGGCAAGCTTCTTGATTATTTGAACAACGTGGTCTTGTCCCTTAGCCCTGATCTCTTCAATTTCGTAATCCTCTAAACGTAAGAACGGGGAGTTATTATCTATGTACCCAGATCTCAATCTTTGGAAATACGATCCATTCATGAAATTTTCAACGTGGTGCCAGAAGGCGACGAAATCCAAAACTTCGGCCTTTAAAACTTCCCACATCTTTCCCAACATGAGCCAAACCTCTGTGACGATTGGTGAATCAAGGAGTTGAGAGTTTCCAGTGAAGAATTTCTTGAAATTGTACAAATCTGGGGATATCAAGGTTGACAAAATGTTTATCTGGAGGTTTAGCGTCTTTTCGTGGTATCTGGAGAAAGTTTCAATAAAGTTGACTGTAGATTTTTTTGTATTGATATCAATCCAAAGAAGAACCGGGTTATCAATGACATCCAATTCCATCAACTTCTTGATAGATCTTAAAAAGTCATCACTCTTATCGCTTGTATTCAGATCGCTCCATAGTTTGCGCTTATAGGTATCTGCAATCTCCTCAACTTCTTCCCAGACCCTCGATATAGTTCTAGAGTTGTCCTTTTCCTTCAATGCTTTATTTTGTTTATAATCATGAACAAAGTTATCATAGTCCTGGTCCTGGAGATAGGTCTTCAACTGTTTCGGTAAGTCAAAGAACCCTTTTTTCTTTTCAATGAACTCAATCGACTGCTTGAGCCTAATGATTTTCTGTTTACTAGAGATAACAGGCTTCACCAACAGAGTCCCCTCTTTGGCTGCAGCGTTGACACTAGCTTTCAAATTCTTCAACCCTTCATCGTTCTTACCGATATCACCTGTTTGGAACTGTTGGAGGATAGAATCCAACCCGGATTTCGATCTAACGAACTGGATCGCCTCTCTTTCAATCAACTGCTGTAGTTCCTTGTTTTTGTAGTCAAGCGAGTCGTCTAACACTTCCAACCCGTGCTTCAACTGGTCAAACGAGTCCTTTGCATGCACAACTTTGAGAAACTGCTTCGGATTGAACCGCTTGCTCAACGTGTTCAACTTCGCCAAGTCACCACCATCAATACCATCCACTTGTAACGTTCTCGAAGGGTTTAGCGCATCAACAGGCTTTCCGCTCTTGCTGAGATCAAAATCCCTGTTAACAAACTCCAAAAACATATCATAAGCGGTATCCTCGCCTTCACGGTGTGTGAACTCAGTAACAACTTCGTTATCTATCGAGCTCTCCCACGACTGCGGGTTCAAAGTCTTTAGCTGGTACGCAGTGAGCATCTCATGGGTCTCATCAGCCTGAATGGCAGCCATCTTTTATTGCAATCTCTCTAAATGCTTGTTCTTTTCTCCAGTAGAAGCCCAAGTGTTGATGTAAACAACACCTCCAAGCCACAAAAACAATGGGATTAACCGCCCATGTTCTTGATTTTTTAGGCTCCAGATGGTGTGAATGTGGCCCCTACTGTTCCCCCTGAAGAGGCGGAGGAAAACTACTGAAAATCAGAACATTCTGAAAACCACACAGACAGGCAGAGCAAAAAAGAAAACATTAGGTTGATGGCATTTTCCTATGGGGATGAGGGAGTAAAAGTCCACTTTTCATTTGAATATGATCATTAGTTTATTGAATGTATGAAATAGAGATTAACATTAGTATAGAGCAAATCTCACGCTGTGCCAGAGAGAGAGATGAAGAGGCGTACGCTATACCTTTTTCTTTTCTTCACCAGCGTGATTCTCATTGATAGAATTTTGAACAAATCTTAAGAACCGTTCGCCGTATTCCCTTGGTGGTACTGCACTGATTGTGCGCCTGTCGTGGTTCAAAGATCTCCAAAATGTTTCCAATTTTTTGATAATTGAATAGTTGGTCAAGCAGTCGATGATTCCAAAATAGTACACATACTCCAAATTCTCGTTATTTGGCCCCGTTGCAACTATGCCCCCACCATCTTCTGTGTAAAAGAAGTTAGACTTGTGATAGTACTCAACCTGGGGTAAGTCACTCAAATCATTTAACGTTTTTGGATTGGTATTCTTCAAATCTTTCAAGTCCGAAGAAACAGGCGAAAAAACTGAGAGTTTCTTCCTCTTTATTGGATCATCATCGTCTGAGCTGATCTTGGATCGATCATGGAATCCAATGAGGAAGGAGTAATCCATGATGTTTAATTTGATCAATAATTGTACATCACTTTCCAACTGTTTGATAAGCGCCTCTTGTTTTAAAGGCCCGAATTGAATAATCTCTTGGTTTTGTAGCCAGTTTAAGTCCTTTAGTACCAACTGTTTCGTCATGGAAGGTGAAGACGACGTGTACCGTCCCATAGTAGAACCTTTCAAATCGTAAGTTCTGTCAATGTCTCTATGTGGTGGGAAGAGGTTGTTCATAACGATGAAATAAATCTTACGTCTAGCACCGTATTTCAAGGGCATCTTGACCCTGTGCAGTCCGTAAAACTGTGAAATCAACGTATTTGGGTTTGATTTTACGTGTTCGTAGTAACGCTTCAATATCCTTCTCAACTGGCGGTGTTCTGCATAGTGAATTGTCTTTATGATAAATCTGTAATCACGCGAGAAATAAAAGAAGGAGCCACTCTTACCAGGTGAATTCAACTCTGATAAGATGTACTTCGAGGTGAGTGAAACGAGATAATCTGCGGGATCTAACCCGAATAGTTTTCTCAACTCACGGAAAACCGTTGGATAGTAATCTTTAAATTTGAAATCGTATTTTGAGGAAGGGGTCAGCTCATTTCCAGAAGAGTCAAACCGTAACTTTTGAATCAATTTGAAATCGTCGTTTGTGATGGGTTTTGGAACCCCAGAACATCTAGAAACAGACACCCTGATACCTGTTAACATGTTGTATGCAATGACATAATTCTGATGTCCTTCACTAACTTTCTTACCAACTAGAACTCTCTCATCATCAGTGGTACTTCTCTTTGTGAATTTCTTGCTAGTTGTTGAATTTCTATTCTGCTGTGGTGATGTTTGTGCCTGTGCCTGTGTATCTACCACAGGTTGAGCCACATCATCAATAAGATGGTCTTCCCGTGCTAAAGGATCATGGCTGCTCGATACTCTTGAGACTCTTGAGCCTCTCGAGCTTCTTGTGGATCTCTGCCTTCTTGTGTGTGTATTGAGCAAAACAGTTTGATCATCATCTGCATCTTGTACATAGTATGAGCCATTTGAATGGCCAGTCAGTTGATTTTGCAACACGATGATCTCTTCATTCCCTCCATCATGTGGTCCAACAACTTCAACCGATTGTGGCTCCACGGTATTGCCATCTTGCTCAGCACCCCTGGCGGTAAGGGTACTCTGTGTCATCGTCATCGCCGTGTTTGCAGTATTTATCGTATTAGGAGTCGCAGTGTCGTGGTTCAACTGGGTGTCAATAACAACAGCCACGTTGCTGTTCGTAGTGGTGTTTTGGCTGTCTATGGAGCTTTGATGTGTGAAAATAGCAGAATCATCCGTAACCGCCCTTGAAACAGGCGTTGACGGTGATACAGATGTCGCAACGTTTTGATTCGAAAGCATGCTCTTGATCTCCAAGAGCTGTTCAGTTTCTTCCATCTGCTGAGCCTTGAGATGAACCGCCGGTGAGCCACCGCATTCAGTAGCATCCATAGGAACAACAGTTGGCATTTGCTATCACTTCCTTCCCAGTGATGTTTTGTGTTTCTTGTTGATGTTGTTGTTTGTTGTTGTTTTTTTTTGTGTACACTCAATCAAAACAGGGGAAAATACATCAAAACACCAAGGGAAAAACAACCTCGGGATTTCGGTGTTGCTTACGCTTGTAAAAAGAGCCAAAGGAAAAGATAACGACGGAACAATCTATGCCTCGTTATCGAACTGTTTGTATGTGTGTTTATATAATAGGCGTGCAGAAGTTTTGTTGTTATATGAAGAAAAGAGAGAACAAATTTTTCTACTGTGCTTTGGCTTTCTCTTCGCCTCACTATTGGAATTTTAGGCCCGTTATTTCCACTTGAGGTCTCTTCCCAACTGCTCACTACAACGGACACTTGTACAATACACAGGTTCATAATAGAAACTAACTACCTCTATAAGTGGTGTAACTGTGGTTCGACAACAGCAACGGGATGTGGTAATGCTCGTCTGGTGGGTTGTCTATGTTGAAAATGATTTCAACAAAGGGGAAGAACGTTCTTGAACTGGCGTCGCTGGAGCCTACGGTGGATCTGAAGTAGCTCAAAGTCTGGAATCGAATCTTGTAAATACCGGGTTGCAACGTCTGCCAATCAGAACCGTCCACGATCCCCAGTGGTGTTAGATCCCTGTTTGGGTGGAATGACCACTGTGTCACTCTGCCATCAGAGTTTGTCTTTGCCACTGCGAATGGCTCCACGTCTTGAATAACTAGCTCATCTCCGTCTGTAGGCAGATCACCGATTCTATAGATCGCAACGTTTACTCCAGACGCAGGCTTGCCTCTGGTGGTATCCAGAACATGGCATGTAATAGGAGGCATTGCTGGCTGTGTGACTCTTGTTCAATGGAGTATGAAGAAGTAGAAGGAGAAGGAGAAGGAGAAGCTGTTCATCCCTTTTGATAAGAAAACAGGGTAATTGGAATGGTTTGCGGTGAAGTTCGCATTTGACCGAGAAGATTATGTAATCATACCCCCCTCCCCCACCAAGGCCCCTCCACCCGGTGCTAAAGCATACGAATATTCATGCCCACCAGGCTATAACGACGAATGGGATGGGAAAGATGTTATCAAACAGTCGTAAAACAAGCTTCTAACGAGCCTCTAGCAGGATCAGTTTCATCTTCATTCTCGGTGTTTTAAAAGCGACCAATTGATAGACAATCGTCCTTCTTCTGTTTCAGATGATGTGTCCATGGATGTATGATGCCATATATAGTTTTTGAGGCTCCGTATCATAGTATTGGATGCTTGGGTAAACTGTAGCTGCGTGTGAGATTCAGTGCTTATTGAGGGTTTCAAATGATGAGGACATCATTGGATATATATATATATATATATATATATATACCATGAGCACTAATACATGTTTACAGGGAATTGGGGGACAAGGGAAACACAATCCAACCACCAATGAGGAAAGAGAGGCCGATTACTTTTAACATCTCAACTTCATTCCGGATCAAATCGCACATTGGAGAAGGTGCCTATGGAGTCGTCTGTCTTGCAGAGCACACACCAACAGGGAGGAAGGTTGCTATCAAAAAAGTCCAACCGTTTTCAAGACCCCTGTTCTGCGTGAGAACTCTCAGAGAGATCAAGCTGTTGAAGCATTTCCAGCATGAAAACATCATATCGATATTTGACATTCAAAAGCCATCCTCATTTGACCAGTTCAACGAGGTGTACATCATACAGGAGCTGATGCAAACAGACCTACACAAGGCCATAGTCTCGCAAAACCTAAGTGATGATCATGTCCAATATTTCATCTACCAGACGCTTCGTGGGCTGAAGGCATTACACTCTGCAAATGTCATCCACAGGGACCTGAAGCCCTCGAATTTGCTGGTCAACGCCAACTGCGACTTGAAGATCTGTGACTTTGGGCTCGCAAGGATAGACGACAGGAAGGAAGGGCAGACCACCTCCTCGCCAGAGGCAAAGATCAGCATGCTCACTGAGTACGTTGCAACAAGATGGTACAGAGCACCGGAGATTATGCTCAGCGCATCGAAATACACCACGGCCATCGACATATGGTCAGTCGGGTGTATCCTCGCAGAGCTGCTCAATCGCAGGCCCCTATTCCCAGGAAAGGACTACAGACATCAATTGATGCTCATATTCCAGGTCCTGGGCTCGCCCATAGGGGACGACTACAAGAGCATAAGGTCCAGACGCGCCAGAGAGTACATCAGATCGCTAACGTTCTACAAGAAGCAACCGTTCTCGCAGCTCTTCCCATCAGCAAACCCGAAGGCCATAGACCTCCTCGACAAGATGCTCACCTTCGATCCGGATAAAAGAATCACGGTCTACGAGGCTCTGGAGCACCCCTACCTGAGCGCATACCACGACCCAGCAGACGAGCCCGTGGGCAAGCCAATTCCCCCAGAGTTCTTCGCGTTCGACAAGGTCAAAGAGGAGCTGACCATCCCAGAACTCAAGACCATCCTCTACAACGAGATCATGTCCTCTTGACGTCTGAATAGCCTTAAATACCGGCCTCATTGCCCTCATCTTCCTTCCTTCTTTCCTCCTTATTCTGTAGCATCGGCGTTATAAGCGTACAGCGCAGCAGCGGCGCTACCGGCGTGCAGCACCGCAACGAGGCAAAAGGCCGATGCCGGCCGCATAATTACGAAGCGCTCGGTACCAAGATTTAATACCCACACTTTGTTGTTATTTCCTGTCTTGTCTTGTTCGAATGGTAGTTTAGCCGGTGAACTGAGCAACAAGGCACACTATGGAGCATACGCAGGTCCATCGAGGGTATACGGTGACGCTGGTGGTTGAGCCGCCGGTGCCGCTGGAGTCTGTGCCGGACAGGAAGTTCTTCACGTACAACGAGGCGATAAGAGGAGCTGTTAGGCTACACGTCCTCAAGGATCTGCCGCTCAAGGACATCCAGGTGAAGGTGTGCGGTGTGTCGAGCACGGAGGTCATTGATGATATCCGGCTGTCTAACGGGAAGAAGCGGGAGTGCCACGAGGTGATGAGCCATGAAGTGTTCTACGACGTGGTTACACTGTTCCCTCCTGCAAACGTGAAGCAGGTTTCTCAGAATGACAAGTTCTCACTGACGAGTGGTGACTACGAGTACCAGTTTGAAATCACGCTTCCCTTCAAGCCTCACTGTGCGAATGAAGGCTCCAGACAAACAGCCAACTACGTATCGAACCCGTATGAAACAGGGTGGAGGAAAGACGGGCATCACGTCACTTCATCAGGGATCATCCACGATGGCAATTCTCCATTGCCACCAAGCTTTTACGCGTGCTCATTCCAAGGAGAGGCTAAAGTCTATTACACTATCAAGGTGTCGGTACATAGGCCTGGTGTGTTCCAGAGATCTTCAAGATTGATTTTACCAATAACTGTTAAACCCCCTGGACCCTTATCACATGTCAGGTCTATGATATCGGCTAAAAGGTCGTTTTCTAAACAGTACGTTGTGAAATTGGCCATCGACCCAACGTCTTTATCGTTGACCTCAACGATCAACAGTTTCCTGACTAATACTACAGTGCAGCACGTGCCGTTGAAGCTCAGGCTGGAATTGGTCACACCGGATACTCTAATCCCTGGTTCTGAATTCAAACCACTGTTACGTATGCAATTCGCACATGAGCTTGATGAACAGTTCCCACCTGTGTACGTCAAGAGCTTCAAGTTCAGCTTAACAAAGAGAGTCAGCATGAGAACACACTCGTTTAAAACTGCATTCTCTTCAGATATGCCAATTCGTACAGTTACCGAGCCATTCCTGTTACAAATGGATAAGCGTGTTGAATATCACGATGCTGAAAGGCAATACAATACACAGCTGGACCTTTCCAAGCTTGTCCAGGCACATTTTGACGTGCTCAAGATCACTCCGAGTTTTAAAACTTGCAACATGAAGGTACAATATTGTTTCTCTGTTGAGCTGGTGATCGGTACCCAATATCAAGGACTGCGTGTTCTTTCAGACGATAAGACCATGATGATTCATAACGATGTGCTTGTGACTGGTCCTGTGGTGGAGGAGCTCGAGTACAGTCGTATATTTAACAATTCCTTGGATCTACCTCCTCCAATTGACGACGATGACGATGATCTTGATGAAGGTGACGATTTGAGAACGTTGTTTGGACAGGCTAACCCTTCGAGAAGACGCAGCTCAGCCTATAGCAAAGACAGCGAAGAGCTTCCCCCATACAGAGAGGCTTCAAACAGAAGGTAGCCGATGGAAGGCCACTATATACTCCATATATTATATATTATATAATATAGTATAATATTATATTATATAACATTCTCCTACCGAACGTGAAGAAAATTCGAGAATCTTCCGCCATCTCTTCCTGTTCCTCTTCATTGATTCCCAAGAACAAGTGAACAACATCAGCAGCAACGATGCCAATTGACTACTCCAAGTGGGATAAGATCGAACTATCAGACGATTCTGACGTCGAAGTTCACCCAAATGTTGATAAACGCTCCTTTATCCGTTGGAGACAACAGGATATCCACCAGAAACGTGATGAACGTAACCGAGAGATTGCGCTCTTGGAGACTCAGGTCCCCATGTATGAGGAATTGAACAGAAGGGTCGGTATTCTGCTGGCTAAATGTGATGATTCCGTCCTAGCAAACTATCAACAAGTGTGTGATTTCCTCTCAAAGACGTTCGACTCTTCGAAACCTCCAGGAGTGGAAGAAGACGCACCAACGTATAACGAGATGATCGAAGATCTGTTCACAGATATTAAGGGCAAGTTGGAAACGGCCAGCTTGGACCCTAATGACGGTAAGCTGGTTAGAGAACAGGTTGCCAACCATACAAAGAAGATTGAGGATGTTCTCTCCACGCAAAGAGATAAGCTTCAGACGTTATACAAGGAGAGAGAGTTGCACATCTCATCAGAGGATATGCATACAGGCTGGGATCGTTCTTTCCTTAACAAGGACAGTGATGTGAAGAAACCAGAACAGCCTAAAGCACAGACTGTATCTGAGGGATCAACTACTGGATCGGCCTCTGCAGCATCTTCAACTTCTACAACGACTAAGGCGACAACCACATCAACATCAACATCAAGCAGTACCCCGGTCACCAAATCTGTTTCACAGAAGCACAATGAACTTAGTTCTTGTACAGAAAGTGATGAGGAAGCTCTGGCGAAATACTCTGAGATTCCCTACGAGAACCTTGTCCAAATAAGAGATTTTTTGAAAACCCATACCAACATCATAACGCAAGCTAACAAGGATTCTTTGTTGATGAGTGCATTTGATTCGGAATTTGATGATGATCATGCAAAGACAAAGAGAATCGTGGGTGTTTCCATCCTTCTTCAATATGTGCTCGATGTCTTGAACTTCAAGAAGATTGAACAAAAGCCTCAGATACAACAGGTTGTTCAGCAACTGTTTGACAAGATGATGGGGAGTGGTCAACAACAAGTTATGAGCTCCTTCCAACAGGAACTAGCAAGCACTTTCGATCACATCCAAACCCGTTGTAAAGTCTTAAGACAAGAACAGTTGGAATCCGGCGAACTTGAAGGTACAGAAGAAATTCAGCTGAAATCGCTGGATGATGATACAACGCTTGTTGTGAACCTGCCAGATTCCGAGTCTTCTGATCCTACAGAGCAAAAGAGGGTTGAGCTTTTCAAGTCATTGCCTGAGAGAATGCAACAAGCTCTACAAACAGGTACTTTGGATGAAGTTAACAATGTCTTCCATGGCATGCCAATTGAGGAAGCTGAACATATATTGGAGATCTTCGATGAAGCAGATATAATTGGTGTTCGTGCCTTGGTTGAGAATGAATCAGACTGGGAACAGCTGAAAGGCGAGTACGAGCAGAACTTGGCTGTGGAAGACCATCAACACCAACCAGTCCTTGAGGAATTGCCAGAGGAAGGTACAAGTATAATTCCTACTAGTGATATAGTTGATTAACCAAATAATACACATACCTCTTGCTAATAACAATCCTTCCGTTATGTTGCCATTTCTTCGCAATGAACGGTTCGTATAGTTAATCGACAGAACGAAGTCTACATGCCATATAACATATATAGATATACATTAAAAAGGAGAAAGTTGAAAATCGCAACAACGAGAGTCATCATGGCAGCATTCCTACACCGAATGGTCATTAATATCCAAATCATCATCATCATAATTATTGTCATCTCAAAGCATTGCATAACTTGGGAAGGTTCTTCTGCTCCACGAATCAACATCCCACTTGATCAAGCCTTTACAACACCCGATAACGATATGTGAACCTCCGCTGTCTTCATACCAATCGAGACCACTGATCTCATTATCAAAGTAATCAAACTCGGATCCTGACATGGAGGAGTAGCTAGATGCAGTTGAGCCTCTATGTTCACGAACATCTAAGGTAACATCCGAGTTTTCTTCAAATCCAACTGCATTCAGCAAGTTGAAGTTGTTCATGTTTCTGGATGCATAATTGGCGTTGAAAGGAGTGTTCATATCGTCATTCTTTGCCAGGTTTGATTCAATGGTGACAACTTCGTTGAAGTCCAACACCTTTGGAGTGAAAATAGAATTCTCAGAACAGTCTTGGATTCCGTTAAGATTCACCAAGGATGCAGAGCTGCCGATCTCCGACCGTTGTGGGATTGAGTTCACAGGTAGGACAATCACTTGATGGTTTGAGAAGTCTCTCGAATCGATAACGTGTACTCTTCCAACATGCTCGCTGATCACAAGCAAATCATCTGTGCCTCTTGAGTACTTCAGACATCTGAACGCTCCGTTGGATGAGTTCTTTCTCGTTGAATGCACCGTCTTTATTGGCCCGGCACCAACGTTTCTTGTGTCATAGATCAAACAAGTGCCATCCTGAAAGCAAGATGCAAACTGTTGGCCGGAACCTGAAAACGACGTTGAGAACCCAGAATCGCAGTGAGTATCAATAATGTTGTCACGGCGTAAAACACCATCTTGTTGTCCTGGGTGCAACAAGAATATCTTTGAGCAGTCCCCAAGCACAACCAAGTTCTTGTGGTCGTCTGAGAGGGCAGAGTGATTCAGAGGGAACTCCAAATTGACAGAGTCATCCACGGCGATTGCAGAATTAGAGATGTGTGTGCTGTACAAGTACTTGTCATTGTTACACACATATGACGTATAAGTGCCGTTCGACACCTTGTTCACTGATGCGTTGTTGTTGATGTACGTGCCCAACCTAATACCGAGGGACTGTTGAGTCTCCCTGTTGTAGAAGGAGAACAACCCACGCCACGAGGCACCCTCCCCGGTGCCTCCATCGCCCATCTCAGCAAACGCTCTGTTCATGAGCGAGGTCGACGACGAGTTGCTGTTGATCGAGGAGATCACACCGCCCGTGACGATCTTGCTGTGTGCCTCCTTGAAGCACCGCGGGTGGAAGTCCAGCGTACACACGGTGCTGATCTTGTCGGTAGAGAGGTCAGTGCACTTGATGGCATCATCGTGTGTATAGATGATCTCGTTTGGGTTCGCAGAGCATGGCTGCACCAAGTCTCTGAGCTGCCAGTGGCTAATAAACAATCAGCTTGTCAGTATATGTGTAAACAACAGCGTAGCGGCAGGCGTACAGCCCAGGAAAATACTCACTTGACCGTGATGGTTGCAGGGTGGAACGATGGCTTCTCAGCCAACGCTGATGTTCTTCCATGGTACACAGTCTCGTCATGCCCATGGCTTCTTCCATACGAACGCCTGTGTTAGTACTAATCTCAGCGGCAGCGCTGTGTAAACATCACCACTTTTGTGTACGAGGGCCTTCCCGCCATTTGACGCAATCTCAACACCATCGGGGCAGGAACACGAGATCTCATACGACCAGTTCCGAGGAGGTGGCGAGACCGGTGCAACGTGGTGATGATACGAGGATCGGCGTGTGTGTGTGTGTGTACTTACGATACCAATAGACCGTTATCAATAGTCATTTGTTTATCTTTTAGTGGTGTATCTTGTGTGTGTGTTGGGGTCTCATTAGACAGAAATCGTCCTTTTCTCCCTTGCTCCCTGTGTCTTTCTTATCAGGAGAGCGCTGCTGCCCCTAGCGAGGGGAGTCACAGTGAAGAGGTGGTACGCCCACGCTGTGTGTGTTTATGTTTCGTTTGGGGAAGGGGGGTGTCACAAAAGTGGCGATGACCCCACCTTTTGTTCCGAGGATTTGCGTTGCTTTGGTCTATGACGTCATGGCTCACGTGTTTGTTGGTGTGCGTGTCACGTGGTCTGTGGGTGTTGTGTTGTTTTGTACTGTGCATGGCGTAGCATAATCAGATTATGGGTGCTTCGCATGTTTGCAGGTGCTTTGGCGGTGCTTTGGTGGACAGGCATTGTAATGACACTGTGTGTGGAGCGTGAGCTCCAATCTACAGAAGAAAAAAGGGAATACGTAGGACGTCTGGTTGAATAGACACAGAAAATATTTCTATTCATAATCCAAGCGATCAGAGGAGATTGTATCCACTGACGAAGACAAGCAAAGAGAAAACAGAGAACAAAGGCAACAAAGCACAGACACAATCGAGACAAAGCAGAGAGGACGCGGCAGCTAAACCTCAGGGTGATATCATACCTTTGGCAAGATCAGAACATCATCAATCCCGTGAAGGCAGCACAGACAAGTGCTAGGACTGAGTCCAATCTGAGGGAAGCACCCATACCGTTGAAAGTCTCCTCAACAGCAGCCGTGGTCTCTTCAGCAGCACCAGTGGTCTCCTCAACAGCAACCGTGGTCTCTTCAGCAGCACCAGTGGTCACCTCAGCCTCTTCAGTAGTTTCTTCAGCAGCACCAGTGGTTTCTTCAGCCACTTCAGTAGTCTCTTCAGCCTCTTCGGTAGTCTCTTCAGCCTCTTCAGCCTCCTCAGAAGTCTCCTCAGCAGCACTGGTGGTCTCTTCAGTGGTCTCTTCAGTGGTCTCTTCAGTGGTCTCTTCAGTGGTCTCTTCAGTGGTCTCTTCAGTGGTCTCCTCAGCACTGGTGGTCTCCTCAGCCTCTTCAGCCTCTTCCGAAGTCTCCTCAGCAGCACTAGTGGTCTCCTCAACCTCCTCAGTGGCGGTGGCCTCGCTGGTTTCACAGGGTGTGACTGAGCCAGTTGGAGAGGTAAGCAAAGTTTCACACGCAGCCAGTGGACCATCCAGGTAGCTGCCATAGACCTGCCAGAGTGAAATACCACAGGACATACACACGTCGTAGTTTTGCATGAAGTCCGAATCAGCACTGCACAAACAATCATTGTCCCATGGACCATCATCACTACTATTCTCAGCGCAAGCTCTGGCTGCCACGATCATAGGACCACAGACACCGTGACAATCAGTGACAGCGCAAATTTGGGCAAGAGCAGTAGCAACAACAAAAGCACTGAACGAGTAACGAGCGAACATTGTAAAGCACAGTTTGGGTGAATCGTTCAAGCTTGGCTAACCTTCATACCAAAGTCGAGGTCAGACAAAGAAGACATTGTCTCCAATTTATAGAAGACGAGAGTGATATGTGCACATGATAGATATTGGTGAAGCTTTACAGCTGTAAACATTTTGATCATTTCGCTGCAACTTGTTCTGGATGTTCAATATACACACTGAGAAAGAGCTCCAAGAAGAAGCAGCAGATTGCTATATTTCAGAGTCATGTTGTACAGTTGGGTATGAAAGCTCGGCACCCCAGAACACCAAATCGGATATGCTTGGCCAGTGACAAACCTTTGGAGTAATGTTGAATCGCTATTTGCTCAAGTTTTGTTCATGTGATATCCTTTGTTCGCAGCAGCGGGACAGTATACATAAAATGGTCGGCATGAGCTCTACCAAAACATTAGTAAATGTTGATGAAAGTGTACCTTTCAACATTCAACACGTGAGTCCTCTTCTCTAGGCAGTGCACTAGATGGTGATCCTAAATTTCAACAATAGCCGCTCATTATGAGAATATCAGCTTAGCCATTTCAGTGGAAATAACACCCCTTTGTTTACAGTTGAGGCGCTCCGTATTTGGTGAGCATAAAAGTGTAGAAATTATCCACGATATGACTTCTATGCATTGTGCACTGGTACTGGCTACGTGTGTGCATGTAAGAGTCAGTGGCGTAAACAAAGGCTAAGAGGGACACGCCTATGCAATCAAAGGCACTACTTCTCCACATTTAACGTGCTTCTAACATAGGTGAGTATGATTGAAAAGTATTGGTATTGGTATCATATATTAAAAAAGTAAAGAATTAGACAAGCTCCTTAGATTCGTAAATAGGTTAAATTGGTTATACCACTTACAAGAAGAGCATACCGAAGGCAATAGCAACAAGGGTAGAACCAGCAATCAAGTTGTTAGCCTGACCTTCTTGAGTAGAGAAGGTGTAGGTAGAGGTGGCCACAGTGGTCTCCTCCTCTGGAGCCTTGGTGGTCTCAGCTTCAGCGGTCTTAGTCTTGGTGACTTGAGTTGTGATGGTACTCTCCTCTTCAGCAGCAGTCTTTGTCTCTGTGACTTGAGTGGTGAGGGTTTGGTCACCAGCCTTAGTCTCGGTGGTCTCCTCCTCTGTGCTGATTGGACAGTATGTGGTGTACTCAGTGGTGACACCGTTCTCTGTCTTAGTAACAGTAGTGAGACCAGTAGTAACTGGAACCTCAGTGCAAACCTCGTCACATGAAGTAATGGTGATCACAGTGGTGATTGGACAGTAGGTTGTGTACTCAGTGACGACACCACTGATGGTCTTGGTGACAACAGTAACACCAGTGGTGACTGGCTTGGTAGTGCAGCTGTCTTCTTCACAAGAGGTGATAGTGACAACGGTGGTAGATTGCTCGTCAACGGTGGTGGTGCTGGTCACGTTTGCGAAGCTTGTTGGCTCGACCTCAGAAGACTCAGCAGAGGAGACATCAGAAGACTCGGCAGAGGAGACATCAGACTCGGTAGAGGAGACATCAGAAGACTCAGCAGAGGAGATCTCGGATGATGTGGACTCGATGCTGATAGAGGACTCCTCGCTCTCAACTGCAGAAGAGGTGGACTCGATACTGATTGTTGATTCATCAGCGGCTGAGGTAGAATCTGGGGTGACAGAAGAGAGGTTGGAGTCTGGAGCAAGAGATGTGGTGGAGGACTCAGTAGAAGACTCAGCAGAAGACTCAGCAGAAGACTCAGCAGAAGACTCAGCAGAAGACTCAGCAGAAGACTCAGCAGCAGAAGACTCCTCGACAGAAGACTCAGTGGACTCAGCCTCAGAACTGGATGTGGAAGACTCACAAGGAGTGACTGAACCGGTTGGGGAAGTGACAAGGCCCTCACATTGAGCCAATGGGCTGCTCAAGAAACGGCCATAGATTTGCCAAATTGATTGACCACAGCTCATACAGTCCTCGTAATTGGCGAGGAAGGCAGAACCATCGTCACACAAACAAGAGTTGTCCCATGGACCAGTATCGTTGTTACCTGGAGTACAAGCTCTGGCAGCAACAATCATAGGACCACAGACGGCGTGACACTCATTAGTGGTACAGATCTCAGCAGGCAATGGAAGAGCAAAAGCCTCTGGGAATGGGAATGGGTCAGCGACTGGAGAAGCTGCTGCGAGTGCAACGGAGGCAACAAAGGCACCAATGGTAAAGCGAGCGAACATGGTTTGTATCTGGAGTTTGTATATGCCGGTTAAAAGAAAGAACACAGGAATATGAAGAGAGAAGACGGGAAACAGAGAGGCTCGGTCCACTTTATATAGATTTGCGTAAATAGTTTACAAAATGGGGATTGAGGAAGGGGACTAGACTCCAACTTACTGCTTTAGGAGTAGAGATCTGTAACTGAACTGTGCGCTGGTGCATGGTTATTTCTGTTTTAGGATGTTTTCATTCCTTCCTGACCCTTTGTGCAGGAGTCCTTATGCACCCAAATATGCCGACTCCTCTCAGTTTCAACCATCTTGAGAGTCTCGGCAAACACTTTGCTGCTGAGATTTCCTGTTGTTGCTGGATGTTTACGGGCTTTGAGTCCAACAATCAGAATGATCTGAGAAGCAAGAGACAATGTAGATGAGATATTCGGAACTGTTGATCACAACTGTACAACAGGATGGTTCATGTAACATCTCGCGCGTGCGTGGTCTCCCGGTATAATGATAATGCACCACCTTCTTCCGTTTACCAAAACGCTCTGAGTCAGTGAGGTTACTCATCAGGAGCCTATGTCCTGCATTAATGAGCGTAGACTATACCTCTGCCTGCCTGCCCCCCCTTTGAATTGCCGTAAAAGGAGCGAACGGTCGTATCTTACGCGACTAGTGATGAACAGCAGTCGCAAGCTGTTCACTTGAAACACCCCTATTTAGCGTTTGAACTTTGGGCTGACAAAACCAGCCAGCCGCTAAAACGAGCGGAGAATAGATCGAGCCTTATTCCGTCTACAAACTCCCCCGCTAACAGATAGCTGTATCGCAACAGAATAGTGCTGCTATCATCTTGGTTACTAATCGCTTGGTTCAAATACATTCACAGCTCCTTTGATCAAGCTTTGATTTAAAAAATATGCGTTGTAGGGTTGCCTTGACATGCATTTATCCCCGATGTTTGCGGATATGCCCATATTTTTTTATCTAAAGGATCGAACTTGTGCCAGCGCATTAGGACGCTTTTTCTTGTTAGAGGAGTTTGACCGTGTCCACAGCAGGCAACTTAAGCTCGTTTGGTGGAGTGTGACCTCTCTATGTGTGTCTCTACGTCAGAAGATGAAGCTCATGGCTGATGTGGCTAATGGAGGTTCGTGGTGCTTGCACAATGTTTCCGAAGATATCTTTGATTTGAGCCATTGTCCAGCCGGCGTTTTGGGGTGTTTTTTGATGAGCAAGCGGAAAGCGAAAACACCCGCAACTTGAGATTCCCACAATGCAAAGGCTCTAGGAAGGTTCAGCTTAGAAGTTCAACAACAATCTTTCAACTGCAGCGTGTTGGAACGTATGCTTTTAGCCGTGCTACATTATTATTTGGAGTTGTCGGCTTCGCTGATTGGCTAACTTTGAACAGGAGTCCAGCCTTAAGGCTGTATTAGACTTTAAAATAGTCCGTGACGGTGGACCCACCACTCATTTCACGCTCTGAAGTTAGGGTCTTCTAGCTGGATTTGGTTTATTGTAAATTCGTAACCCTCTTTCTGCATTCGGTATACTGTAAACTCGTAACCTTCTTTGTGAATTATCCTATTCATTAGTATGACGAGCCGTCACCCTTCGATGTGGTCCCTGCGCTAATTCTGCGTACAAGATCTACACACAGATCCGAGATCTACACACAGGTGTGGACAATAGAACACATGTTTGTAAGTGCTTGAGTTGTGCGCCATAGACTGTTTTGGTTTACGCTTAGTAGCTGCCCTGGGCTTTAGGGGAATATCCTCAGTTCATGCCGGACGGTTAAAAACAATAGCGTAAAGTTTTAGCTCTACTTTCATTTCGTACGATTCCAGATAGTCCTTGGCTATTTCTTGCGTAGGTTAATCCTAAAGACAGTGTGCCTTGGAGTATTATTTGTTCTGGCTATTCCAGGCATCTCGCTAGTACAAGGGTGCGAATGAGCATGTAACGATTAATCATGGGCATGTTGAAGTGGATGTTGGATAACTCCTCATCCATGAAAGGTGGCTAGTGACTACCTCTCACTTTCATTGTAAGGACAAGAACCACCGTATCTGGCTTTGGATTTAACAATATCCTATAAACTGTAGAATTCAGAATACTGATGAATAAGCAATGCTAAAAAAACACATATGACATCAGTGGAATCGTCAAATGTTGTGTACTCTAAATGGTACACCGTAGGTTTCCTGTAGCTCATGCAGTGACGAGACCTATATTGGTGAAACCAATTCAATAGGTGTTGTCAGATTTACACGTCGAATTATATCATCCTATCTGGGTCTCTTGATGTAACCATTGGCTGTATATGAGCACACAGTGTCGGAGCTGCCGTCATTTACAACCTTTACGGTTCGCTGTAAAATGATCTTTGAAGTCATTTCAAAAAGTTTTGGCTCAAATGTTTGAGATACAGTCTACTTCGTTATACTCAGTAAATCACATCAAAGATTACTGAATGGAAAATGAACCAATAGGGCTCTTCAATGGAGAGTGAAGACATCAAAACATAAGAATACGGTGTCGCCAAATATTGAACAAAGTCACACTAACAGGCCATTCCCGGAATTTCAACTAAAGGTCCCTTGGCCCAGTTGGTTAAGGCGTGGTGCTAATAACGCCAAGATCAGCAGTTCGATCCTGCTAGGGACCATTTTTTTTTTTTTTTTGTCGGGTCCCCCTGGCGGCCCTTGATTGACCGGGGATTTTCAATTTTCCTTCGATTTTGGTTGGCGTTTTGTTGATTCGGGGATTCCGGTTTCACCCCAGCTTCATTGCCCGTTTCTTTTTTTTTTGGTTTTCTCTTTCCTTAAATGGGTTTTAACCCCGGTGGGAGTTGGGAGTTTGGTTTTTTATCCGGGGGTTTTTTGAGGGCTTTCTCAAAATGTGTATTCGTTTGTAGCCTCAGAGTTGCAAAAGCGCTGGAGTGTTGTTGGTAAATTTGCTGTCATTGTCAAACAAGGTTGGATCATGATGACCATTTCAGTGAATTGAACTTTGTAGAGCTTGGTGCAAATTCGCATTCCCACTGCGCTCTAATTTCGGGAATTTACAGTCGCCTCCTATGTATTAGTCTTGCCAAACTTAGATCACCAAATTACCACGTGTGAGCTCTTCTTCAGAGGTTGGAACTCTACTTCTTGTAATATATGCAAATTTTAAAGTCTCACATGATTGTTACAGCTCTGAATGAGCTTTCAACAATAACTACTGCGGACTGATACCCAGCACTTTAATATTAATATTCTTGACCTCCAGACAATAATCCGTGCTTCATCAAAGAGATATATAGATGTATATACAATGACAGTGACCACACACCAATTTCCAATTGATTTATTGTCTAATAAGAACCACACAATATTTTTTTCCCATATGGCATTTTTTACAATATTCCCTTATTAACTTTCTCTATTACATAGCGAATATACCCTTTCTTCTGACTAAAATCAACAAAAGTGCTACTTCAAGAAGTGTCTTTCATAAATATATTCCAAACAATAAATTCTCAATATTAGCATTCAACCACACTCACATTCCTTCCACTATTAAAACTAGTTGAATCCCCCTTGAGTATAGCATAGTTCGCCAGCGGTGGAGGGAAGCGGTGGGGGGCCAACATGCCAAAATACATCCAAACACCAATTGATGCGAAAACCTCAGCGACGAAAATGTGACGTTCTTCCCGTATTGCCGTTTTAAGTAAAAAGTAAATACTGCAAAAGTGTTATAGTTTCTGAGACAACAGTGCCTAAAAAGAGAAAAATGAAAACGCCGTTGCCACGGTTGGTTTTTTTTTTCTTTCGTTCTGCCCTCGTTTTCGAGTAACACAACCAAAATTGGAATTCGATCAGACAATTCCTCTCATCAGGAAAAGGTATTAAAAGATTTGGAGTCGTACGCATTTCAGCAAACCCTTTTGATCTTTGTATACAACTCAACACCTCTGAGAGCCGAAAAGGGAAAAGGAAACAACAGAATTCACCGTTTCTCCAACAACCATTTGTGTATACATTTGCTTCGCTGCAGCCATAATTGTGTCTCACATTTTGAGCATTCCAATCGGAGAAGAGGCTCTATTCATATATAAGGAGCGAGCTGGAAGTGGAATACCATCTCAAGGAAGAGCTCATTGAGAATAAGACTCACTGGAGGTGCACTGTATTTGAAACCATTCCCCCAGAGGATCTGTTAGACCACTGGGAACTCAAACACAGGGCATACTATTGACTGAGCAAGATGAATACGCTATGGCTATCATCACTGGCCACCGTGCTTGTGAAAGCAATGGGCCAGCAGCTTGACTTCCAAGGCGTGACACAACCTTCACTGAACCTCGAATTGTTTAATGATGCAGAATTTGGCATACTGGGGAACTTTGACTCCATCACTCCGTATAGCTATCTTGGTATATCGAATTTCACCAACCAGAATGGTTTGCGGAACCAACTATACTACACAGAAGGTTCGAACGAGCAGTTTATCACGTTAGGACAAATCCATGGAACTGTCTCGAGGATATTCCCCTTTTCCAACGATAGTTTCCTCCTTGTGGGAGACTTTGAGAGTATAGGAACTAGGAGCACTCCAAGTCCATCGATATACAACGTGACGACGAATGAATTCATACACCTGGGAAACATCACCGACATCAACGCAGTTCTGCTCAATGACGACGAAAGCGTCGTGTATATAGGTGGTGATTTCTCCTTCAACAACTCGTACAGTGCTGCAATATATAACCTGACATCTGGCAAACTTCAGAGTACCTTGTTTGATGGGTTTGGTGATGATTCTGTTGTGAATTCCATAGTGAAAATTGGCTCAAACATTGTATTTGGAGGTCAATTCAACACCTTGGGACTTCCCGAGCTCATATCACAGTCTTTTAACGAGACTAATAGCACCATAGAGACTGATCAGATTGTGAGTCTACGACATGCAAATCTGTCATCATCAGATGGTTCTTCCAACCCTGAAGTTCTTATATGTCCAGCCGGTGAAGAATGGACAGTGAGTGGAAGCTCGGCAACCCTTAACATTCAACTGCCATTCACAGTGATTCCATCCAAGTTGAGAATCTATAACTCTGCGAATGTGAATTCTGAAATTAGCATGTTTCGTCTAATCACATCGCCTACAAATGGTATCATGAACTTGACATACGTTGATCCACAGACTGGCGAATTGAGCTTCTGTGATGCTTGGTGTCCGCTTCTCTCAAGTAGTGAGCTGGTTTCTGCATATGAAGATAGTGATAGTATTGATCGTGTTGCTGAATATGGAGACTCCACTATCAGTTGGAGTCAATCCTACCAGGAGTTTGCGTTTGTTAACTCACTTGATGTTGACCTGTTGAATTTTCAGGCCTTGGAATCATATGGTGATGCTATAGCACTTGCTGGGTTCGAGATTTACCAATCCATATTCCCAACATATGCGTATGATGTGCTCAATGATCCATCCTGTGATTCCACAGTTAGATACTCGCAGTCCGAACTGACAGGTTCGTGGGATGTTGTGGGTTCTTACATGGAAACCACAGTTCAAATATCTGATGAGATCCCAGACGTTGGCGTGACATTCCTTCCAAACATTACATATGCCGGCGATTATTCGATACTGATGTATACACCGGGATGTGCTCAGGATAATACCTGTGATACAAGAGGTATCGTGAATGTCACTGTTGTTGATATTGCGCTTGATGAAGTATTGGAATCACACCTCATATATCAGACTAACCAAGAGGAGAAATACGATTCAATCTTCTATGGTCATTTAGACAATGCTGTTAGAGTTGACATGGTGTTATACTCTGCTGTTGCTGGCTCGTCAACGACCGAAGTTACTGTTGTTGCTGATAGAATCACCACCAACATCTTCTCAGCTGATACTCTTCAGTCAACTAACGGGTCGATTCCAATCAATGGCATCTTTGAATACTCTCCAAGCAATTTTACCAACTTCAATGCTGCCAACTTATCAGAGACGATATTAGTGGGGAACACTACGCTCAACTCATTGGGCTCAAACATATCTTCGGATGCCTCAATCCAGCTAGCACTACTAGATGATACTCTTTATGTTGCTGGTGACTTCCAATCTGACTATGGTGATAATCTTTTTAGAGTGGATATCGATAGTGATGAAGATTTGACTCCATCCTCCTTCGACGGTGGATTGAATGGTCCAGTTCTGAGTCTCACAACTGCTGACAACTACTTGGTTCTTCTGGGTGAATTTGACAGCATGAACAACCAGACAGACGTGTCAATCTTATCCTCACAGAACGATTCTCTTAGTGGATCTGCCTTTTTCAATGGTGAATGGTACTCTTTTGGATCCGACGTTGGTACTTCATTTGCCTATCTGAGCCTGTTTGGTGAAGATTATTGGCTCTTTGAAAACGAGACCTGGGATCTTGGAGAGGAATCTTGGTATATAAATACCAATTTGTTATCTTTCAATTCAACAGCAGCATCGAGCTCTTCCAATGTGACGCTGTTTACTGGTTCTTTAGCGACTTCTCAAAATAATGGCAACATGGGTGTATTGATGAATTCTGATGGAAATGTTATGAATGTTACCAATGATACACTCACACACAGCTCATTCGTAACTGGCCTCTTTATCAACGAGTCATTAGCTGCTTATGGTGGCCAGTTTGTCACTAGTAATGACATCTCCAATCTGATTCTGGCTACACAAGGCTCCACTGATGGATTGGATATCAATTGGGAGGACAACTCGACTGTGACGTCTTTGTTCCATTACCAAGATCGGTTGTTCATCGGCACTCAAGGATCAGGCTCTGTTGCTCATAATGATTTCGATGGCTTATTGATATACAACCTCAACAATGATACTTTTGAATCTGCTGGCTCGCTATCCAACTCGGCAGGAACTGTGGTGGTTAATGGCCTTGGAATTTTCAACAACACCTACCTTGTTGTTGGAGGGTCCTTTGATTCAGCAGATGGTACCGATTGTTCTGGATTCTGTTTCTACAACATGAATGAAACCTCTTGGACTCAGCTTATCTCTGACTTGTCTGGTGCTGTGAATCACTTCAGGTTTGTGAATAACACTCTTGTTGCGTGTGGTGATCTTGATTTCAACGGCGAGACCCTTCACCTTTTCACGTATGACTTTAACTTGACTACACAGGAACAGCCTGTGCACTTCAATGAAGTTGAGCATTCAGTGAATACTTTTATTCTCGTGGATGATTCTCTCTCGGGTAGAATCATTGTCGCTGGTGATTCCTTCATATCTGCGTTTGATGGCTCATCTTGGGTAAACATCACCGGAGACTTGGATGGAACCATTACTGATATTGCATTATTGGAACTTTCAGAGACAAATAGTGCAAACGACGGATCTTATTTCAACTCATCTCAAATTCTGATGGCGTCCGGTAACTTTACCATTGGGGAGTATGGATATGCCAATATGGCGCTGTTCAATTCTACATCGTGGATTCCATACGTGGTTGTTACAGCAGGCCAGTCCACAGCTACCGTTAACTCAATATACTTGAATAAGGACATTTCCAACCTGTTTATATCTGGAACCCTCACCAATTCAACACGCCCAGAAACCACAAGTTCTGCTGTTCCATCACCAACGTCTTCAACAAGCTCAGAAAGGAACTCATCAGGTAAGATGGACAGGGGATTTATAGCTCTTGTTGGTCTTGCTTGTGCCGTTGGAACTATAGGTCTTCTTGGTAGCATCGGTGCAATCTTTTTGTTCAGAAAGAGAGAACAAGAATATATGCCTATCGAACCAAGAGTTAATGAAACAGAGATGTTGGAAACAGTTCCACCGGAAAATCTCTTCAAACATGTATGAGTGACCACCTAATAGTTTCATTCACCTGTGACAATATGTATGATGTATTACTGGACAATTTCATAAAACTAATGCCGATTCTTTTTTAATTCTATATCAGATCGTTTTAAGAATCACATGGATAGTTTATCCTCTGATGCCACCTGGAGTCTTTTTAAGAGACCGCCTTCTCGTTCACCAATGACTGTTCCTTGATAGACTGTCTTTGTATCTTGTAAGCACATGAGCACTTGTAACGGCTCAGAGACTGGATCCCAATTGCGAGCAGCGATAAGCTTGAACAGTGCACTCTTCCTTTGTCTTGTATTACCCATCGTGGCGATGTTTCTGATGTTGAGTTTCAAAGGGTTCACAAAATCAACATCTTCATCATCGTTCATTTCATCTTGTGACTTTTCAGTGATAAGTTTCCTTGTCATTATTGCCTTAGCCTGAGCAGATATACAGATCGAGTAGTAATAACCGATTCTTTCCAGAAGAACAACTTTGCCAGTCTTCGTTACGAGTTTATCGTTCAATGCCTTCTGTACCCATTTGATTGCAGTCGGTGCATTCGACCATGTGTCTCTCAAATTGCAAAACAGCTCTGACACAACCAATATCGATCTCAATGCATACGTCTTCAGTCCACATCTTGCCAAATAAGTATAATTGGAGTTATCCATCAAGGGATCAATTGTATCATTCTTCAGTTTGGATGTAATGTTTGCAGCTCCCATCAAAAGGGAGATGGCAGCCATTTCAGAAGCAGATGCAAGATGAGTCCATGCCTTATCGTTAAGGAAATCCTTCTTAGCCAGTTCATACGTGGTATATGAATATCTATAATCTCTCAACATAAATGACCAATCTGCCAACTTCTTAGTCAACGTTTGAGTTGAGTTATACCTATAAATTCCCAATTCACTGTTATAGTTCTCGGAGAGCTCATTATTAGTCTCCCTTTTCGATCCAAAGTACTTCTTGGAAACATTAAATAGTCGACCGGTTATGCTCTTTCTAGGAACAATAACCTGCTCATCCCATGTGGTGATCTTCTTCTCCATAAAGGGTATAAGCTTCTTCTGTATTACATCCTTCAGGAGTTGATATATTGCTGTTAGATTAGTAGTTGGCAATGAAGGGTTCGGTGTAGATGATAAATGCGTATTTTGTAGTTCCTCATCGACAGTGCACAAGATTGGAGGGTTGAGCACCACCGATGGAACGCTGTCATCGTTGCTATTGAGATCCAACGAGAGCACAAAGGCCTCCACAAATAACTGTTTCTTAATATGTTCACGGTGCTGAGCAGATTTCTCCTGCTGGTCAGCATTCGCTTGGTCAGTTATGATGATGAAAACAGGGATGATATCGTCAATGCTGAGATACTCTGGCAACTTTGCACTCTTGTACTGTATCAGCATTTGTCTGGCCTGTTCATAGCTCTCCTCCCCAGTTATGAAGAAGAAGGAGGCCACAGGCTGGTTGATCGACTCGAACGACGTGATCGACGAGCTCGCCAGCAGCTTTGTCAAGAACTTCACGTATATCGACTTCTTCAATAGCCGCTTCATCAGCTTATCCTCCGCCCCACACTTCTGCAATTCCAGGTCGACGAGCTGGATGTACTCCGTCATCAGTAGCTCCAGCGACTGGTAGTTGAACAGCTGGGCCTTCGTACCGCTTTCCGCCTGTTGAACACTGAGCATGTGCTCCAGAGGTGGAACAAACCTCAGAGAGAACTCATCTATGGTCTTCGAGATGAAGTGCGAGTCCTTGATCTGGAATTTGTGCTCAATCCTATCACCAAACGGCTTCAGCAGCTGAAGCAAAGAGTGGAACTGAAGCTTCGTCGCCACTTGATCAGCCTGTTCAGAAGCATACACACAGACCTGAGGAGACATCGCACTCACTATCAACTTCTTACACTCTTCCGAGCTCCTCTTATCACCAACCTCGCCACAGCTGAGCGTCTGCAACAACGGCGTCACATCCCTCCCAGTGCTTCGGTAGAACAGCACATTGTTGATAGAGAGATTGGAATCCATTGCCGCCCTGTGCTTTGCTCTTCATCCACTCACCAGTAAACAATGGAGGAAGAAGTGCAAGAGCCAATCACCGAAACGGCGGACACAAAAGCCACCCCAAGCCAGTGGTGTCTGGATGTTTAAAAACATGCTAGCCAAACCAATTATCCTCACATCACGTGCATGAACGGTATCTATTCACGTGGGAGAAACACCCAGACACCCCCTTTGGCTGCGTGGGAGGAAAATTTTGGAACAGCGCGTACAAAGGACGCACCAGCGGACCAATCAACAACGGGAAAGCGCTTCAGTGAGACAGCACCTACGCTTACGGTGATCTTAGAAGCCATATCCATTTCCAGGGCTCAATTGCTAACACCATGAAGGCATCACTGTTGATTCCACTGCTTGCTACTGTGGCACAAGCGTTCTACCTCCCAGGAACGGCGCCAACGTCCTACAAGGCTGGCGACAAGGTTCCATTGTTGGTGAACCATATCTCACCAAGCGGGTTCCACGATTCGCATAACACGGAGGAGTTCAGCTATTCGTACGACTACTACTATGACAGGCTGCACCTGTGTCGTCCAGAGAATATGGAGAAGCAGCCGGAGTCCCTAGGCTCGATCATCTTTGGTGACAGAATCTACAACTCTCCGTTTGACATCACGATGCTGAAGGATGAAACGTGTAAAGAGCTGTGCACAGCTCATTTCCCAACTTTGGACTCGTTATTCGTCAACAAGCTGATCAAGAGTCAGTTCTTCTACAACTGGCTGATCGATGGACTGCCAGCTGCGCGTCTTCTGTACGACCAACGTACAGATGACTACTTTTACGGTTCTGGGTTTGAGATGGGTTACGTCGATGACAAGAACGTTCCGCACCTTGTGAACCACTTTGTCATCAACATTGAGTACCACCAGCGTGGTGAGGATGAGTTCCGTGTTGTGGGTGTCATCATTGAGCCTCATTCTTGGTCTCGTGGCGATTACTCCTGTCCAACCTCTGATCAATCTCCGGTGACGTTGCTGCCTCACGAGGACACAGACGTCAGATTCACCTACGACGTTAAATGGGTCCCAAGTGAGACTTTGTGGGCCACAAGATGGGACAAGTATCTACACGTGTACGATCCTAAGATCCAATGGTTTGCTCTCATCAACTTTTCCTTGATTGTTGTGTGTCTCTCTCTGGTCATTGTCCATATCTTGTACAGAGCTCTGCAGGCTGATATCTCAAGATATAACGAGATCAGCTTGGACGATGACTTACAAGAGGAGGCTGGATGGAAGTTGGTTCACGGTGACGTTTTCAGATCACCACGTTTCCTATTGTTCCTTTCGATTATCGTCGGTTCAGGTGTACAGATTCTCTTTATGGCCTTCACAACAATGAGTTTCGCATTGGTCGGTCTCTTGTCACCTTCAAATAGAGGCGCATTATCAACGATTATGTTCATCTTGTACGCTCTCTTTGGATGCGTGGGATCCTACGTCTCTGGAAGTGTGTATAAATTCTTTGAAGGTTCAGACTGGAAGCTGAATATGATTCTTACACCAATCGTTGTTCCAGGTGTGATCTTGCTGGTGATGACTTTCTTGAATTTCTTCCTCATTGGTGTCCATTCCTCTGGTGCAATTCCAGCCGGCACGTTCCTTGCAATTATCCTCATTTGGTTTGTCATGTCTGTACCATTGTCCATTGCCGGTTCTCTGATCAGTTTAAAGAGAGGAAACTTGAGTAAACCAGTTCGTACAAATCAAATTCCAAGACAAATCCCAACAAAGCCTTGGTATTTCAAGACTTGGTTTGTTGCAGCCATTGCTGGTCTCTTCCCATTCGGCTCTTTAGCTGTTGAGATGTACTTCATCTACTCTTCCTTGTGGTTCAGCAAGGTTTACTATATGTTTGGATTCCTCTTCTTCTGCTTCATCTTGATGGTTTTGACGACTTCTCTTGTGACCATTTTGATGACATACTATACGTTGTGCAGTGAGGATTATAACTGGCAATGGAGATCTATGTTCATTGCCGGTGGCTGTTCTGTCTATGTCTTCATCCATGCCATTCTCTTGACTAAGTTCCAGCTCGGTGGGTTCACAACCATTGTGCTGTACACAGGGTATTCTTTGCTCATCAGCTTCCTCGTCTTCGTCTTGACAGCTTCTATTGGATTCCTTTCGAGCTTGTTCTTCATCAGAAAGATCTATTCCACTGTTAAAGTTGAATAATTACAGACCCTATTGAGACAAGGAACTAACCAAAATATCACATTCATTTGTAATAAAAAGTGAATAAAAATACGATTACACATACATCACCAGGTTATTACAAATGCAAGCAAATCAAGTTCTAGACATAGCAACCGATTTCCAATTTGTCCAATCAACGCATTGCAAAAGTCCCGGAACAAAATTTTTCTCCAGCCTCCTTGTCAACATGAACGCAAATGGGAATTATATGCTGTAGGCTTTTGTAGGATTAGCCTGAGTTGGAGAATGGATGTGTAGTGCACATCCGACCAAGTACTCTTCTGAATTTACATATTTGTTGGGTATAGCTAACGGGTACAGCTAATCGTAAGGCTCGTGCTTTGAAATCTCTAACAAAGCCGTTTATTCATGGTTTGATAGCATGTCATTGGTCAAAACTCTAACAATGATGTTGGACTAGTCCAAATTGGATACAGAGGCTTAATCACGTCTGAATTGAAGGCGATATCGCATATAAGCATGGCTGCTAGTCACTGTGTCATTATCATGGGAATCATGCTGAAGGTGTTCGCATAGATGGGACACATAAATAGCAGATAACAGGGTGTTTAAGATCAATGAAGAACAGTCCCGATTCCATGTGTACTTAACCCAACATTCAGTGCTTATTTAACGGTTCACAAGCTACCATACAAAGGCATTCACTCCTGAGACATGTGGCTTGAGGGTATAGCGAATAAAACCTTGTTTCATGCCAACATCACGGTCGACAGACGCAAAGTTACATGGAGGCACTGCACTTACAAAACTATAACTCGTTCTCTAAATAGAAGGTTGTAGTTCATATGAGATACAGCTTATAATACAAGTTTCAGAAAAGAGCGCAGTTCGAGTGTTATCCAAGAGGGAGAGAGTGGTTTAAGCTCGACTAAAACGAAACTGGTGGATTCCTCTTTCCCGCTAAAACAGCTAGCAATTCAGCTTCATGTTCAGTACTTCCATTTCACGCAGCAACATCCCACTTGGGCCATAAGTCTTGTTTCATGGCTCAAAGTACCCTGAACCAGATCAGTAGGCGTCACACTGGCGTGACTCGAATGTAGGCCAGGTTTTCGATTAGCATCTCACCGACACCAACCACGATCTCAATCGTATACATATATCATGTGTGGATGCATCCCAAGTATAGCGGCATTATATGATCGGCGAAGGACCGATACTGTCGATACGTCACAACATGTTCTTCGTACCGACTTTGTATATGATGCAGTGCATCGCCTACTCCTAACTTACACTGTGCTGCCTTGGCGACCTATTTCCCCCAGAATAAGACACACCGGAATAAGATGCTTCTCATGCGCCAGACCAAAGGACTGTGATGGTAATAATTAGTCAACCAGCTAGTGTGTTTTAGCTAATAACAACAGTGCTACAAGACTCTTCAAACAGGACTTTCGGTGATTGTGCTTAACGCGCACAACCTTGTTCCTTCATGGGCATTAACGTGCAGAAATAATTGATACCGTGACTCTTGACTCCTCGGACTGGAATGATTCTGAAACCAGGACAGATCTATCCACCAAAATGGACCCCTTAAAAAGCAGGCCACGACGATTACTGACATTTCTCCAGCTCACGATTGCCGGATCTTTAGTGGTTGAGTCCAATGTAACCATGGCCGTCAAGCTCGAGCCGACTACACAATGAAGAAACACGATCATGTTTGATTAAGTCGTTGGTGTTGTGACTATCCGCAGTCGTGCACTGTGCTGCTGCCGCGGCCTAAGAGCTTACGCTGCGCCACAATAGGAAATAGTGTTCTTTTGTCACAAAGTTCTGCAGTGGCATACATGAGATATACATAGAAGTGCAGATCTCGTTTTCTCTATTGAACGATGGAAATGATGGCCACAGTCATACTCAGTTACAAAGCAAAGTGGTTGGTAGTGAGCACGCTCTAGCATGGCACCGAACAAGCACATATATAACTTTGCTCATCTCCACGCATTGTTCTGATGATTGGAGATGGTGTCAAACGGGATTAATCGTCCTCGACTGTTCTATGCATGTATTTTCGGCTTTCCGGTGTGGTCCTGCCGGACCCGACAAAGAAGCTCGTGATTTTGGTACATGGTTTGTATGCGAAACTATGTCGGCGTCGAATTTCAAGATCTGGTCATATGTGGCATGGAATCTACATATCAACCTCCCGGAGGAATAAGAATGGGTTTACGATATCAGCCTACATCTCAATGGACGCTTTGCGGAAGCTTCCATGCCTTAAGATTTGGAACCTAATGACGTTGGATTGCAGCTTGATGCCATAAGTTCATCCTACGATGATAAAAGTGCGTCCTCTGTAGTCGACAGCTGTGAAACTTATTCATTTACGAGATGTATGTTTCTATCCTACTTTAAGAGTGGACACCGACAAACCCCCTCTGAAGCGGTTGCCGTTTTCTGTTTTCTGTTTTCTGTTTTGCGTGTGGTGTTTGCTGTTGAGTGATACAAGCAGCCGATGTCCATGATTTGTAATTCCATGGGAAGGGAAAGGGATTCACTTCAGGATATAAACAGCTTTTTCACCTCATGTTGGAATCCTGGAATAGAAGAGCTGTGGGACGGAACGTTGCTGTGTTTCAGTTCTCTGTTAGGGAAGCTTCTTATACAGCTAAAATCCCGTGACTGCGCTCAAATCTATGTAAAAATGCAGACTGCACTACCTTTGTAACACCGGCAGAATGAAACCACAACTAACCACGATCCAGAACTAGGATATGAACATAGCTCACAACTCGGGGATGTATCTGAAAACTGTCAGATGTCTTTCTGTAAGCTTCGAGAACAACGGGGCTCAACGTGACTTGCCTAAATGTCCAGGAAAAATAAGCAACGCACCCTCCAGTGAAGAAGCTGTACAAGGTATGCCTCGTAACATGCCGCTGATGTGGATAGAAACCTAATACATATGTATATAGAGCAAGGCTTTACAACTCCAAGCTCAAATTAGGTTTTGGTAAATGAAAGCACACATGGGAAAAGGAAGGTTCCTCAATATTGGCGATGTAATAGCTATTGTTCCCATACACCACCTCTTTTTCCGGGCTAGTCACATTATTAGCCAAGCCTGTTTCTGATTTCAGGAAAGCTACAAACATCCAAATGGCCATCGTTTCACTTTCGTCAATTGCTCCATACAAAAAACAGCAACAACGACACCACGCTTCCTGAACCAAATAGGTCATGTAGCTGTCCTCGCTATACGTCCCAGACTCATCGACAAGAACAACGACGTCACGATTTATGGTTTCTGCGGCCCAACCTCATGCGCATGCCACCTGCATGTGCAGTGCATTCTGGCGCATGATCGGAGGGTTTTCTTTTCTTTTTTCGCCCGTTTTTTTCCCTCCTGCTTTTGAGAGAAGTTCATTTAAAAGCGAATTACTTAACCCAACGAAGATCAGTTATTCGCTTCTAGTGAAAATTTCCCGTGCTCTTCCTGTGTCGTGAAATACCACCTGATATATAGCTGTGTACATGTGTTCAATTGCACGACTTGTGGGTTCCCTTGATTAATATGGAGTCACAAGAAAAGCAATACGATGGAGCGGACAATAACGTGGAATCTTCAGGATCTTCCTCGGATGACGAGCAGAACGATCCATCAGATTCTAGCAACACAGTAAAGACACAGCCAGTATCCATTGAAAAGTCTAAAATCAAGAGCCTGAAGGATGAGCCACCGTTTGAGCCCCGGTTCAAGCCACTGGAGCAGACGATTCCTCTCTCCACAGCTTTTAAAAAGACATGCTATAAATGTGGGAATCTGGGCCATAAAGCAAACGAATGCACATCCACGGTTAGACTCTGTTACAATTGCAAGCAACCGGGCCATAAATCGTCAGAGTGCACCACAGAACACACCGCCGACGTCAAACAGTGCTATTACTGCGAAGAAATTGGCCATCTTCAGAAGGACTGTCCAACATTGAAGGAGAAAGCCAGACAGAGAGCACATGCCCGACATCCTCTCATAGCGAGAAGAGCCGAGTCGTACGATCAAATCAACACACAGAACTTAATGTACTATTCACAGCTCCGTCGAGAGCACGAGAGAGCAATGTTGCAACAACAGCAGCATAACCAGCAGTTTTACCATCCTCAGCAACTGCGTCATTCGCATCCACACTTTGTCCAGACAATGCCATCGGCGTATACACAACAGCATATGTATTTCGTACATCCGCATGGTCCCCAGCCATTGGTCCATCCAATAGCGTGGACACCAGAAATGTACATACCTCCAGTACATGCATTCCCTCAACAGGGCTCATCGACACCAGAACTTCCCGGTAAGCCAAAGACTACCGACACGAATAAGTAATAATAGCACAACCAAGGTCATTAAAACCCCCCACCTGTAGGCCCTAAAATCACCTCTATTCAAACACCCAGAGGGAGAGACACCAGAAATGGCACAGCCTGACGGTCATAAGGTAAAACACTTCAGTCCCGAGAAGACAGGCGGAGTGAAAGAATAGAACACACCAACATTCTCTGGACGGACCACGGGGAGGGAGATGCAGCCCATTAACCGGCACCAGCAACTAACAGGGCCCCGTTAGCTGAGCCTGCCCACATCACATGGATTTCACACTCGCTGAGTTCGGGAGACCTGTTCTCATTGGCCCTTTCCCAGTACGGCACCTCAGACCCTCACGTAGCCAAAATTTGAGTCCAACAGTACCAGCACCGAGGACACTTTCCCGGGATCCTCCTCCCAGGCCTTTGAGCAGCGTGGAATGTGTATTGAGGAGCCGAGACTGGTAATGGGTTCCAAGAACACCCGGGGCTGTTGCTTCAGCGAGTGAGGTCCAGTCTATGAGGTCCGGTCTATGAGGTCCAGTCTATGAGGTCCAGTCTATGAGGTCCAGTCTATGAGGTCCAGTCTATGAGTTCCAGGCTGGACGACACAGAGTCCTTTGAAGAGCTCTCAAGGTGTGTTTCTGCTTAGATTGTATCCTCCACGAGCAGTGGCAATGCATGCTGGAACCGACACTGGCCTGCTTTTGTAGGTATTTTCTTAGGCTGTCGAGGCTCAGTAAACAACAAAACAATGGGAAGGGCTTGGTGTAGAAAGATACACACAAAGGCAGAGAGTGGATTCCAGGAGATGAAACATGCTCAGTCTTCCCATACTGAGCGAGTGAAGAGCTGAGACGGTCCATGAAGCGTCGGAAGTTCACGTTGAGAGTTCTTTCCCTCTTTGGCTGGCAGCAGAGGGATTAACACTGAAGGGGAGAAGAAGGGAACAGAAGGGAGCAGAAGGACAGTGGGGCCATGGATGAGAACAGCAGTAGCACTCCAAGGTGGAATCGTCGCTGGACTCGTCGCTGGTATATCCCTGCTTGAGTTTGCTGGCTGTGTCGTCCATCGTCGACAGGTTTAAACTCCTTAGATTGACCAGAGTCAGTGGCGGACAGTATCACGGCCATGTGTTCAGTTGAGGTGTATGTGTCCATTCGAGTCTGGAATGATACACATATGGGGAATAGCTCCTGTGTGAGAACTCAGCTACCCAAGAGCGAGTATCTGAGGCTGATTTTGGAGCGTTGGTGCCTTGTGGATCAACAGAACGTCTGAGACATTGGTGATGGTGAAGTGCACCTTTCTCCCTGAAGGGCATGGGCTATTTCGAGAGTGGAAATGGTAACCACGTACACTGCTTCACGTCAGCATGAGTGAGGCCAGATGATTCAGTGAAACGGAAAGTGCCGGTCCTCTCTTAAGAACACGACCTTTGCAAGGGCTCTGAGTATTGAACATCACAGTGCGCTGCTCAAAGAGCCTTACCGACCAATCACTCCCAGACGGAATGATATGGCCTTTCTGTCAGTGGATCCACTTCTCAGCACATCAAGACCTCACCAGCTTCTCCAGATACAGGCTCATTGGGCTCATGGACTCAATGTTGGCCAGCTCTAGCGCCAGCTATGTGCAACAACAGACCATCATACAAAGCAACAGGGGCCTCGGATCCCAACAGAACACCACGGAATATCCATGCTGAGGTGTATTGAGCAAGTATCAAGGCACAAGAGCTGCAATTCCTTCACTCTCATCCACATACAACTCGTGTTCATCAAAACATCAACAGCACAAGGTGCTGAAGCCAGCGCGTTCCAAGGCTCAACAGAGCATGTTCACATGGCGCCAAAGTAATGTGTTCATAGAAGCACACACCACACAGCACTGACACCACTGGATCCTCTGTCTTGTGAGCTTGAGCAGATGGACATAAACCGTGGGAATCAATTCATTCTCGAGGGGGCTCTTCCACTCTTTCCGATCCACACTATCAAAATACACTGGGGAAAATCTCTTGGCCCATCAGCCATATGAACACATTGTGCTAGCACAGACATCTCCAGTCTCAGCGGCCATGGCATTGCTCGTGCCAGTGCGACAGAAACCCTCCTTCAGGTAGGTTTCAAGTGCCTATTTGCAGCTTGTTTGACGATGATGTTAACTCTTGATGATGCACAATCGTGTCAACAATGAGTAAAGGTCGCGGCGAAGAACAGGCCCAATCAACGGGGTCCACCAGCTATGCCGTCAACACGACTGTGTGTGTATCATTGACCGAGGTATAGCTGATTGTGAGGACTAGGCAAAGCTATGGTTCAGGGGTGCTAAATCTCTCTCCAATTGGTTGTGTTTTAAGTGTGGACAGGCATAGGTTATAGACAAAATTTTGCTACAAGGTTGCTTTTGAAAAGGGGATGAGGTAGTATTGGTAACAGCCATATACGTCGTATCTTGTTAACTACGAGACCGAGGATGTGCTAGTAGCCAAATCTCTCCGGCATCATCACTGGAGCCAACAGAGACCAGCCATATATGAGATAACAGAGCCATGCACTCACGATCTTGACCCATGAGTAGAAATAAGTTCTTCCAACAGGCACGAAGTCACCGAAATCGTCCTGTTGGACATTCATGGTCAGCAGGACTGCTAACCATTGTGTAGCCAGGAAGAAAATGAGGTGGAATAGGGCATAGTTATACTTTGTAGCCACACGCTCCTCATCCTCATCATCTTCATCGTACAACCAACTTTGGTCGTGTAGAGCAGACTCGGGAAGTGAGCCAACAGCAACGGCCTCCCTAATGGCTTGCATGCGCATCTCGTTTGCTCCAGGCTCAGCCGAGATGACATCGTTTGTTGATACTGGGTCGTCGTAGTTGATTGCGATGGAGCCACCACCTTTGGAGCCGTTGAAGGCTGAGTTTGCAGCTGCACGAGTTGTGGTGTAGGCAATGGTTATCAACGTAAAGATGGCACCAAGAACAACCGAGGCTGTACGAGTTCCACGGTTACGGATCAAGGGGTTGCACTGCTTATCATCTGGTTCAGATGCAGCAGCTGAGAGAGTGAGATAAGTACAGTAAACCGTGACAATGGCAGCCTGAGCAAGACCACAGTTTGGGTTGTACTCCTGAATCTTTTGATTGAGGGAAAGCACGGTGACGATGACTCCAAGGATCAGGTTCACCGTCGCTGCAGCCTGGTTCATGGAACATCCATCATGACAGAAGAACACATAGGTCAAAACACACATTGTGATGGAGCCCGCATACATGAGGCCCGTTCCACCAACGAGCAATGTCTTCCATACTCCTGAGTACTCGTCCTCCGCTTCAACGTGCTCGATACACGTCTCTGCGAACTCATGGGCAAAGTCAACCAACAGGATTAACCCCACAAGGAGGAAGAGTGCGCCTGCGATGACAGAGATGTACTTGGACCATGCGATGAAGAACTTATCAGGGATCAAGAACGACACCACCACAAAGATCAACCAGAGCAAGATCTTTGGTGCCCAGAAGCTGTTCTGCAGCTTCGATCTGGGATTCGTGGTAGAGTGGACGCCGACGAGAAAGAGGCATAGCAGAAGGTGTTCAATTCCCAGGGCAAAGTTGAGCCTGTGAACCGCAAAGAACCCGCACTCCACGCCCTCACACTGGAACCTGGATATCTTCTCCAGCTTGGATATCGCAAAGTCGGTAAGCATGATCCACGACAGAAGGGCATTGATGAGGAACAGAAAGGCATAGCTCAGTCTCGTGGAGAACGAGGACCCGATAGCCTTGCACGAGTTACAAAGGATACTGGAGAACATCGAACCACAGCACGACGCTGCTGCTGTTCCCGCCATCTGAAGAGGCAAAGACACGATACCACCCATGACTGTGAGCAAAGCTTGGTCTCTGGTGTACAATCAGAAGATGAAGAGGTGTGAAGTGTGAAGTGTGAAGTGTGAAGTGTGAAGTTGGTGATGCTGATGAAGGCACCAAATGTGCTAAAGGAGGTGGATTATGAGCCCTGGTGGGTTATGAGCCCGGTCAGCCTATGTGGCCCGCACCGACTCACCACATCCGAACACCGCGATATCGAGTGTATACGCGATGCCCTCTTATTTACTTCCTCGTGCTTTCTCTATCGTTGGTGCTTATGGGCTTTGGGAGGTTCCATCTTACCAGTTGAGAGCCCATGGGACAGCAGTACTACCCGATCATATTTGATGTTGGCTCGAGGTTTGTGACGGCTGGCTTTGCTGGAGATGCCTGTGCCATTGTGCGCAGGAGAACGAACGTGTATGACCTCACGGATGCTCAGTTGACGGTACGATCAGATGACGCCTGTGAAGGAGAGCGAGGACAGGAACCGCCGCAGTTCCTGTGGACAGAGTCCATGGCATCTGTGGATCCATACAGACTGGAGTGCCTGCTGGAGCGGATCATACATGACGTCTATGAGAACGATCTTCTCGTGGACCCTAAACGGTGTAAAGTACTCATGTTGGAGCCTGTCATGCTGCCATTGCCTCTAAAGAGAGCACTGACTCGTGTCTTCCTGTTTCACATGCATGCTCAGAGCATACGGTTCTTGCCAGCATCGGTAATGAGTGTGGTTGCCTCCGGAGCAACGTCTGGGCTGGTCATTGATCTGGGCTGGAACGTAACAACAGTTACACCAGTTTTCGACCTACGACAGCTCTACATCTATAGCAAGCAGACGTTACGTGCTTCAAGAAGAATACACAATGATATCAGGAAGAAGCTTGAGAATCTGGGACTGGACACTACGTTTGAATTTGTTGAACAGTTTCTCGTAGAGTGCTGTTATTGCGGCATTGGAAACCATGGAACTGGTGATTTTACATTCAACAATTCAACCATTCCTCAGGAATTAAGATACCAGAGCATTGAAGAGATTCTCTTCCCAGATGAACAAGATGGCCCTGATGACGATGACTCCCAGACTTTATGTTCTTTGGTAGAGCAAGTCATCAGAGAGGTTGACATCGATCTGAGAACTCCGCTGTCTTCCAACATCATCATCGTTGGTGGGCTGTCCAACATCCCTGGAATTAAAACACGTATCATCTACGAGATAAACAAACACACAAAGGCTTCTGGGATCAAATCTTTAGGCCCATGGCAAGGTGCTAGCCTATATTGTACCACATCATTGATGACATCTTCAACTTCAACTAGGATTAAAAACAGCGGTGAACTTACACGAGAGAAGTATATATCAGGCGAAGAAGTTCTACTGGATTGGACAGATACGCTGTTTTCAAAGTGCTCAATATAACATTTTAATGAAGTAAGTGATGACATGTGTTGTATACAATATATAGATATAAAAGATAGGAGCTGCCTCGTATGAATGGCATTATTCTTCTCTAAGCTGAGCTGATTGCTCCTGAAGAATTTCGTCTTCAACGTCGTCAACCAATTGACGGTATTTTCTCTGAGTCTCAGCTTGCTCCAGGAAGATGGTATACTTAGCGTCCAGCAACTTTCTATCAGGGTAGTTCTTATCGTGAGGCTCAACAACCTTACCACCACCGGTGAGCTTGACCATAACTTCCCATAATTGCTCACCATGTTTCTTTGACTGCTCCAGTCTAGTGTTCTTGATCTTTTGATCAACCTCTTCATGAGCCTTGGTCTTTGCACCGAAAGAGAGGGTAGCTTCTTCGTCACCAGAGTCGTCCTCATCTGTCGACTTGACCTCGTCGATAGCTGGTGTGATTGGGAATGGGAATCCACCGGTGGCACTTGCAATAGCAGCCATATTGATGTTGGAGGCTGTCGCAGAAGGTGCTGTATAAGGAGATGCCATGTCCCTCTTCACCTCATTCAACGGTTTCAAACCTAGTGGCAGCTTGAAGGAAGGTTTACGCTTGACCTTTGTTGCACTTTGAGCAGCAACAGCACCGAGCAAAGCAGCACCAAACACCACAGCAGCATCGATATAACGAGGAATGATGATTGGCAGCCCAGTGCAATCAGCCAGCAAACGCATCAACAAACCGTTACGGCATTGGCCACCAGACATGAAGATAGCAGGGATGTCATGGCCTGATGCACACATCTTCTCAACGATTTGTCTGGTTTGTTGAGCAATGAATTCGCATGCAGCCAGATAGGTGATTGCCAAATCATCGATCGAAGTATCCATGGATTGACCAACGATAGCAGCCTTCATACGAGGATCAGCAATTGGAGAACGATTGCCGTGGAAATCACCATAAAAGAAGAGGTGCTTTGCAAGCGACACAACAGAACGAGCAGATCTTTCAGCTTTCAAACTCTCGAGACGGGCATTGAGGTAGTCGAATTTCGAAACATTGGAAGCATCTGCTAGACGAGCCAGTTCAGAATACGCTGGATGCGTGTTTAAGACGTGTGCTAACAGTGCACCAGTACATGATTGACCACCTTCTGCAAGCCATAAGCCTGGTTCCATGACATCTCTGTAAGGCCCCCAAACACCCTCCACGAAGATTGGCTTCTCACTCAGAGCAATGTGACAAGTTGAAGTTCCAGCAACGGCAGCCAATCTACCAGCAGTTTTAGCCATTCCAATGGAGTTCTTATCCTGATGAACGAGTGCTGGGATCTCAATGTCGGTGTGCGCAGCAACTGTTCCAATCCAGCCAGCATAGGCGTCGATGACACCTGAACCAACAAGACAAGAGGTACTCAGTCCCAGTTCCTCTGCAGCCTTCTTCGACAATGGACCAACAACATCACCAGCTGAGAGCCACGTACCACCCAAAGAAGGAGAACCACCAAGACGTCTGTAGTTATCCTCAACAAGCTCTGGCAAGTCCAACTGCTCCAGAAACTCCTTCGACCAACCGTCCGTGGAGCCTTCAACGCCTGGTGGGACAAAGCCCATCTTACACACTGTAGAGCAGTACGATCTTGCCTCGCTTCCAGTGGCCTTGTGAGTGAGGAAGTCAGCCAGGTCGTAAAACTTGGCCTCCTTGAACTGGCCCTCTGGTAAGTTATTCTTCAGCCATTTCATCTTTGGCAGCTCCATCTCGATGGACATGGTACCACCAACATACTTCAGGCACTTGTCACCTGTTGCATTGATCTCATTGGTCTCCTCAACAGCACGATGGTCCATCCATAGAATGATGTTCTGGTCGTTGTTGGAGAAGTTTGGGCCTACTCCCATTGGTTGGTCATCCTTCTCATACAGCACCGCAAGAGAACAGGTGGCATCGAAGCCAATACCCATAACCTGGTTCGGCTCGATCCCAGCATCCCTGATTGTGGACTTGACACAGTAGCAGATGGCATTCCAAATCTCAGTAGTGGACTGGGTGATGTAGTTAGGCTTCAGCTCCTGACGAGCAATTGGACGCTCAGCCAGTGCTAAAATCGACCCGGTGTTATCCACAACGGCTGCTCTGGCAGAGCCTGTCCCCACGTCAACACCAACGTAGAACAAAGAGGTATCAATGCTCTGTGGATTTTGCAACAGTTGCAATTGATTCAGGGTCAAAGACGAACGACTGCGACTGCTTGTAACAACCATTGCTCTCGATCTCTAAGTAGTTTATATCTTCTTCAGCAAAGCTTCTCAAGTCAAAAACTCCTCGATAACTTGGATTCTGACCCCAATTGGCTTTAGTTTGCTATATCAGAGTGCCTCGTGTCTATATTTATACCACCAATTCAGCTGAATATTAATACAATGAAGTGCTGCCACCGGGTGGGTTGAGGCGGCCCGTGCTGGGGGGGGGGGTGCTGTGCCATTACGTCATAGGACATCCGCACACCACACGATAAGGTCACGTGACGCAAGCTCGGAGCTACCTACTACTACTACTACTACTACTACTACACTGAATTAAGGCTAAGAGATGTGTTGATGACGTCTCATCGAGTGTGGTTTTATACTGATGATACGGTGTCGCGTTCAGATGGCCCTTGGGTCCGTGTTCTTCGACCAGTCGCCATATATGTCGAATCTTCTCTGTGTAGTGACTGGGATTCCGGCTCTTGTCTTTGTCAAGAGCACTGGGTCCAGCTCTGCAATGACAATCTCCTCATCCTCACCAGCTTCTGCGATGATGTTCCCATTTGGGTCAACAACCAAAGAGTGGCCGTAGGCATGGTATGACAAATCCAAGTTGCGGGAAGGTGAGCACAGGAGGACAAAGATCTGGTTGTCGACTGCCCTTGCTCTGGCCAACAAGTGCCAGTGCAACGGACCTGTGACGGTGTTGAACGCTCCTGGGTAGACCATAGCGAAGGCGTTCTTCTCACGCGCAGCCAGAGCAGCTAGCTCTGGGAATCTAATGTCGTAGCAAATACCTTCACCAACGTTACCAAATTCCGGCAAGTTGAAAACCGTCGCCTTATCACCCCCTGTAAGGGTGATTGACTCCTTGAAGGTGATTCCACCTGGGATGTCAATGTCGAACAGATGTGCCTTTCTGTGCTTACCAATGACTTGTCCTTCTCTATCAAACGTTACGCTCGTGTTGTACACCTTACCGTCGTCGCCCAATTCTGGAATGGACCCTCCAACCAGGTAGATCTTGTTCTCCTTGGCCAATTGCGAAAGGAACCTGGTGGACTCACCATCTGGGATCCTTTCGGCGTAGTTGGCGAATTCGCTCACCGAGTAAGGCGAATTGAAACATTCCGGGAGGATGGTGAGGTCAATGGATGGATCCTTTGCCAAAGCCTTCAGGATAAACTCCTTAGCGTGCGCAAGGTTGGCACTCTTATCAGCACCTGAGGTGATTTGAATGAGAGCAACTTTCAGCTTCTTCGATAACAATTGGGACATCTTCTTCGCACTGCACACCTTCGCTGTCCAAACGCTGTTAGATGAGTTAAATGAAGAAATCGATCTTGAGTCATAGAACACCTTAAATGGCCGCTCCATTGGGATTTGGTAAAGCGCCACAGTTGGGCATAAGCGCGCATACAGGCCGATAGCCAAAATGGGCAGCGTTGTATCTATAGCAACATGAGGACAAGGCAATCACCATCATCAGAACACGAGGATTATCATTACATATATATTTTTATAGATGTATATACATAACGAGCTTCTATTACAGCTTCTCTCCTTATTAAATACACTTCCCCACAAAAAATCAACAACAACCCAAAGAAGTAAACAACATAAAAACCACAATTTCATTCTATCGTTAAACAGTTTCTGCCTCCGACGTTTGAGAAGAGGACAGTAAGGGGATGGAATCTCATTCCTCCTTGGCCTCCGTCGAGCATATCGTGTCCACCAAGAAGTCGAACTTATCATCCGATTGGATTGCGCTTTTCACATGCTGTGCAGTGACACGTTTGGTTCCAGATATCTTAGCCTGCTCTGCTGATGCCTGGACCAGGTTCGCCAAAAAGAACTCTAGCGCACGTCCAACCACAACCGGTGTAGCCTGGGCAACTTTCCCAATGTCTTCGTCGCTTTGCATCAGCTTCTTAATACGTGCTGCTGGGAAATGTGTCTTTATATCAAACGAGCTCGAAGCCTCCGGCGATTCGCTCGTAGTTTGGTCTGACATGCTTTCAGCTTTCTGGGTGTTTATGCAAATGCTTAAGGGAATGTGAATAAATGTGTGGTGATGGATGTCGCAGTATTGTACAAGTAACCTATCAATGTCAACGAGGAACCCTGTTTCATCAAAGCATAAGCGTTTCTTTGTGAAAAGATAAACAAACACAGCTCTTAGGGAAATGCGCCCTCAAAAATTTTCATACGGTGCTGATGTAAACAAACCCGCGACCACCACCATTACCCGGCCCTCGGAATGAACTCCCCTCAACCAGGCCTCTTATCACCAGCCCACTAATTCCGAGCGCCCTAATTCCGAATCCCCTAATTCCGAAGACACACCGTGCTGGCGGCTAAAGATAGCAGAGCCGGGCGTGGGCCACAAAGACCAAAACCAAAGAAAAAGAGGCTTTTGTAGCATCGAAACCGCCCAACCCAGGAAGCCATTGCTATAAACCTTTACAATTGTAAAGCAACCAGGGGAGTAAACAACACCCACACACCCGCACACTGCACCAGAGGGAAACCTGTTCTTCTGTGTTATCAACTGCTCTGGCTCGTCACAGCTGTGTGTATTCTTGGAGCTGAGTGTTGCGATTGTATTTAGTACTCGCTCTTGTTATTGGGGTTGCTTGCATTGGTGAAAAGACACCGCCGCCAAAACAAGCTAAGCGTCCACGATCCATAGAGGGAGAAAGGACCATCAACAGGCGAGAGGAAGATGCTGTTGAGTCGTCTATTTGTGCTGCCACTCGTGGCTGCTGTTGCTGCTGCGTTCTCTCCAGAGATCCACCAGACCGCTCAGAACGTTCTATCAACACAGATCCTCTACTTTGACGATGCGCCTGTTGTCTTGAACTTGAACGAGAACGTTCTGTATAGGTCCCATGATTCAGGTAAGACATGGGATGCGTCGTTGGAACAGATTGGTCAGATATTCTTGGACCCGTTGAAGAAGGAGAGAGCATTCGCATTCACGCAGGGGAATACGCATTACGTTACCAATGACCGAGGCGAGACTTGGAGTACTTTCACGGTACCAATGACTTCGGATATCGCTTATGACATCAACATCAACAGTGCGAATCATGACCATGTGATAATCTCTTACTTTGACTGTTCTGATACAGACGGTTCGTGCCATGCGTCTGTTTATGTCACAAAGGACGGGTTCAAGTCGAACCCGACCCAGTTAGTCAAGAACGTGGAGAAGTGTCTCTTTGTGAAGTCAAACGAGGCCTTTACGAAGGGAGAAGACTCTAGAATCTTGTGCTTGCAAACAGAGAGAGACTCCCATGGTTATGTTCGTCGCTCAAGGGTGATTGCCTCAAACGATTTCTTCAAGACTGAACCGCAAATCTTGAATGATGCGTCTGGCGTGTTGGCTGGTGCCTATGTCCTCGATGTTAGAGTCGTTCAGACATTCGTTGTTGCAGTGGTTCAGGATGATAAGTATGACCAAACAGGATCATCGGTGCTGCTCTATGTATCGAAGGATGGTGTCGATTTTTCCAAGGCAATAATGGCTGAACAACTACAGGCAAATGGATTTGAATTCTTGGCTTCAACAAAGAACTCGTTACATGTTGCAGTCTACCCAGTAGATCAAGGATTCTCATCAACCTCGAACGTTCTATCGTCGGATGAAGATGGTATCCACTTCAGAAATCTATTGTCAGGTCTTGGAACCTCTCAAATTTTGGGCTTCTCTAATATTGATAAAGTTGAAACCATTGAAGGTGTTTGGATTGCAGGGGTATCGGAAGGTTATGATCAAACCACGTATTTGCCTCTTGAAAGATCCAAAATTACATTCGACGATGGTAACACTTGGCAATACCTCAGAACAGAAACATGCGAAGGTAATGAAGAATGTGGATTGAACGTATTAACTGTTGAAGAAAGAAGAGGTGATGGTCAAGGAAGTACCGGCGCAACACCTGGTATTCTTATGGCCATTGGTAACGAAGGCCGCAGCTTGAATAGAGATCCCTTCAGCTTGCACACTTATGTTTCTCGTGATGGTGGTTGGAGTTGGAGCAAAACGTTGGAGGAACCTTGCGTGTTTGCCTTTGGAGACTTGGGTAACGTTATTGTTGCAGCTCCTTTCACAAAGGACAAGGAAAACTTGACTTCCAAGAAGTTTTATTACTCGTTAGATCAAGCAACTACTTGGCAAACTATTGAACTGGAAGATGCTGTTTTCCCAACTTTATTGACAACTGCTATTGATGGAACCACCTCAAACTTCCTCTTTGTCGGTATTCAACCAAAACAGGATTCAATGAAACAGATATTGTTCTCACTTGATTTCTCAAAGGCATTCTCAAGAACATGTGGGCCAAACGACTTTGAGAAATGGTACGGAAGATCGAAGGGAAACAACGAAGGAAGCTGTGTATTTGGGCACAAGGACATATACAACAGAAGAAAAGCTGATGCTGATTGTTTTGTTAACAAAGCCTTTGAAGATTTGAAATACGATGAAGTTCCATGTACATGTACAGAGGCTGATTACGAGTGTTCATTTGGATTTACACTCAACTCTAAGGGTGAATGTGCACCAGACAGAGCAGAGTTGCTGAAATTGTGTACAGAATCGACTGGTAACATCTTGAACTTGAAACTCAAGAAGAAGATTGGTGGTAACAAATGCGAAGGTGGTGATGTAGAGATTCAAGAAGTTGAATTCACATGTGATGATGATCTTCTGAAGGCTCAAAGTATCACAGTTCAAGCAAGCAGCTTTGATGGTCACATTACAAACTATTATTTCATGGAACAGTCAGAGTATGGCTCAAATGATGAAACTCTTTTCATCAAGACTTCGTACAATACTGTATACATATCGCATGATGGTGGTGCGAACTTCAAGCTGTTCGAATCCGATGACCAAATTTTGGCCATTTACCTCAACACTTACTTCAAAGACTACGTCTACTTGGTGGGCACTAACAACAAGGTGTACTTCTCAGGAAACAGGGGTAAAAACTTCCGTGTTATGGAAACACCATCTGAGGTGAACCCATTTGGTCTTCAAGTGTTTGTATTTGATCCATTATCTGCGGATAGATTCATATTCTTTGGTGACGAAGGATGTGAATCGCAATATTCATCAAAGTGCAAACCAATAGCATTTTTGACGGAAGATAGTGGTAAATCCTGGACTCCGTTAGCTAGTGGAACAAAGCATTGTGACTTTGTTGGTGCCAAATATATCGACAGGAACAATGATGAACGTTTGATATTCTGCGAGGTTATTGATTCTAATTCACACTCTTTGCTCTCTTCTGTTGACAAATTTGCTACTCATGAAGTTGTTTTCGAAAAGGTTGTTGGATTTGCATCTACCACACACTTCACCGTTGTAGCTTCTACAGACGGTGAATCTCTACGTGCTTTTGTTACTATAGATGGAAAGACGTTTGCAGAAGCAAAATTCCCAAAAGATTTTGATGTTCATGAACAACAAGCGTACACAGTTTTGGGCTCTGAAACTGGCGCAATCTTCCTTCATGTCACCTCTAACGAACGTCCTGGTTCTGAGTATGGTGCAATATTGAAGTCCAACATCAATGGTACATCGTATGTCATGTCCGAGAGATATGTCAACAGAAATGAGTTTGGATTTGTTGATTATGAGAGAGTTGAGGGTCTCGATGGTATAGCCCTTATTAACACAGTCAAAAACTACGACGCTGCAAAAGGTGGAGCAATAAAGGAGCTCCAATCACGTATCACTTTTAACGATGGTTCTGATTGGTATTTCATTGCTCCTCCAGCTAAGGACTCCGAAGGCAAGAAGTACCCATGTATAGGCTCTCCTTTGAAGGAATGTTCATTACATTTACACGGATATACGGAAAGAAAAGACTTCCGTGATACCTACTCTTCTGGATCGGCTACAGGATTGTTATTTGGCGTTGGAAATGTTGGTGACAAATTGGGTTCTCTCAATAATGCATCCACTTTCATCACTAGAGATGCTGGTGCAACTTGGACTGAAGTAAGAAAAGGTGTTTATCAGTGGGAATACGGTGACCGTGGCTCAATTGTTGTTCTCGTTGATGACGTGTCAGAGACAAATGTGATCCACTATTCATTAGATGAAGGTAGTACGTGGAATGAGTATGAGTTCAACGATGCTAAGGTTAAGATCAGTGATATAGTTACTGTGCCTTCTGATACATCAAAGAAGTTTTTACTTATATCAGAAGCATCTGGTCAGAGTGAATCCTCTTTGACCTTCACCATCGACTTCGAAAAAGTGTTTACAAGACAATGTGTATTAGATCTTGACCATCCTGATGACGACGATTTCGAATACTGGACTCCAAACCACCCATTGTCATCGTCCAAGTGTTTGTTTGGCCATGAAGCTAAATATCTGAGAAAGATACCAGACCGCGTTAACTGTTTCATTGGTTCTGCTCCATTAGGAAAGGCAAAGAAGATCGTAAAGAACTGCCCGTGTACAAGACATGACTATGAATGTGATTATAACTACGAAAAGGCTGACGATGGTACATGTAAACTGATACCAGGGCTGGTTCCAGAGGATCGCTCTGAAATTTGTCGTGTTGACCAAAATGCCATTGAATACTTCCAGCCTACTGGCTATAGAAAGATCGCCATGTCCACGTGTGAAGGCGGTCAAGAGTTTGACAAGTGGGACCCAGTTCCATGTCCAGGCAAGGAGAAGGAGTTCAGCAAGAGCCGTGCTGGAAAGCTCGGTGGGTTTGGATTGGCAATGGTTATTATTATTCCAACTTCCGTTTTTGCATTTGCTGTTTGGTTTGTGTATGACAGAGGTATCCGTCGTAATGGTGGGTTTGCCAGATTCGGCGAGATCAGGCTTGGTGACGACGACGATCTCATTGAGAACAACAACACAGACAAAGTCGTCAATGCTGTGGTACGTGGTGGCATTGCGGTGCTTGCCAGTGTCATTGCAACTTACAAGATGATTGGCCTTTTAGGTCGTGGTCTTGGTGAAAGCATCAAAGGCGCATTCACGAGGGTTTCTAGGTACCAAACGAGGGGTGCAGGCTACAGAACCGTTGGTGTTAACGACTACAGGGACGATGAGGATATTCTGGGAGAAGTGTTGAATGACGATGATTATGACATTGACGACGGTGATAACGATGCTCACTACGATGCATCGGAAGCTTACACCGACGATCGCAATCTCGAATAATGGCTTGCACGACTGCCATAGGTATCAAATACAGAGAACTTTTATAACGAGAAGAGCGTATACATATTTCCCTATTTATTCGTTTGTTTTGTATTGGGTGTAGTTATTAGCGGTCAATTCCGATGTTGATGTCGGAAATATTTTTTTTCCTTCCTACTTAGGCTGGGCCTGAAAATTTTAAGGCCCAATGTCTCATTGACACATAACTTAGAAACGAGGTTGTGAAGTCATCAAACTGGTGGAGATGGCTGTATCAGAGGATAAACTCGTGGCACAGGAGACCAAGCCTGTGAAGGGTGAAAGGGTCAGCAAGAAGGGGTGGAAAGTTGAGAAGGATGCCTTCCGTGTAAAGTCATTAGGAGTGAAGTCATCGTGGGCCAAGAAGCAAGAGCAGAGGCTCAAAGACCAACAGGTGAAGGCCAAAATCAAAGAGTTGAAGGAAGAAAAAGAGAACGAGAGAAAGCAGAGGGTCCAGACGATTAAAGATAGAAGGGAGAAACAAGCTGAAAAGGAGAGATATGAAAGACTTGCTGCTAAGATGCATGCGAAGAAGGTTGAGAGAATGCGCAAGAAGGAGAAGAGAAACAAGCTACTCAAGGAAGGTCGTTGATGATTTCATGATGTGTAATACCATAGTAATGTTATATAGAGACATGTTTTGTGTTTTTTCTTGCTCTATATTTGTACGTGTCTTATGACTTCTGAGCTTGTCTCTGGGACTCCAGCGCAAGACGTGCCTTCTCTTCAACACCTCTCTTGTAATTCTTGATATTTCTCAAGTTGAAGGGCAATATTGCGTTAGTAACCAAGATCCATGCAAGGAGAATAGCAATATTCCATCCTACATGTCTCTTCGTCGTGTTTAGCAGCGCAACAGTTAGAAGCTCGTTTCCACAGTGCATTGGCATTGCATACCCGTACCTGTAGAACCTATTGGTCAAGGCCATTGGAGAGAAGACCGGAGCCAGGTTTGCAACCATGAATAAAACAATCCAAAGACCAATCAATGGTTTGTTTCTTGCAAAGATTTGCAATGCTGCGTTCTCGTTGGCACCACCAAAAGCAGCAGTGGTGAGGTATACAAATGCCCAACATACCAAGAATCCAGAACGTCCAAATGTTCTCGTGTAAGGCATCTGAAAGGCCAATATCATTAGGCAGTAAGTTAAGGAGATAACCAAATATGATACGTGCGATGTTATCATGTGATAGACAACGTAATCCTTCAACCTCAGTTTGGTTTGCATGAGCTCATGGGTATCAGAGGCAAAGTTAAACTGATGGAATGAGATCACAACGAGATATATGAGCCCGATAAGTATAGGTCCTATTAACCCAGGAAAGTCATAGGCTCTATTGTCTATCATGGTAAACCATAACGAAGACAACAAATCGGTTCCATTTGTCATGAGGCTATGGTACTCATCATCAGAGAGGGTTTCCACTAGGGGTGAAACCACACTTCTTTGAGACTGTTGAACGAAACCATTTTGGACTCTTCTAATAGGAATAACGACATAGCTGCCGACACTTGTTGGCGATCTTGCCGTTTCATAGACGAATCTAACTGTATCGTTATATGGTCTTAAAGTCCTTAATGATTCCAAATACGAAGCAGTGGCATTTCTTGGTACATAGATACCACCCCAATGGTACTGCTGGTGTACTCTATGGACAACCTCATCCCATGTTGATCTGTTGTTTTGCTCAGCAAGTTCTCTAAACTCGGTCATGTTTGGGAAATGGAACGTTCCGATTGTTCTGGCCTCACGGGATTGGAACACTTCTCTGATGGTGTCTGATATAAGCGATTGAGCTTCACCAGCTTCATCAAGAGCAACTAAATATGAAAGCCGATGCATATTCTCCCTTCGATCGTACCACGATCCCCAGTAAATGGATAAAATACCGATAAACGCTACAAAAATGATGAGAAACTCTTTGATGAATAGCCAACGTACTTTCCTCATGCCCTTTCGAGTGCTGCTTTTGGCAATGGCCTTTTCTTCTTGTGTAGGTTCTTGTGATGTCTCTTCAGCAGGCACCTTCTGGGACAAACTCGATGCCGGTGCTGTTGTGCTTACTGGGCTATCATCAGTAACTTCTGCCTTGCTTGTATCCTCTGCAGATTGTGTTTCTCCATTGCTTTCCTCGTTAATTGGAGGTGCCCTAAAAGTTGAAGTTCTTCTCATTATCGGAAGACTCCATGTGTTCTGACGAGACAAGTCACTAGGCAGCACAGAGGCGCCAGTGAAATCATGGTCTTCCTTTGTATTGAAGTTGTGGCCGTTAGCATCGTCTAAAGATGACCCACGACGTGATATTGGTGCACGATCGCTCATTTATACAAAACACACTAATCTTCAAATGAGTGTTCCAATTCTTAATCAACCAGGCACTCAGTGCAATAACAATCATACTCTCCCAGAACAAAAAAAATTCCCACACGCTCCGAAGTATCTTTCACAGGATAAAAATACCCAACCAACCCAGGGAGACCTCTCCACATAGCTTCACATCGTTGCTTCTCCCCCTATTGATATATTTTTTTAGTCGACAGTAAAATGTGTTTCCATGGTAACAAGCATAGTTTAGAAATAACAGTCCAGCCTTATGCATAAAACTCACGTAGAACAGTTGATGGGTTATCTTCAGTATGCGTCATAGTGCATATTTATCAGTGTGACGGCTGTTACGAGACGTAGGAATGTAAGAAGTGGAAGCGTCTAATTTCACAGTTCTATCAATCGTGTACAACTTTTATTAATTGTAAATCTTGCGGGACTGCGTGCGCATCTGGCTCTTCTTTTTTGTGCTTTTCCCCCTTGGTTAGTTTTCCGTCATTAAACAGTTTCTCTCCTTGTTTATTGTTGAGCTATTACCTGCCCTCAAGTTACAAGCTGGCAGTGAGGTAACTGTAAACAGAGACACCTTAACAGCACTTATAGATCCACTTTTGAATTATTGATGGCACAGTTAAGAAACTCTAGAACATCGGAAGCAGATGAGATTACAAGCCTGGCACCAGATATAATCGAAGGGCAAATCCTACGCGATGACCCAATACTCTCAAACGTCATTTCAAGGGCTATTACCGGCACTCGTGAAGAATGGGATGAGGTACGTGCTTTACAGGCCGATTCCAATCTTGAAGAACAGGCTCCACCCCCTGCACTTATACAGAGACGTCGCTCAACGATTTCAAGGACCATTAGAAATAGTCGACAGAGAATTGAAAAGTTTGGTTGGTATGATGATGAATTCAAAAGAGAGAGGATAAAGGTATATTCGATATTTGTTAGAAATTACCTGTTGGTTAGTGTCATCCTGATTGTTGCTCTAGGGTTCATGTGGGGGACATACTACAATAGACAGTACCGATATGTCGACATGAAGATGCTCATTGTCAGCGAGGACGAAGTTGCCAATGGTATTGTTCCCATTATCGGACCATCTATGAATGCAACTGCCCACATCGATGGCGTGGCACAGAGAGGTGGCTGGGAGTATGTCACGAGGGATGAGTTTTTACAACATGCTGCTGACAGAAACAACACCATTGATGAAGAGATATTTAGACTTGTACACCATCAACTCTACTGGAGTGTTCTCCACGTCAAACCGAATGCTACGTATCAGATCTATAAGGCGATTGTGAATAATGATACCTCTTTTATGATGAATGGTACTTTGGTTGAGGTGTTCTTCGAGACAGGACGAGATATTGTCACTGTTTCATCATATACTGTTGCATTCCTGAACGTTTTTGAACAGATATTCTTCAAGGTGATTCGAACACAGTTTTACAGACTTGTTTCTCAACTGCCTCAGGATTCTTTACCAAATGCAGCCTTTTTCTTTGCCCAACCTATAACGTTTAATTTCAACGACTTGAGGCCAGCATCTGTGATACTCATGGCACCATTACAAATAGGCTTGGTTTACATTGTTATATTTGCCTTTTTTCTCATGACAATGACCATTCCTATTCAAATATACCTTGCATCTATCGTGAAAGGGCTTAGATTTCTTTTATTCAGATTCTTTTGGACTCAGATGGCAAACTTGACGATATCACTTGCATACGTGGTGTTAAACATTGCGTTTGGTGTCACTTACAAAGCTGCCTTTGGTCGTTCTGGTGCTTTAGTATTATGGGCTGTTGCATACTTAACCATCGGTTCACTGGCTGCACTAAATGAGATTGTCGCATCACTTTGTTTCCTCCACTTCCCAGCGTTGATCGGTGGTTGGTTATTATTCTTAGTGGTTGTCAACGTTGCTCCAACAACATCGGCTATGGTACTGTCAAATCACTTTTACCGTTATGGATACGCGATGCCCATCCATAACGCCTACGACCTCTGTACGGTGATCTTCTGTAACGTTTATAAAGGTAAGATGGGCAGAAATTTTGGCATTTTAATTGCCTGGTTTGTATCCACCAACGCTTTAGCACCTTTTATCTTGATTTATGTTGCAAAGAAGAGGGCTAGAATGGCAGCTGAAGATGCAGAAAAGGCCAAACTGGCTGAGTTAACACCAGAACCTAGACGTGCTATTAGCAAGACAATTGGCCATGACACTTCCAATCAAAGTTTGACGGCTGATACGGATGCAGATACTGACTTATACACCACTGTCGAGGCAACTAGTGAAACAACAGACAAGGACAGTGTCATTAGACCAGCTGTTGGTGATGGCAAGCTTGCCACATCTACATCATCAGATGTAGCACCATTCCAAACTATAAAGGGCACAACTAAATAAGCCAATTATAACTACTAGACATCACTCAAAACAATAATCATGACGTGTAGTAAATTAAGTGATGCAACGTCGTAATACAACGTAATGCAGGTAACATATCCTGATAAAAGAAATCAAACACAAGGAGGAAACAGAAGAACAAACAACAACGGGTTATAAAACGTCAAAACGGAAAAGAAAATAAAAATGGTTCCAAAATCAAAATAAAAAATGCATAGTTAAAAGGGAATCAAAAGTGGGCCTCGGCATGGTGTGATTATGTGATGCATGATAAAGCAAATATTGCGTACAAATGTGTTCATATGTTTGTTCGCCTATTTCCTTTTTGAAAGAAATTGTGTGTAACGGAATCTGGAAGTTATTTCTTCATCCAATGAAAGAATCCTCTCTTATGCTTCTTTTCGCTCCTTTTAGTTGACTCTTGGTGGCTTGTCTTTGAAGCCACCGGCTTGTCAGTTTTGAACAAGTTTATATCCTTGTTTGTGGTATCATCAAGTTCGTAATTATACTTTGGAGTCATCGTAGTCAAGTCTAAAGCCGGACCTGGTTCACCAAAGTTAAGTGGTGTCAAAGTAACATTATGGGCGTCGAAATCAGCACCTTCATCGGCATCGCTTAGAACCACAGTGGAGTCCGTGCCGCAATTCCCGTCTAGCACAAGATTCTCTTGGGAACTATAGCCACCACCTGTGCGGAATTTCTGGGAGATTGAGCTCAGTAACGACTTAGACTTCTTGTGAGATTTCACGCTGTTGTTTGTAAGGGATCTCTTTGGCGAATGCGTTTGTTTCGATTTCGTCTCTGGCGATGAAGTTGCGGCTGGCATGTCGTAAACCCTGGATTCGAATTTAAACCTTGGTGGTGAGTTCAAAGTGGATGACGAGGATGAGGTCGAAACCAAATTATGCGGGGTTGACTGCTGCGCAGTCTTCTTTGAATTCAAGTTCTCGGACGATTTGGCCGAAAGATGCGATGACAATAGCAAACTATTGTTGTAGTGGTTTTGATAGCGAGCAGCAGTAGCACCACCACGACGAGATTTGGATGACTGTGGTGTGGAGAAAACGGGGGAGAACCTACTAGCACCAGTGCTAGAGTTCGAGTTCAGAGAGTTCGAAGACATATTCTTGCCGTTTAACCCATTATTATTGTTGCTCATGTGGTTTGAGGAAACTGCACTTGAAACATCATCATCGTCATCTTCGTCCTCCTCTTCAAAGATAGCAGAGTTCTTTCTCGAACTTGCAGACCCAGAACCAAAGTTCATACTAGGCTTGAAGAAGTTCTCCAACTCCGGTGCACTCTCTGTACGTCGATGTTGGATCTTGGTATTGTGCTTTTGAGTAGCTGGATCAAAATAAACACCAGAAGCAAGGTCCAAATCGATTATGGCCTCTGGAATATCATACTTCGGACTCATCATGCCTCCATACGCATAGTTCAAAGTTGCGTTCTTCGTCTCCGGCGACGTCTCCGTTGATGAGCTGTACTCAACTTGGGACGAGTAGGGAGACTTGCACTTTGCCCGCACAGCAGCAGGACCAGAATGAGCCCAAGAGTTCAGACGGGTATGTCCCTTATATGGAGAAAACGTCAGTCTCGGACTGGACTCCGCTTCAGTCACCACGACGGAAGGAACCTCAGCAGCCATTGGTGTTTGAACAGTCGCAGCTGTGATAGGCGTGACGCTCGACATCTGACTCGTTGGTGTGGCAAAGATGCCCTGTTGATGTGTTGTCGGGGTCACCGGGACATAGAGCTCTTGTTTCTCAAACGCCTGTGATATTGAAGTTGTGCCTCTGAAGAAGTCTAGGTCAAAGTCCCCACTGATTGCAGCTGAACGCTTGTGAGCATGGCCACGGGTATGTGGACTCTTACTCGGCGGAGCTTGTAACATTTCGGTCAGCAGCTTTCTTTCTTCTTCGTCTTGTTCTTCCTTGTGATTAATCTTTGTGTCCCGTTGATTGTAAACTTGTCCTCAATAGAAAGAAAGGCACTTTCCCAGTAAATTTTTGTATTTATAAATGGAAACAGACAAATGGGACAAAAGAAAAAAAAAATAGCGGCAGAGGCGGCTAAAAACTTTCACAGAAAGACACACGAAGGGACAAAAAAACACACACACAGAGAGAAAAAGAAGAGCGCGCGCAGTTGCAATTCACCGGAAAAAGAAAAAGCCGTTTTGAACTTTGTACGGGAAAGAGCTTAAAAACACTGTGTGGAGAAATAAAGAGGGCACCGAGTGTTCAAGCGAGTGGAAAGTGACTTTGTCCGTAGAGTATTGGTTTCCTTGATACTCTTTTATAGCAATAAACAAAACAAAGGAATGACAATCAATAAGGAGACTAAGCGAAACCTTCTCCCCTGTTAAACGACAGCTGGGTATTAATCACGGCGACTTGGTGGGGAGGAAGATGGAAATACAGGCCCACACAAGAAATCCTCCTTCTTTCTCGAGTGTTTGTAGAAAGAAAAATTCAGGAGGAAGAAACTAGCCCAGACAAACACTAGCACCGTGTAGATGATAGTTTAAAGCAACTGTGAGAATGGGGTTGGTGGAGATAAGAGGAAGTGAACAGTACGCCAAAATGAAAGAGAGGGAGCAAAGTTCAGAAAAGTTCAGAAAAACAGGAATATCTTGTTTTTTTGTATGTTTGCCCTCTCCATTTTCAAAAGAGAAATTCCATAACCGTATTGGGGCAAATAACGTTTCGCGTTACAGGTGAGAGTTTGCCAACCTCTGGGTGAAATTGTCCAACTTTCCACCTTCCACCTGAAAATTGCGCACGTTTGGAACTGAAATGTGTATGGATCTGCAGATATGTACCTACGTACGCATAGAAGATGCATCACAAAGGGGTCTCCTGTGCATGAATTACTTTACCCTATTGGGAAGGAGAAATCCTACGTTTGGATAAAACGGTAGTTTAGAACAACTGCTCTTGCTATATAGCAGTGTGTTCTTTCTTCCTCCGTGTATTTGGTATAGCAAGAGTAAAAGTGTGAATATGGTCACTTTGGGGTTTCAGGATCATCGTGGCAACCCACTACATGGTTTCCTCTGCGGATATATGTACTCCTCTCAAAGTTTAAAAAGAAGCGGTATTGCACGAGGCAATTATTTAAAGTCAGAGTAGTCATTGCGAATAACGCCATTTGATATACCAATATCTCACATAACAGCTTGGGGAAATACACTTGACGCGGTTCATGGCATGTATATAGTACATTATGAGGTCTATATATGTAGCTTTAACCTTTACTTTGGATTGTGTCTTTTCTGAAGCCTGATAGAGGCGGCACCGATTACCACGTTTTTTTTTACTCTTGACTTTAGCAATTATGCGGATTGGCTGATTAGTTCTTAACGATGGCAATACATGACAGTATCAGCCCAAGACTTGTTATTATGAGTCATGACTCCCCATATCAAAAGATCATATGTAAACTCTGACCTTTTACTTGTCATAATACGCTTGCGCAGGTATCCAGAAAATTAGCCGTGAAATTGGAATGCAGAAAAACTCTTGGGTTGGTTTTCAACAGACGGTTCCTTGTCCAGTGCCGCAACGAACCTGGGTACTAAAGACACACCAGGTATGCTTAAATATTTTTGCAAACAGGGTAAAAATATTTCATCGCTATTTTCTTCTATATTTTGATAGAGAAAAGCTCGTGTATGTATTTAGCACAGTTCAAGATACAGTTTGTTCACACCCATTATGTCAAATGTATTCCATATAGCTGTAACATTTATTTTTCAGACAGCAAGCGTGAATGTAAGTCATATGCACCCTCAAGAATGAAAGTAAGCAACTTTGTTCCAAAAGATATCCAAAAGTTGCACGAACATGCGAGGTGGAAGTTGCGGAGTTGGAACCTGGAACTTTGGACATTGAGAATTTAGGCGTACTTCTCTGTGAATGTGACCCCCCTAAACGGAGTGATTACTGAGAAATTGCCAAGTTTTTGACTCTAGACACGCCTTTGAAGTTTCGACAAGCCAAGTGTACTCTAAACGCAAACCCCGTGGCATCACAAGGTTAAAGTTTTGCTGAATTCTATGCGGGAAAAGGTTACCAATACCAATAAAGTCACATTAGCTTTAAACCATCGACTACCAATGCTTTCAACGCCAATCAGCTATTAACACGTTCAGCACAGGGCAGCCTATTCTCATAATTGATAAGAAACACCATGCCCATAACTGTCCGATGACGCAACTTTTTTAACTTACGAAGTTATGCGCAATGTGGTGACGGCCATGTGACTTTATAAAGGCTCGCCTGTGAGTGCTGCAACGGCTGCACGGAAAACCTTAACAAAAAAAAGCCTCTAACCAAAACTTCTAATTAACTTGAAATCTTTACTACCAACTTAAACCTTAACTTCGGTGTTATTAGATTGGGTGAGAATCTACGCATACGTTGACCCGAATGACTAATGGTTGGATCTCCTCACTGAGTTATGTTGATAATCCGTTGGAATTTGCTTGTTCATGCCTGATGATACCGAACAGGTGTAGTAGGCTGTGTTCGTACACGTGCAGTTTAATACTAACGCCCCTGATTTTCTATACTTAGTACTTGTAACGTGGAGCCGTAGATTTGTAGGTGGCTGATGATTTGGTCGTCCTGATATACCATGATGGCTTGGTAGGATTAAACAGTTCAATCAAATCACAGGCATACAAGGTATTGCGTTACTTGGCTTTTAACTGAGATGCGTTTCAAACAGCTGTATGCGATGAGCCTGAGGTGAATTTCACTTGAAGTGCAAAATAGATCATACACAGCACATCATCCACATGGAAGTTAATGCTTATTAACTAAACAACTCAAAACGTTTATGGAATGGTCGTTCGGAAACATTAGCAATACTTGCTTATCAATTTGTGAATTGTATTGATATGGCTTTCTGTAAAGCAAGCTGCATATGAGAAACCTTTCAAAATCTGTACTAGCGCTGATACCAGCCGATCAGAATTCCGGACGATTAGCAGCTTTGCATCATAGAAATCCAACAAGGTATTAAATTGAAATGATGAAACAGGTGCATTCCAGTTTTAAGATGATATGGACCGTTTGACATTTTGCAGCTGAGATACTGGTCCCTATATTCCCTACAAATGATACGCGTTTTGCATATTAAGAATTACCGCATCGGGTAAAATTAATTTATCGGACGTGTTCAAAAGTTTTTTCTTGGAAAAATGTACGTACGCGTGTAATGATAGCCACATACTGTACAGAACATGGTGTACACGAAAGTAACCCCTTTCATTACTTTATGCGTAAGTACAAACATTGTTAAGCTATGTGTATGTACAAGTTGTTCTATTGGTCTATGCATTAGATGTGAACAGCTAGCACACATGTGCCTGCCAACAAAATATTTACAAACACCCTTGTCATCAAATATTGGATTTTTGCGAAATACAAGAACAATGTTTACACATGTACGGTAGGTAAAGTAAGAAGAGGATGATCTGGCAATGGTGTTTTGCAATCTATCAAGCTGGCAACATGTTCGAAATCGATAAGAGGTTGCGTATCAGGACCAACTATTCCATTGTTGACTAGATTATTCCATAAGCTATGGATAGCTCAACCAGTGGCCAAGTCGTACGAATGGTACATTTGGTCCGCTAAAACCTCTCGCGTTATAAACTGTATCAGCAATACATATGGTTCCAATTCTGAGTCCTCGTAAGGTTCAGTTCTTCAACATGTCAGTTTGCCAATACTAGCAAGCTATACCGTCAGGAAAAAGCCGATTCCCTTATAATAGACCGATGAGTATGTCTGATAACCATCAAACTTATGACCTTTTGTTTCAATTAGATGTACAGATGAAATCCCAGCGCCCGTTTTCTCCGTGTATGGTTGACTTTCACAGGATGAAGTCAAATTAGAATTATCACTTTTGCTAATGTTGTGGCTTGTGCCTTGCGTCTAAACCATCTCATAAAATGCAGCTTTGTCGATCACCCAAACGTTGCGGTCGTACAATGCTGCTACTTAACACCTAAAAAGGAAACCTGGTAAATTTATCAACATCGATATAACAAGAACAACAACATTCCTACTTTGAATAAGACCACAGTAACAACTTCCAAACAGATTGCGAAAAGCTGTTCTAATTTGTTTTGAATGGCTTAAACGTCCTAAGCAGTGACGGAATTTTGTGCTAGTTTCACTTTGCTTTTCACAGACCGAAATGACAGCAAAAAAACGAAAAAAGGTTGCGTAGCTAAGGACTACCAAATTTTACATCCAAACACCACTGGGGTCTAGGTCGTTTTGAAAAATGCGCCAAAATGAGTCCCTTTTTTGTTCAATGATACAATGGATCAAGACCCACTGCACAGGCTCAGTTGGATATGAAACAGAGAATCACCTTTCTATTACACTCCTTAGAGGACATTGACACTGACAATGTGCTATTTTCTGATGAAAAGGTGAAGATTCCATCCTCCTTGTTCAGCCTACGTCAGGATCGAATAACCCTTACAAAGGACGAGCTTCCACAAGAGGTGAGTATTATGAAATGCCTATCCCTATAATGCCACCACTGACCATTAGATTTTGTATAGATTTCTGAGCTATTCTCCAAGCTCTATATGTTCAGGATTCAATGGAGCTCTGAAACTGCAAAAAGGACAGAGGTTTTCCAAAACTTCCTTCAACTGGGCTTCGCAGCCCATCTCATCCCTTCAACATTGGAATATGAACCCGTATTGTAAGTATTCATTTCATGCTGTACTGCTGTGTTCTAACATGTATGCTTTAGTGACGAGTTTGGTAAGTTCATAGCAAAGAACTTGGATGTTAAATTCACGCATGAGAACCTCATATCAACGGCCACCTCTGCAACGTATAACTCCTTAGATGAGGTGAAGTCTTCAACTTTCCAACAGTTTTTGAGTGTGCTTACTCCAAAATTGGACCGTATATCTTTTGTACAGGACTTTGATATCAAATGGGAGCAGTCTGAGCTGGTGATTACTTGGAATTCGGAGCCATTTGACTCAACTATTGAAAGAACTAATGAAATTAGGAAAGAGGTTGCTCTATTCGAATCAAAGGAACTCTATGGTGATTTGGAGCTTGTCGGGTTCAGAACTGTGATTGGGGAAGAGTATCAACCACCTGAAAAGACTTTACTAATAGTTAAACCACGACATTCTCTAGTGAAGGATACAGTGCTAGGAGTATCATTCCAACAACCGGTTGGATTGCATCCAGATTTACACATTGACTTTTCTCCAAATGTCACAAGTCCATTTAGCTCTTGTGAAATGTTCATCGTGAATACCATGCCTAGCGTTCTCTTCTTTGATCAATACCAATATAACGAGGATAAGCTGCATCTAGTGAGCTCTTGGGGTGAAAACGATTTGGAGGCACCTAATTGGAAGGTTGAAAAGTTTGGAAGTGTTCAGCTATTCAAGGTCAAAGACTACACCAATGGTGTAGATATCAAGTTCCATACCAGATATATCAAACCTTCAACTGAAAACCATTTCAAAATTGCCACTCCAGAGGTGTTTTGGGCATGCGAAGCAGATCTGTTTATGGCAGATTGGGACATGATTGAACGTAATCCATTTGATAACTATAACTTGGGATTTGAGTCCTTTTTTGAACCTTCAACAGTATTCTATCACTACAACAAGAACGTGTCAAGCCTGCCACTCACAATCCCAAGTGCAGACGCTGATGATTTCAGTACAGTTCAGATAGTAACATCTGTCTCTGTTGTTATTGGAAGTATATACCTGTTGATGAAGCTCTTTGGTTCTTTGGTTGCTCTCAACAGACCTGAAACAAAAGACGAAAAGAAGATCAAGTGAATTTGCATTTCATTAGCTATATATGTTGAAAGAAAAAAACAATGGCAATAAAAGGCAAATGAGACCAGTCAATTATCATTACTGAAGCATGTAATACAGGTTCATTTTCTTCCATGTTTCTTAGCAATACGGCGAAGAGCTCTCATTTCGTTCTTCATCACACCATCAACCATTCTGTACTTACCCTTAACACCCTTTGGTCTTCCACTAAGACCCTTATTCTGACCCTTGGCATAGACGTAGGTAACCTTAGGCTTTGTCTTTTGTTTCTTGGTCAGCTTTCTCATCAATTTGGAAATCTCATCAGCCTTGTCCCTCTCAGACTTTTCGCTGTCTTCCGCAATCAAATCGGATTTCTTCTTCAGCTTTTCCAAACGGGCCATTGCTCTCATCTTCTTACGTCCCTTAGCCTCAGCAACCTTCTTGATTGGTCTGGCATTCAATTGTTTCATTTTCTCCTTGATGGCAAGCGCAGCTTCTTTGGTAATAGGCTTGTTAATCTTGGAATGTTTCTTTTCATCTTCAATAAACCAATCTGGCAAACCTTCACTATCACGGAAGGAATATCTGTTGAATCCATCATCAACGAGATCATGTTTGGTCTTCTGACCCAATGCAAGTTGATGGGCCATTGTCATTGCCTGTGCAGTAGCCAATTCGACATCCTTTTGATGGTTACGGAGATTGACATCTTCATCATCAGAGTCAAGCATGTCCTCATCTTCATTATCTTCACGGGAAACATACTCAATTCTACCACCTTCATCATCAGATGAGTCCTCCACTTCCTCATCAGAATCCAGCGAAGCCGTAGTGGACAAGTTTGAGGGTGATGGGGTTGGTTCTTGTTGTTTCGCAGCCTTTGTTGGTATCTGAGCTTCAACGCCATCAAAGATTGAGTTGCTGAACAAGAGATCAGCCTTCTTACTAAGTCCTGATCCCTTTTCAGATTTGAGCTTTGCGATAAGCTTGTTGATGGCTTCATCGTCATCACTATCAAGCTCTGATCCAGACTCGTCATCCTCTTCCTCATAGTCCTTCGCTTCAGCTTCACTCTCTTCATCACTTCCCTTATCTTGAATACCATCCCACTTCTCATCATCATCATCTCCTCTGGCTTGCTTAGCTCTGAACTTGGCATCTCTTTCACTCTTACGCTGCTTGAAAGCATCATACATTGCATTCAATTGGTCTTCCAATTCATCAACTTCTTGGTCGGATTCAACCTCAGCATCAGAAGCAATATGGATATCGTTATCTTCAATCAAATCATCCTCGTTGAAGATCATACGTCTTTTACCCTTTGCCAAATCTTTCAACTGACCGGTTTTCTCGGCATGTTTAAGGTTGAAGAGAGATTCACGTCCAATGTTTCCAGCTTCGATACCAATATCCATTGGTGTAAGCATGTTCATTTGCATTCTTGTGATTTCTTTCTGCTTCATTTCATTCTTCTTTCTCTTCTCCCTTTTCTGCTTTGCGAGTTGTCTAGCTCTAACCTGGTCAAGCTCCTTATCTATGAGCTCTTCCTCGTTCAGTTCTTCAACTTCAACTTCAAGTGGCTTATCATCTTCATCGAGTTGTAACAACTCCCTGGCCAATTTTCTCCATCTAAGCATGTTTCTGAAGTCCTTTTTACCCAACACTTTCAAATCTTTGAAGCATTCCATCAACTCAGGTGTGGTTTTTCTCAACTTTTTGAGAAGCCTCCACTCGGGATCTTCGTCATCAATTTCCAACCTGTTAGTCTCCCCAAGTACATCGATTGGAGTATCAGATCTAACGAATTCAAGAACAGGCACGGATTTGAACTGCAAAAAGTTATCCTCGTCATAACCTTCTCTTCTTCTTCTCTTCTTTTCCGGGTTGAAGACTTTGGCCTCGTTGTTTTGAGGGCCATCAGCGAGTTCTTCAAACACTTCCTTTGGATCCAAGATTCTTGGATCTAACTTCTTTGGAGCTTTGAACCCTTTACAAACAACAAAGATCTCTGCAGAAACGTTTCTCGAAGCTGGTGGCTTCGTTGCCTCCACCTTTTCAAACAGCTGTTGGAAGACCCACATCAACTTGTTGTAGTCCTTCGATCTGAACACCTTGGTAACGAATGTTCCACCTGCAACCAAATTCTCCACAGCCAATTTCAAAGCCTGGAGGGTAAGCTGGGACTGTGTAAAGGCATCCTGAACCCAACCCAACCCAACGTTTGGTGCACCATCGTGGAGCACTGTATCTGCTTTCCACGTTTTCATGTAACCTCTCAGCTTGGATCTACAGTCCTCCGTCGTGATGTCGGATTGGAAAGTGATACAGTTTGGCAGGGGCTTAATAGGAACGATATCAACACCAATGATCAAAGAGTTCACGGGACAAAGGTTCGACGCCACCTGACACCACGACCCTGGCGCTGCACACAGGTCGATCACCACCTTCGACTTCTCGAGAAAGTGACCATACTTCTCGTTGATCTGGATGATCTTGAAGGAGGAACGAGCTCTATAACCCTAGACACAAGCGTTAGTACTAATGAACCATCACCACCAGGCACTACCAGGCACTACCAGGTGCCCAGCGCTCATCCGCCCATACGTACTTTCTCCTTCGCAAGGTAGTAGTACCGGTCTAAACGACCTTTGGAGTTCTTCTTCTGTGTTTTACCCATCGCCGATAACTACTCTGTTTGGTTCTGGTAAGCTTCCTGTGTACGGAGCAGACGAAGAAGTTGATAGAAGCTTCAAAAAAAATTTCAAACAAAAATGCGATGAGCTGCGGACGGAGAGAAAACCACAAAAAGAAGAGCGCATCGGAATTTCGCTTACGTAAGCCGTGACATTCCGAGCGTGCTTATGTAATCATCTGATAAAACTTTAATCTCGAGATGCCCGGTAGGCGCAACACTTAAACGACCGCATGGCGCCAGAGAGGGCTTTTTTGTCTTTTCCGCTGGTGTTGCGCTTTGGCGGTGAAGTTTCGGCCTATTTTTACCTATAAAAACGTGGAAAGTTTCTCTCTGTCCTCTCCCACGAGTAAATAAATTCACGCACACTCCACGAAATCACTCAATTGGACTATCTCTATCTCAAAGAATGACGTTCTTGGGATACTCGTTCAAGCCAACACCTCCGTTGGCTGAGCCACAGCCAAAGCCTTCGACTGAGTACGGTCTCAGAACCACAGACGTGAGTACGATCTGGGTGGTGTGCACGGTGCACCTCCATCTGAAGGAGGAACATCTGTGTCTTCGCAATTGATGAGATGTGCTAACAAACGGTTATAGTATCCGGCTATTAAGAATGCTCCGTTGCCAGCAGATGGTCCGGGCTCTAAGCATTTTTCCAACTTGCTCGTTCTTGCGCTCATTGCCGGTATTCCGTGGTTTATCAAGTCTAAGCTTGGAGGAGGATTCAAGACATGGGTCTTCTTTGTGCTGTTGACATTCTTGCCTATTCTCATGGTTTACTGGACTTTGGCATCCACATACTCGCCAAGATTGAATGAAAGGGTCAGATTCCCAAACAAGGGCGTTGAGCACTACTTGGAGTTCCACACCGAGGAGCTGAAGCAGAAGTACTCTGGCCAAAACAAGATCCCAATGGAAACTTTCCACGAGTTGTACTTTGCTAACAAGGTGTCGTTCAAGGGTGATGCTTTGGAGATCATGGAGTATAGACACGATTGGGCACAGTTCTCATTCACATTGTCCCTCTTCAAGTTCTTCCTGTTGGGCATGATCCCAGAGGTTATCATGCATACAAGATCACAAGACGAGGAGCAAGTCCGTGACCACTATGACCGTGGTGATGACTTCTACACCTGGTTCTTGGGCTCTAGAATGATTTACACAAGTGGTTTGATCTCCGATATCACCGTCGAGGAGTCTCTGGAGCAATTGCAGGATAACAAGTTGAAAGTTGTTTGTGATAAGATTGACTTGCAAAAGGGCGAGAGATTACTGGATCTTGGATGTGGCTGGGGTACTTTGGCCACTTACGCATCCAAGGTCTATGGTGCTTCTGTCACTGGTATCACCTTGGGTAGAAATCAGACCAAATGGGGTAACGAGAAGCTCAAATTACAGGGTATTCCAGAAGAACAATCAAAGATCCTGTGTATGGACTACAGAGACACACCAGTTCCGGAAGGTAAGTACAACAAGATCACCTGCTTGGAGATGGCTGAGCACGTTGGTATCAGAAAGTTTGGTACCTTCTTGCAACAGGTTTACGACATGTTGGACGATGATGGATTGTTCTTCTTGCAATACGCAGGTTTGAGAAAATCATGGCAATACGAGGATTTGATCTGGGGATTATTCATGAACAAGTACATCTTCCCTGGTGCAGATGCTTCCACTCCTTTGGACTTTGTCGTTTCCAAATTGGAAGCTACAGGCTTTGAAACCGTCTCCATCGATAACATTGGTGTCGATTACTCTGCAACCTTGTGGAGATGGTACAGAAACTGGATGTCTAACAAGGATTCCGTTGTTAACAAATATGGTGTCAGATGGTTTAGAATCTGGGAATACTTCCTTGCTTACTCTACCATCATCTCTAGACAAGGTTCTGCTACGTGTTACCAGATCGTCTTGAGAAAGAACCTCAACTCATATCATAGAATTGAATACGTTCCAAAGCAAAAGGGATTGCTCGGACCAATCAAGGAGGGTGTTGAAGAATGGTTCAAGTGATGCTGTAGCTTGGCTGCCTTCTTCCTTCTAAATTACTGTGCATTATCGAAAGAATCTTTTTTGGAGTAAGTACATACAAAAGATAAAGAAGAAAAAGTATACATTCAGGTCTAATACGTAGCTATTTGATTATTAGGGTGTTGTTGTTGTTGCTTTTGACCTCCAGTGTGCAACTGAGCATTACGTGGAACTGGACTCTTTGGTCTAATGTTTTCAATGTCTTGGTCCTGAGGCACGTTAGATCCAATCTTCATGATCTCAGCCTTGTACCTTGCAGGATCAAAATTGTCGATGATTATGTCTGGGCTCATGATAACCCATCCACGTCTTGGAATCACAGGGTTGTTATAGCCCGATCTTGCCGGTATGATGTGTAATCTTCTGGTGGCAGAACTGAAGTTCTCCGCGACTTTGTAAATATGGGTTGGTACAACCTGGTTTTGGTTCTCTTCTTCATTCTCAATCTTTAAATCTGTATCCACGTTACAGTGGATGAGGTGTCCATCTGAAGATCTTCTCACGGTTCCTGTGATACACATCCAGCAGTGCCACTGCAAACTCTCAAATGCTGCTGTTTCATCTTTGGAGATCCCGGTTGGGTAGTACCGAGATTTCTTGTTCACTGGAACAAACACCAATTCTTCCGATCTTCTAAACTTCTTTGTCCAGCCATCAGAGTTCAGCAACTTGGTCAGTTCATTAATTTGCTGGGACGATGCCCAGATGAAGAGGAACCCAGGTTTGGAGCATAGCCTCTCCAGTGGAATCTGTACCAAGAATTGGTAAATGAACTGGTTCTCCGTGAGACCACCAATCATTATCACGTCGAACACCAATCTATCCCTGACGATCCATCGGTTCAACGTGGGGACCATGTTCTTGAGCTCTACGCGAGCACCGTAGGGAATTGATGCGAATTTATCAGTTTGGCGTTCCTTCAGATGGAATAGCCTCTGTAGCTTGGGATAACCCTCTACCGGGTTCTTAACGTTACGAACAAAATTCACCGGTAGCTCATCAGTCACCATGTAGTTAGCGGTAAAGTCGTTCTCCTTAAAGGTCCCTGGCTTCACCTTGATGTCCTGGATCCTAGAAGACATATCAGAGTGGCTTCGATGATGCCACATGGAAGGCGGCCTTGTGAATTCCTCAAGCGTAGAGCGCGGTGTAGGCACTACCGTCAAATGCTGTGACGATGCTCGCTGATGGGCTTGTTGATGTTGCTGATATGACTGGTCCAACTTCTGAACAGGCTCCTTCCGCGTATTGGAAGCACTGCTGCCAAACCCGCCCATGGCACCGCGGTCGTAGGCATATCTCTTCTGTGCGCCATTCCCATTGCCTCTCCATGCTGCTTCATTCTTGTGGTCGCGCTTCGACATCCTCGCTCAGTGTCCTTTTCCCTTGTATCTGGGTCCTTGTTTATACCTCGCCCTTCTTCACCCTGAGCTTGTTATACGAGCAGATCAAACTAAACGCAAACCGGTAAGGTGCTTCTTATTTTATACCTCTCAAACAGAATGTCCCACTTTCCTAAACCACTGTAATCCCACAATCACTTGAAACAGATGAGAAACCTTGCACAAATTCTACCACCAAACCTGCTTCAACTACCTGTATTCCAACGCTTTTGATTGCCGCCTAAGCTGCTGGTGGGCTGAAAGTGCCGCTACCTTTCTGTTTCATCTTCCAACCTTTCACACTGAATGCGGAAATCGTTACGGCCAGTGGGGTTCACTATGTACGCGGTGTGTTTACATGTGCATGTTTGTTGACACAAAGACAGCCTCTAAGTGTGAGCAGAAGGGGATTGGGGCATATTTACCAAAGGAGCTTTTTGAGAGTTGGCTGTTAGTTGTTGGTTGTTGAGTGTTGTTGAAAGCAGTTAGAGAGCGTGGTGATGGGGTTGAACTCGCCGTTGTGGTTGGGCTCGGCCCAGATCAGAGAGCGGTACTTGGCGTTACGAGATGGAAGGACTGCTTTGGTGAGGAATGGACAAGGCGAAGTTAACATCCAGCAGTCTTTGAAAGATCTCAATGCGCTCCTAGTGGATCATTTCACGAGTGTATGTTACCCTGTGATTGCTTTCAAAAGGGAGCTTTACTAACGTGTGTGGCTGGAGGATATAGGAATCGCACTCCTTTCCCTTAGAGTTGAATGATGTTATTCATGACGTATACAGAGTGTTGACGGTAGATGGCAACAAGGCGTACAATTTGCTTGAAGGTGACACATTACTCTTCTCCTGTCATCTAGGCTTGAGTGAGCTAACTGAAACGTGTGTCATGGATCTTCTAGGAATCCACGACAAGGTTCTCAGTGCCCTAATGTGCCGTTCTGATGATGATTCAGATGAGTTTAAAGAGGTTCTCAAGAGGTCCACAAAGTATATGCTGGTTTTCCTTCTCTCGTTTCTTGACTATAAGGAGCTTTCTGATGATTTGGCCTCGCAACTTATTGCATTTGTTCTTAACTTGTGCCGATTATACTCAACGCACCCAAGCTTGGTGGATCACTGGCTTGGCGTGAGCTTGAAAGAACCTGATATTTCGTATACGTTGTACAACAAGATGTCAACCATAAACTGTTTCCCTGTGTATGAAATTGCAAGGCTATTCCTACTTCTGGAGGATCAGAACGTTGACATTGCAAGAGAAAGTCTACAGTTACTCGTTTGCATTAGTAATACATCAGTGTACTTGGAGGAATGGCTCATTGAAAGCGATTTCCTGGACTCAATACTAGCGGGCGTTCTCTTGAATTTCAATAGACTTCCTGGTACATGTTTCGACAAAGACGAGTTCTTGTTAACCACCAAATCCTTTGAAAAGTTTGACGCCAGTTTAACATTTGTTATGAAGATATTGAGGACTTCGAAGAGCAATAGCTTGAGGATTCTTCTTATGAATGCTTTGGATACAAAGTTCCTTTCTCCTTTAATAGAAATGCTCAGCTCAAAGGATGTTCGCTACTCTAATGTGTTGCAAATTCTATTATTCACACTTGAAAGGATTATTATTCCTGACAGCGAATATCTAAGTCCACAACATGAGTCCTTATTGGAATGCTTTTCAGACCACCACCTCGATGCGAATCATAAGACCACTACAGACATCCTAGATTTGTTCACTCGTGCGGTGCGAAATTACTACTTTGATGATCCAAATATTGTGATAAGCTTGTTGAACATTATTGGTATACTTGCACGTTCCCGATCGAATTTGGTTTTGCAAAGAACTATACTTGATATCGCAGAAGATACCCCATTCTTCAAATCCCCGATGGTACTTGCTTCATGGGCATCAAAAATTATACGGATTCAAAGAGATCAACCAGACTTGAAAGATGAAGCATTTGAGATCTTTAACCACGCAATGATTAATATGAGACACACTCGGCTAGTACTGGACTCATTCAAAACAAGAACTCTAACCTTCAAGGATGAAGGACCCATTAGTGGTTTACTTTGTCTACAGCTTAGCTTGTTCTTCACAAACACATTGGAGATTAACGATGCTTTGATCAATGTATTGTCAGACATATGTCAGGCAAATGGTGGTTTGGTTACGGACGTGTTTATTACTGAGTCTCTTGATAATCAAGACTTAATGGTCCTAATTTGGAACTACTTATGGATAAGTTACGACTCTTATTCAAAGCAGATACAGCGGGATAATATTGTAACTAGTATGGTTCCCGTGAGTGAATCGCTACGTGAGCTGTTGAAAAGGTTGGCATATGGTGAAGATCATCACGAGCAGCAAACACCTTCAGACATTGGTCTTGAAAGTCTAAAGATGTTTCGCTACGTCGTTAATAAGTTATTTGTTGTTAGTCAAGCATCATTGATTCTCAACAACATTTCATTTCCAAATCTTTGACCGTCATGATTTAGACAAGGCTATGCATATGTACGTAGTAGTACATATGTAGTCTACAAACTTAAAGTCTTATGCAATTAATAAAAGTGCTGGTCGTGGTATTCAGATTGTAGTCGCAGCGTGATGTTCTTTGGAATTGTTCCAGGTAAACATGTCCGCTCTGATAACATCAAGCAACGTTTACATGATGTTTTCTACGTTTGTCGATGAAGATTCCGAAGATTTGTGTGATGTAGCCATTCTACGTTATAATAATGACGTATGAGAGGTATTCAAAAGCTTATGCCCATGTGATGGACTTTCTAAACGAATGATCACAAGAGTGGTGCCACGTCTATCTTTGGTTTATACGTTGTTTTTACGAGAGCCGTAACGTTTCAAGAAGGAAGTTCTATTGTTCACTGGCCATTGCATCATTGGTTATCTGCGTTAGAAGCTTATTGACGTAATGCGGTACCAATGGGGTAAGGCAGAACATTTTTGCGCAATTTCCCTTTTAGGATATCTGCTAAAAAGTGCGAAAAATACAAAAAATAGGGGTTACGGAGGTGGGTGAGGGAGAGCAATTTGGAAGAAAAAACGAAATAAAAGATATTTCCTATTAAGCGATTTCCATAAATTCAACATATCTTATAGTGGTACATTCTAGCTATATTTTGGCTGTTTTTTAGATACTATTACCATAATAAAATTTCAAATAAACTGCCCGGGTTTGTCGAGTGGTTCCGTGGTTCGCCACCAACCTTTGACGCCCCTTTCGACCCATAGCAGCTATTGTTGCGCGTACCGTCCTTTTTTGGAAAGGCAATGTGTTACCCTACTGAGGTATTTGGATGCAGCCTACCCCTTCCACCAATCAGAGCACTGGATTCGTTTTCGCGCCTTACAAATTTTTGAAAATTTTCAGGAATCTTTAAAAATTGTCCATTCTTTGTTTTTCCTCTCATCGACTTTTTTGAAAAAACCACCCAGCAAATACAAATTTTCGCCGTTTTTTCGCGCACTTTTTTTTGGCAAAGAACACTTCGACTTGGCTACAAAGAATTCACCTTTGAGTAATTTGTTGCTTTTCCTTGTCCAAATAAAAGATCAAAAATTTAAAGAGGTAACTACAACAAGTTTAACGCTTCAAACTTCTTAATTTCTCTAAGAAGGTCGTTTTCTGTTTTTTGTTACAACTTTATATTTTAAGCTTGAAACACCCCACTGACCGCTTCACTGCGCTGTTCAGTTTTTTATTCTCGTGTTACGTGTCCTCTGTGAAATTCTGTTTTTTTTTCGCCACTTTTGCAAAAAAAAACATTTCGCTGCCCTTTTTGGATATTATTGATAAAGACAACATTTTTCACTATGGCCACTCTAAGTTTTGATAACACTCACAAGCGTGCAGTTGGTGATGTGACATTTACATCTCAGAAGAGAGTATGTCTTGCTCCAGCTTGGGCAAGAACAAACTCATTTGCTGCACGTTCCGTCTCCTCTTCATCTTCTTCAGATGATGACTCTGAAGATGAAGTTGGATACTTGAACAAGCAGAAGAGAGCAAGAAAAAGAGCATCCTCGATGAGAAGGGTGTCTAGTGGCTTTAACGATTCCTTGTTGAACACTGCTGTTTCACAATACAGCGATGTCGATGAAGATGACCTTAATGTCAACAAAGTTCAGGAGATTGGGAAGGAAGAGGAGAAGATTCCATCGATTCCAACTGAGAAGGAGAACTTTAGAACTCATCGTGAATCGTTGGCTGGTTTATCTTCTGACTCAAAGAATAAGATTAGAAGAACAGTTGATTGTGACAAAGTTGCAAGAAACCGTTGCTTCGACTATTTGGTTTCTGCCATTGATGAGGTTTGGGCTCGTTACTGTGACGCTACATCATATGCTGAGGATGAAGTGTACAATACAGACGTCTCGTACCAACCTGCTACCCCAGCTTCTATCGACACATCCGAGGATGAAGACGATGACGAAGACGAAGGTTACAAGTCCGCCTCAACAAACATCACCGAATACGAATCCGACGTTGACGGAAAGAGAGTTTCCGGTCAACCAGGTAGCTTGAGACTTCAACAACTTAAAGATCGTCTGTTGAAAGCTAAGTACTACCTCCAAGACTTCCTTGAGTCTAACGACTTAGATGAGGCAACTGCCTTCTGGAAACGTTGGGATTTGATAAAGTATGCAACAATTGAATTGGTTGAAGATGACGATGACGATGAAGTTATCGAATCAACAACCGAAGACCTTGAAAAGGGTCGCTTGATTGGTTCATACTAAAATCTTTGAATCATACCGAGGACCTTGCTGAATACCATCACATAAAATACCACACAAAGACTTTTATGACAGAAAACTGTGATGGTACATCGCAACGGTTCGGATATGCATTCTTAAGTTTGGCTTCCATGTACACTATTTGATTCTACTATGTGTTTTTGATTTTTTGCAAGTTTTTTAAAGGTTTGTTTATGGTGTTGTTTACGGTTGTTTTTGCATATATATATTTCACTTTCTTACTTTGTGCATTCAATATGAATGTTGTTTTGGGTACTGGTATACGTTAAAGGATTCAAAGAAATGAACAATTATCTTTTGAAATAAATATTTGTAGCGTGTTGTAAATGGCTTATATAAATGACTGGCCCTAACCAGAATTTTAAGGGCAGCTGAAAGAAAAATTTTGTTTCGTCTGTCTTTCTTCAAGGCGAACACATTGGAGAAGAGTCTCTGAAGAAGTATCTTGCCCACCTGTAACGATAATACTATGCCCGCCATGTCCTATTGAGTGTTCTGGCGATGTTCCAAGACAATAATATAGTGGACTCATTCATTCTGGCTTGAATAGTCACAGTGAACCGATCAGTTGACGGTTCCTTCGAGACTATGGTAAAGATCGCATGTCTTAAGTCAAACGACTAGTTCCTCAATCATTGGAGAACCATACGTCGTCTTGATGTGTCTTCATGCGAAGATCATACCGTTCATATATCACTGGACCATCCTTAACGGCCTAAGACCTCTGCTTTTTGAGGTTGAAACCACCGTTAACGTGCTTTCTCTCTTGACCAGCCATGGCGTTTTGCCAGTTGGCTGGTTGCTTTTATAGGGAACTCATGCTGAGATGGTTAAACGACTTGTTCATTGTCTTCCACATGGTTAAGTTCATTCGTGGATCGATGCGTTCTGCATTGACGTCATGACTGATCACCTACCTTGGCTGACTTGTATATGCGCAGTCAACATTGTGGCCCTCACGACTCACCATGTCAACTTCGAGATGAGAGGTTTCACAACAGTGAATTGAACTACATTCTAGAAAAACTACACTATGTAAGGTAAATATCACACATCATTATACGTATTCCGTCAGAATAACGTATACAAACAACCACTTCATACTCATGGTAGGCGTTCATGTTCGCAGAGCGCATATATCAAACGGCTCCATAATTTGGAGCACCCTGTGCGCCTGGATAAGTTGCTCCCTGATAGGTGGATCTCTCGTCCTCTGGGTATTGTGAGATGATGTATAGGGCATGAACCAAACCTGGGAAGAACCCGAGCAAGAACAAAAGGATGTTTATCCAAACTGAACATAACGTTAGTCCTGTGAGCTTACAAGCCACAAGGGCACCAGGAGGCAAGTGGAGTACTCACAATCAACAGAGATTCCTCTCTTGATGAAAACAGCAACAGGTGGGAGGAAGAAGGATATAAACACGAGGAACCAATCTTTAGCGTGCATTGTAGGATGCTCAATACGGGAATCAACGTGGATGACTTTCTTCTAAACAAAGGAGACAACAAGTCCAAAGGGGAAAATTATTTGTAGGAAATGTGGCAAGACAAAGCTTTGTTATAGTTGCTCGCATCAATTGTATGGCACATGTGGCACGTATCATTCCATGGGCTTTCTCCGTGTGTTTTTTGGTGCTGTAACCTTTGCATAGAAACAGCGACGGTTATCACCGCTTTGGAGAAATTCAAGGAGTCAACGCTGTGAAGCTTTGTTATGTGCGGTGTGTCCCGGGCTCTCCTCCGCAGGCACCTCGTCAGGTTGGCTGAGGACGAATTTCTCTGGCTGTTGTCAAAGTGTCAGATGACGCTGTTTTGCTTGTTAATTGTCCGAGATGACCGAGTCGCCCATACTAAACTGAGAACGTTGGTGAAGTCCAATGGCACCGTGTGTCTTACTTTGTTAGGTGTTGGGGTTATTCAACAGCACCCAATGTGAAGAGTAGCGATCTTGACAAGCATCCGATTTTGAGGTCTATACATAGCCGATGCACTCCTTTAAACATTGACACACACAGAAGTGATCTTTGATCTACACCACAACTCCAACCGTGCTGTTGTGTTACGATCGTCCTGATATCGATCGACAGCTCTATTGAGTTAAAGATCCAGATATCTGTTCCATGTACTAAAACAAGAAATCCCTATATTCTTCTAGATGAGAATTTCACTAGTCTCTCGCCTGTTCAGAAAGGATAGGGCACTGGATCCTTAGTGTCCGGATCTACGTTCATAAGCTCCCCGGTCATTTCTACGTACAACCATAGTATGTAATGGGCTAAGATCGTTGAATGATCTAGACCTTGGTTTCCAAAATGCACACGTGTGTTCAGCAGTATGGGAAAGGAGACAAGGTCAATGAGGATCAGGAGCGAGGAGGAGGTCTTTCTCTGGTGGAAGGAGTAAGTCCCTTCCCAAGCTTTCTCAAGTCAAAGGTTCGGACCTGAATTAAGTTCAAGATTGACCCTGACGCAGCGATATATACGCGATCAGAGGAAGAAGAAAAAAGCGTTAAGCATGCTCCTCTTGGCTTTTGAAACTTTCAAAGCCTGAGACCAAAGTCTTGAAAGCACACCAACTGATTCGTAGGCTAACAGCAGTTGTCATTGGGCAGTTGGTTTAATGGCTCATAAGCAGATCGATGGGCACAGGTTGTGCAATCTTTCCATGAAATGTTCGTAATGGTTTTGTGATGCCTCTGTGTATAGACTGCCAATTATTCGATGCTTATAGACGTGCGGCTATATACATGGTGTCCACTATCGTATCCAATGAAATGTGTCAAGGACAAAACTCACCAAATAAGTCGATACGTTGGAGGGTCTAGATAAAGTATCGAAGGTTCCAGATACGAATCTGCAACGCGTTGCGCTGTGTTCACAACGCATTCCCCAGCCTACGCCCATAAGCCCCTTGCCCAGGAGAAAGGAAGAAGTTGCATCGTGGGATCCCCATTCAAGCATGTTTCCATCACAACTTATAGAGCATCTTAGTTGAATTCCTCAGAACATGTTGTTATTATAACGAGAACAGCTACAGAGGAATACCGCCTATAGTGTAGGGTCCACAGACACGTCTTGCAAGTTGCAAGTGCAATTATGTTCACTGGTGAGCGTTCCAGGATCCTTATCTAACATAGGTTTAAGCGATATGCAAGCAATTAGTCGTACAACGCGAAGATAACTTGGTCAACCAAAAGCAGGTAAAGTTCACATCGCCCGGCTCAGTTATTTATCCAGTCATCCAATTCACAGGTATTTCAGTAGCACCATGTAACATTTAAATAGTGGTAGGGTGTATATAAATGTGTGTAATACAGATGACCACTATCCCTTGGCATGGACCTTTGAAATCGATCAAGCAAAGCCACAGTCACAACTGTGAAAACTACCCTCCAACTAAAAACAATCGACTACAATGTCTGCTTTTCTCATCAACCACAGCCACCAGTAAGCTAACTGGTCCGTAAAGGCGTCAACAACTAACTCCACACATGGATGATAATGTTGGCACTTTAATAATTGCATATCTTAAATCCTGGCTCTCCAGCTATCGCTTAACAAGTGGGTTCTCAACTTGTAATTGCAAATCGACCAGAGTCCAATGCAGCGCCGTGCCGCCGGCGCTGAGTCATAAAGATAACACGGTCTTGGGATTTGAATGAATTTGTCAAATTTTTAGCACCACAACACCACAACACGTTGGAATGTAAGACGCCAATATGGTTAAATTTAGCGCAGCGTCCACGAGAAGTGATTCTAAAAGATTCTAGACTCTCAAAATATAATGTGGCTGTGCTTAAAAAAGCAAAAAATTACTCTTGCAGGATCGCGCCGAAAGTTTCCCCAAATCGGCGCGTCTAATCCCAAAAGGGAATGAAAACTTGAATGTGAAGAGACCAAAACAAAGGTCTAGAGCGTCGAAACACATTTACTGCCGGAAAATCTTCAAGGGCAAAGGCACATGCAGCAGGTCGAATAATCCTCGCACAACGATCAACAAAGGTTCATCCGAATGCCTGCGAGAGACGTGAACAACTTGGGAGTGTAGTGTGCTCACTTCTCAATAGTGCGAGCATTATTATTGCACTTGCAATCATTATCATGGATTCGTGAAGTTACCTATTCCTGCTCCTGTCCCTGCTGCTTCTGGCTGTGTTACTGCTATCTAATGATTTTACGCATATGGCAATTAAAAGTGGGGGGATTGAACTCTAGAGAGGTTTAGTTACAGCTTCTGATTACTTGCAGTGCACTTCAACCCGCAAAAAGAGGTTGAGGTTCAATGATTGTGCTTGTGTGCAATTGTCCTAAGTAACATAATGAAGACACACGTTAAGGGCATCCTACGAGGTGTTTTTAGTGCATCCCTGTGGCTTGATTATGAGAAGTTTATCTAGCACGATTGGAAATATTTACGTAAATTCCTATTGTGTGTACACCTCCAGAAGGGTGCACCATGTGTAGAGACACCTCACAAGAAGTGTGCGAGCCTCCGCCACTATCAGAAATCAAAAAAGGAAACAAAAACGCGCATCTCGTGGTAATATTCGTCGAGTACGCGTGTGTGGTTTAAATCGCAGAGCACTGGTGTTGTCGTAGGAACAGTGCAACCCTACAACCCATATCTATTTGAAGAGTCGGAAGCCCAAAACACTCTAAAGTATCTCAAAGGCTACGCGCTTCAAAATGTAACCTAAAAGTTGTTTACACCACTCGGACGCCACTAACAAAAGACCAGTCAAATCATACACACAAAACTTTTAAAGTTTTCCCGAAGGGTTTGGACTTCGACATGACCCAAATAAGCTATTTTCACTTCCCAATTCGGTTTAGTAAGTCCCGCTCTATCCCCCTGTCGGTGGCCACTCAAAAAGAAAAGAAAGATTTTTACGCTGCAAAAACACGCAAAAATTCCAGAACTTTCAAAGGCGCTAAGGAAAAAAGAAACGTGCTTTTTTTTTCCTCTGCTGCTTTTTTGGGCTTGTGAGACTTGTGGTGCATCAACTGCGTCTCTTCCGATTTTTTGATATAAAAGGAATCCAATAGCCCTTGAAAATTTTTAATTCTCCTTTCCTCGACTCTTTCCTCTCTTCAACAACAGTATACATTATCACAATGCAATTCAAGATTGTTATTGCCGCTCTCGCTTCCATCGCTGCTGCTCAAAACGTTTCTAACGCTACCAACGGTACCAACGGTACCAACGAGACCACCTCTGTCTCCACTGGTGCTGCTGCTTCCAACGCTGTCTCTGCTGGTGTCTTCGGTGCTGCCGTTGCCGCTGGTGTCGCTTTCCTCTTCTAAGTTATTTGACTTGAAAAACACCACATCTTGAACATTTCTATTCTTTATTTTATCGTCAATCACTGACTTGTGTTTTAATACAAATGGTTTTCTGATAATTACTACTTATACACTTTTGTTTATCATTTTTTTATTGCTGGTTTTTTCTTCGTTTGCAAATAACAGTGGTTTTCTAGGGGACTTTTATATATATAACCTTCCTACTAATACAAACCTATGGGGAGTTTTATATTCTACTTCATCTTCCACTGTAGCTATCTTTTGATATATGTTTCCAATCTTTCCGGAGTGGCGAGGTTAACGGATGGTGACATTCTCCTGATCACCGTCGCGCCCGTCTTTCCCATTGATAAACAACACATTCAGAGCCTTTTTTTTTCGCTCTCATTGAGAGTGCCTCAAAGTTCGGGGCTGAGCTGAAATTCACAAGTTGTCACGGTATATGCATAATGTTTTCCGGTTGTGTGTGTTACGATGCCCAATGAGCTGATGGTTTCTCCTCCTATTCGGGAAGACACGAAATGACATTGGAGTGTTACAAACCTTGCAACTTATCTCAGCTATGAGACTACATGACTCATTTAACATATGAGTTGCGTCCTTACTCCTGGCAGTATTCTGTAGTTCTTGTTCCCTTTACACAGGTTCATACTTCGATATTTATCTCAAGTACAGCACTTCTGTAAAGCTTATCAGTTCTAATAACTGAGATGAAGCTATTTTAAGACTTGAACTCTGATTGAAACTCAAAAGAACGATTTGCTACCGTCATCTATGCAATGCTCTTGGCTTATTTTGCTTCTCCTAAGCATTATAAGGTCTCTCTTCCTTGACTAGCTGAAATAAATCTATCTCAAGATATTCAACTCTCGTGAGTAAATTGCAACGGTGTTTATCTAGGTGGAAGAGAAACAGCCTTGTAGTTCGCCAGCCAGTTTGGATTAGTCAAACTGGCTGACATTTCTGATTTCAGCAATGTATGTAGTAACTCCTAAATGATATATAGATTTGGATTATGATTTATGCCCTCAACCCCTCCCTCCTTGATCGAATTTGAGATGTTCTGCTTACATCTCGTATCTATGGACTAACAAATCTACGGTACAGCACACGTACATGACATTCGATTTACGGTTTAACAAATGCAATGCTATCCAAGCCATTTCCAAATTTACTACAACGATTCAAACCAGTCACCTCTACAGTGTGCGAGATATACTAAGCATTGGTTATCGAAGCAAAGTGGCTATTATGTACACCCTTTTCATGTTACTTACGTAAACCCTCGCTTAACTGTGCATTCCTGAACCTTTGGGTCCTCACCCGAATCCCGTGCGTGAGCGAGACCATCTGACTGACACAATTTAAGCATGAGACACCACATTATTTTTGGGCTTGGGGTTTTTTTCTGGCTTTGCCTTAGAACCTACTAAGCATTGACTTGCTATTCACGGGTATTTGAACCAATGGAGATTTGTAATTCTCATGTATGTAATTAATTCCACCTCAGCTGTTGATCGGTTTCAACTCACAACGGTCAACGCAATCAAAAATTTTCTTATCCACACCCAGACAAGAAATGTGCAAGTTGGGAAGAAAAGAACGGTCTCGATGCCCAAGCAAATACGTCTCTTTGCATGGACAAGAATGTGCCCCTATATTTAGTCATATTCTGGACTCTTTTTTTCCAAGTCAGTACTAACTGGCCACTTGGGCTTTATTGGTAACATATATGTAGATGCTGAGCAAGCCGCCCTTGTGGGCTTGAGTATCACACCTGTGCGGCAGGGAGAGTCTGCGCCATCGTCATAATATGCTTCCGGATCAAAATCTAAGATTCCGTAACATTACCTGGGTGTTGAAATAACCATATTCTTCGTTGAAACAACAGAGTGTTGCGTGTTAGTGAAATTTGAATCTGAAGGCCCTTTTTTGCCTTCTTCCCTCACGTCCTTTCCCCTTGTTCATGTCAGGAACCTCTATTATACTTTAGTCCAAAATCTGCATTCAGAAAGGCAGTGAAACCTAATGGGACAAAGCACCAGCATACACTCATCGAGATATGAGCATCCTTTGTTTGTAAACTCTTCAGTGTTAGATCTGGCCGCCTCCATCGAATCAGCCGATAGTGATGATCGAATCACCGTTAAATCCCAATCTGGGTCCATCAGTATCAGCTCAACCTCACTTGTGAAGTTTACTCAGAATCAAGATCAAAAGGAGTTCCCTTTCTTATTAGATCTATCCAGCTCAAAGAAAATCAACATTCGTTTGTCATTCATGGATAATGAGCTCAGACCAGACTTACAACTAAAGGTTTGGAATTCAGATCTTGATGCAGTGGTGCAGCGTAGTCTCAGAAATGATCAAGCCGCAGGTGTCACTTTTGAAATATGTGTTAAAGAATCAGGCAAGTACTATATCGCAATATCATATGGAGATGAACTCCTAGTTTCATGGAGCTCATATGTGGTTGTGGACAAATGCATGGAGATGGTTGAAGAATCACCAGAAATACAGGGCTTTGAAGACCATCCGATGGAGCTACCCTCCGATGGAACGCAATACAGAAGAGTAATAGTAACCAAAGAGAGGCTTATCGTTGAAATGATAAGCACTCTGAAAGTGCTGATCAAAAGAGCACAGACGTTGGATGAACAAATGAGAAACGTTGCATTGGCAAGGTCAAGATTCTCTTCTTATCTGTCGAACCTGGCAAACCTTGGCCATGGATTAGGGAATGACATCCTGGTTGAAATGGTGGGCAGTCTGATATCCACCCTTACCGAGCAATCAAAGAGGGATATTGAAGAGTCTGGTAGACTTGTGCAGAACGTAACTACGCCACTGATCGACCTGTACAATTCACCGGCTTTCAGTACATTCCACACAAGGGTAAAGCTCTACAACAAAGACCTTGCAGAGTACCATTCGACTGTTGCTACAACAAGCGCAAAACCCCCTTACTCTCACTATGAGTTGATGAGGTTCGACCACTTCCATTTCCTCAACGAGCTTGTTGGTGGGCTGGCAATGCGAAAGTTGCTGACGGACCTCTCACAGTACCTCGTTGCACACACAACACAGGTCAAATCAGCCGCTGTCGCGAAGGCATCACCAACCGAGTGTACCATCAACAAACACATTCCCAAAATCGACTTTCTATACAAGAACTACAAGGAAAACTACCAATCGGAGCTAAAGGGGATGCGGGATGTCCTTGTACTAAGTTTCGGACAACGTGAGGATAAACAGGGAGGTAAACCTATGTTTAAGAAGGATAGTACCAACGGTGATGCGCGGCCAAGCAGTCCGTTAGCAGGCATTCCCAACTCTGGTGTGTTTTATACCCTTGGAGGAAGAGGAAAGAGTGGATGGCATAAACAGCTTATAGCGCTTAAGGATAACTTCTTTCTGGAATATGTTGACTATAAACATCCTCACAAGCTTCGGAATGAACCCCTGGACATCACCTTTGCCTGTGTCAAAAGTGTGGACACTCTTAAGGACCGAAAGTACTGCATAGAGGTTATAACTCCAAAGAACGTGAAGCGGTTGTTCCAGGTCAACAGTGAGGACGAGAGGGATGAATGGGTACAGTACTTGAACAAAGCTGCTGCGCTGAAAGCAGATGATAACCAATATAACCATGAGAAGAACGGCGTCAAACGACTCTCTGTGGTGAGGACAGCGGCTAGGGCCTCACAAATACCCGCTCAGCCAGATATCCAGGCTTTGGAGATTGGAGACGCTACGCCGTTGCAGCTTGTGAGAGATGTTGACCCATCCAATGTGAAATGCTGTGATTGCGGAAGCACCGTGGGTGTTGAATGGATATCTTTGAACCTCCTTGTTGTTGTGTGTATCAAGTGTTCTGGCGTACATCGCTCAATGGGAACACACATCTCCAAGATACGGTCTTTGGAGTTGGATGAGAAGGTGTTTGCCTCTAAGGAAATGCATGAGCTGTTGTACCATGTTTCCAATAGGCTGGTGAACTCATACCTTGCCAACGATACAACCATTTCGCCAGACTGCTCCGACGAGGAGAGAAAGAACTACATTGTGAAAAAATATGTGAATAAGGACTTCTTACAAAAGGATGTATCCTTCAACCCTAACGATGCTCTTATCAAGGCTGTTCACTCAGCTAATATTCCCCTTGTACTCAAGGCCTTGATATATGGAGCCAATACCTCGTTAGTTGTTATCAAAGATGTCCATGGCGAACGGAAAGAGGTGACGCTGTTCGAATACTCCCTAACACATTGTCATGGTGACCCAGATAGACCAATCTTTGATGTCTCTCAATTGCTGATTTTCAACAACGTTCTCCATGGCGATGAAGTTAACCCAGTCTTGGACCTCAACAGGCACCAACTGGCCTTTTGGGCGTCAACAATCCCCAAAAAGTCGGTGGTTAAACCACAATCATTACGTACACAGCCTGAAAAGCAGGAAAAGGCTAAGCATAAGTCAATCAAAAGATCACATACAATTATGGTGCCATCAGCAAGGAAAGGCCCATCCCCAAGCGTTGCACCAGCTGACACAAAATCCAAGAGATTGAGTATGTTCAAGATCCCTCATTTCAGACCATCGTCGAGCCATTAAATGCTATAGATCTTTGTGCCTGACGTGAGAGTTTTGTGGTTACTATGGCAGGGGTTGTTTTGTCTTTTGTGCCAACTGGTCCTTGACACGGAGCACGTTTCCGCTATTACAATAACCTCTTTTCATTCCGTTCGCCAACCATTGAGGTTACTTATTAGGTGGCATCCAGTGTGTGCTTCTCTTGGTTATCTTCCATATTCTTGGCTACAGAACTCTACTGTTTCACTATGAACTCCGGGGCAATGCGCGATTTATGTGATAACTACGCAATAGATGACTGTATTGGAAGGGGTAACTTTGGTGATGTATACCGTGCAATTGATAGAACTACGTCAAAGGTGGTCGCTATCAAAGTTGTCAATCTTGAACAGACCGATGACGAAATCGAAGTTCTTGTCCAGGAGATTACTTTTTTGTCGCAGATGCGTTCACCTTATATTACACACTACTATCAGACGTTTGTCAGTGATGTGAGCATGTGGATTGTGATGGAATACTGTGGTGGTGGTTCTTGTGCTGACTTGTTGAAGTGCCATAAACATTTGAGTGAAGAACTGACTAGTTTTATCATCAGGGAAACTTTAAAAGGCTTGGAATATTTACACAGTGAGAAAAAGGTACACCGTGATATCAAAGCTGCAAACATTCTTTTGACTGCGGATGGACAAGTAAAGCTTGCAGATTTTGGTGTTTCTGGTCAGATCACTCCAACTCAACTTCGGAAGGATACATTTGTCGGTACGCCATTTTGGATGGCTCCTGAGATTATCACCAGAAAGTGTGGATACAATGAGAAGGTTGATATCTGGTCCTTGGGAATAACAACTATTGAATTGGTGTCTGGTGCTCCACCTTATGCTGACTATGAGCCTATGAAAGTTTTGTTTCAAATACCGAAGAATCCATCACCTGTATTGACAGGTTCCAACTACAGTGAACACATTAAGGAATTTGTCAAGCTTTGCCTCCTCAAAAACCCACAGAGCAGACCCTCTGCTACTGCTTTGTTGAAGACAAAATTCATCAAAATATGGAGGAAAAGTACACCATTAGTCCCATTAATACAAGCCAAAGATGAATGGATAGCTGAGAACAAACCAAGATCGAAAAGGCCACGATATAATTTGAGTAACAAATTGTACTCTCAAAGCCCTGCAACGTTGAAGTGGAATTTCACTGACAAGAAAAAGCTGGTTTCAGTGTCACCAATTGGGCTAGTCGAAGGATGTGGAGATCAGTACAAGTGTATTTCAACTGAAGAATCCGATAAATGCCAATCTCTGGAAACATTTTCTAGTCCATTGATGAAGTCCACGGAAACTGGTGTAACTTCTCCCGATAACGTTTATAACCACAATGGTACTAAAGAGAATCACAATGATGGTGATGTGGATGAAGATATTGAAAGCTCTGTGGTTTTCCAAATGGATAAATGTGCTGATACCAGTGGACTCGAAGTTTCACAAACTGAAGAGTGTTGTGAGAAACCAATCGCTCATGAGACCACAACTGTAGGGGACTCCCAGACTTTAGAGAAGAAACCCCTTGATTATTTAAACGAAGTTATGATGTACTGTTTCAAGAGAGTCCACCATAGAGCCAAGACAAGTGATACAAAACTTGCAGTTTCTTCGTTACTGAAGCAGTTGGTTGTGACTGAACGTGTCCAGCCCGGGTTAGCAGAGCTGTTATGCGAAGAGATCTGGTTACGGATGTTACGCCTTCAAAGCAATATGGATTGCCATAGTTAGGTTTCAAGCATTGATCCTCGTCGACGATATATGATTTGCTACTATGAATCGTTTCTTAATACTGATGACAAACAATATTCGATTTCTTTAATGATATATTAATTGTGATATGATTTATATATATAATGACTGAATATGTAAGCGGAAGTATCTACATGATGGTATTGAATAGTACAGTTGAAGTATATTATACAAACATCCTAATCCTGATATAACCTGATCGATATAAAAAAACAATAAAAAGAGGAGTGAGAGAAAGCTTTGAAAAAACAATTCACAAAAATTCGAGGCTAAACTTGTTAACCACTGAAAAGCATAGACAAGAGACAAGACAGATCAACGTTGATAAGGATGAGTAAAAGCCCGTAAAAGGAAGGCGAACAGAAGCAAAGTGCAAGCATGCATAGTATTGACTAAAGGCAATGCACGCACAAACAAACCGACACACGCTCAATTAGATTACTCTTGTTGTTGAGCTTGGTAGTTTGCCTTCTCTTGCTCGTATCTCTTCTTGTCAGCTTCAGCCTTTTGCTCGTATGGAACCTTACCCTCTGGGGTCAAGGCTTTCCACTTCTCACCGAGGAGCTTACCGACACCACCGAAGGAGATACCTGGGTTCTCAGCACGGACAATGTCTCTGTTCTCGTTGGCAAAGAACATGTAAGCGGAAAGAGAACGCTTTGGCGCATTTGGGTCTATGGAAGCGTGTTAGTATAAACATAAACATAGACAAGCCAAAGCACCGACAACACGCGATGCTGTTGGAGAGCGAAGCACAACTAACCTTTTTTCTTTCTGGAGGTCTTGAGTTTTCTTTGAGCACCGGACATTGTTCTGTATAACGTGTGTGTTTGTTAGTAGCGTATTCACCAAGCGAAAGTAAACAAAGGGCAAGGGAAGAAAACAAGAGATCCCAGGGGAGAAATTTTATACAGGGCGAAAACACAGAGGGGGCGTGGTCACTTAGCGCGAGCTGCGGACACAACACAGCGCCGAACGACAGCAAAGCAAAAGCGCGGGCGAAAAAACAGTAAACAAAAACAAACGCGTCGAATATTTTTCGCGTATGCGTTCTTTCAGCTATTGCTGTTGCCGTAGAGATTAACACGGTACCGAGAACAGCAACAACCACAAAAACAAGCGGAAAAAAACAACAGAACATCCGGACACCACCACTAAAGAGAAAGGAGGGAAGAGAAAAAAAACAAACGCACAAAAGAGGGAAAAACGTAGCGCGCGAGCCACCCACACCAACAATTTGGGGGTCTGTGCGATTTCCCACTTTTCGTTTTTTCGCCAATTCGAACCTCTCTCCTTAATTTTTTTTTGTTGATAAATCCTCAAGAGCAATTCCCATAGGGTAAAATGAGGGAAAAAAGCCCTTAGGTGAACCAACCAAAGGGCCCTTCTCCCCCTTTTTTTGAAAATGAAAGCTATGTTATCAGCGTGTTTATAGTGCTTTTGTAATTTTTGAATCGAGAAATCGAATCCCCCGAGTCCCTAAAGCCGTGTGACGGTGTCATTCTGCCCATAGTTGTAATCGCTTTGTTATGGAGATGATGGTAGTTCTCGAGTTCTTTTGCAATTGGAGACATCCCTTAATTTCATGGTAAAATGATGTATTCGACAAGCTCAATTGGCTTAATTAACCCCGAGATCGTCCCCCTGTATTAACGTTGTGCCGCCAATTTCGATACTGGTGAAGCCTTGTCACCCTGTAGGAATCTCCACTGGGCCCCCCATACTTAGATACTCACATACAATTTTTTTTCTTAGGCGGGTTTTTCCTTAACTATGGGAAAAGGTACTTTGCTAGGTCAAATTTTCATAGTGTGTTGGTGCCTTTTTCTACGTGGTGAACTTTGCGCAGCGAGAAAAAAACCCCTATTGGTATGCGCACCTGAAATGTCCGGATGTTTAGGTGTCTGGATGAATTGTGGTGAAAGTAGGGTAACTATATACATGTGTGTTGATACGTGCGCTTCCAGGTGGTTTATCTTATGGTCATCAATTTATATATGGACATTATTACTATATACACAGGTTGGAGTCATCTCGTGAATCGGTCGTACTGCCTCATATTGGCAGGGACAAATCCCTTGGCTTGAACGTACTGGTTTAATACAAATGTTAGTAATCCCTAGTCTTCCATGAACAATCATCTTGGAAACTTACTCTCCCCATGGCAAGATTAGCCTTGAAGAACTTCTTAACGCATCTATCAACACACACAGTCTCTCCCTTGTTCAGCTCTGCTTCGCCATACTCATCAGGTATGCACTTGCTCTGGCAGGTTCGTAGCATTCTGGCAAAACTGTTAGTGTTTCCACCCCTGATCATGTAGATATAAGGCCCACTCACGTATTGAACGTTGTGTTCATCGCATCGAATTGAACTTCGGCAAACTTCACCTTCTCAGGATCAGCCTCCATTTGATTCATCATATTACCCAAAAGATACGACATCCTGTTGCTTGCATAGATATCTCACGCCTTCCTCTTCCTCGTTTACCTCTCTTGGGCTCCCTTTGATAGTGGCTTTCCCTTCAAAGCTGTTGTTCCTCCAGTCGAAAAATTTTTGATGCCCTACTTATTTTTCAAGTGTGTGTTTTTTGTGTGGCTTCGGGGGGTGAGAAGTAGAGACTTAATACTTCGATGAGTTCTTAGTTCCTCCTCTTCAAAGCAGAAAGCAACCTCAACAACGTAGAATAGGAAGCTATGCACGTCTTGGTAAGTGATTCTGACCCTCCTCTTTGGCTGAGATGCCTGGCGAATGTGGAACTAATCAAATAAAAGCTTACAAACGATGATGGACCTCTGTCCGATGCTGCCTCCCCTTACATCAAGTCCTTCGTGGAGGCCGTACAGAGAGACACTGATTGGGAACTGTCTATTGTCGTCCCTCATACACAGCGTTCATGGATCGGCAAGGCTCATTTGGCAGGCCACGATCTAAGCGCCACGTTCATCTACCCAAACGCCCAAGGTCAAAACACGTTTCTTGGTCCGTTCGATGAGCCGCAACAGCACTTAAGATCTCAGCACCAAGAATGGGCATTGATCGATGGTACGCCGGCTTCGTGTGCTGATATCGGTGTGTACCACTTGTACAAGGAGAAGGGGCCGGTCGATTTGGTGGTCTCGGGTCCAAACTTTGGTAGAAATACAACAGCGGTCTACGCAACGTCTTCAGGTACCATTGGTGCTGCGATGGAAGGTGCCCTCTCTGGTGTCAATTCCATAGCGTTGAGTTATGGTTTCGACACAAGAGAGATTACGCCTGAACAGAAGTTAATCATTGATGAAGCAAGTAAGATTTCTGTCAAGCTGATTCAACATTTGTACGACAATTGGAACTCTGATGTTGACCTCTATGCTGTGAACGTTCCTCTAAAGAAGGAGTTGAAACTGGGCGAAACAAAGATCGAGTACACCTCAATCCTGGAAAACAGATGGAGATCTCTCTTCCAAATGGCGGAAAGATCATCCAGACCTGATGAAGATATTGTTGATGGTGCAGAGAGCAAATACATCTTCAAATGGAAACCTGACTTCCAGGCAGTCCATGAAACCATTCTCGCAAGTGAAGAAAGAGGTGAACATAATGATGGTATTGTTCTAGGGCGTGGACATGTAAGGTACGTATATACATTGTGTCTAAAGGGGGGTTTTCTCAAAACCATTTTACTAACCGTTTCTACAGTGTTACACCGTTGAAGGCCATCTTTAAGGAAGTTCACACATCTGGTGAAATCAACTTAGAGTGAGTATTTAAACAGGTATATCCTACAAAAGCAATATATGTATATCTATACGTATCCAATACTGACTGATTTTACATTAGCATCTCTTCAAGTCAGCAAACCAATACGGAAAACTCGATTTATCTATCTATTGACAAATACTCATACATCCACCCTGCATTAACAAAGGCCATCAAGTCTCACTTGCCAGATATTCCAATCACAGGATCTATTCAAGGGAAGACGTTCCAATATGGTGAATATGAAGATTTGGATTTTGACCTATTGCACTCTTCACCTGACAAGTACCTCGTCAACTCTTATATCTATAGAAAGGCACTCATCAGAAAGCACTATTTGGCACATACAGTACACTCATATGTTGTTAAAAATCCACAGTCAATTCTCACAAAGGCATTCCCTGAGACTTTCCAATTGGAGGTTGATTACGCAGAGTTCTTGGAAGATTCTCTCGATGAGGCATATGAACTACGTTCTGAAATTGAAAAGGGTGAGAAAACATGGATTTTAAAGCCATCAATGTCTGACAGGGGTCAAGGAATCCGTCTTTTCCGTACAGTTGATCAATTACAAGCGATCTTTGACTCTTTTGAGGAGTTACCAACTGATGATGAAGGTGAAGATGCCAGCGAGGAAAATCACGGTGTCATCACATCTCAACTGAGACACTTTGTCGTGCAGGAATATATGGAAGCACCACTGCTGCTTGAAGAATATCACAACAAGAAGTTCCATTTCAGAGTATACGTTCTTGCCAATGGAAGTTTAGAGGTCCTTGTCTATAAGAGAATCTTGACACTGTTTGCTGCTAGCGAGTATCAATCCCCTCGGGATGATAACGATGATGAGATAGGAATGTTTGGTCACTTGACAAACACTTGTCTACAAGGCGAAGCTGCCGTGGGAAATAACAGCGTTGTGGAGTTTGAACAGTTACAAGGCGTTTCCGCTGAATCAAAATCTCAAATTTTTGATCAAATATGTGAAGTTGTCCGTGAGGTATTCAAAGCAGCTATCAGTGTTGATAAGATGAACTTCCAGCCTTTGAAGAATGCGTTTGAGCTCTATGGATTGGACTTTATCGTGGATGATAAATTCCAAGTGCAACTCTTGGAGATCAATGCCTTCCCAGATTTCAAACAAACAGGAGAAGATTTGAAGGACTTGATCTATGAATTATTTGACGATGTTATTGAATATTCTGTTGTTCCGTTCTTCAAAAGTTCGACTCCAAATGTTCCTTCTTCCCTTGTTAAGGTTCTTGACGAGTCTACAGACGGCTGGTGATTGGACCATACTTAGAATGAGATTCTGTATAATAATGATACTCATGATACTGCTATTAAGCTAACTTCTTCTACCTCTTTTTCTCCCAGGTTGTGGCGTACCCTTCCGACTTACAGAAGGTTCTTTTGAAGCTTCAAGGGCTGCTTTGGCCTCTTTTTCGGCCTGTGCTATCTTAGCAGCAGCCTCTTTCTCAGCAACGTAGACATCACTTTCATCTGGATCGCCGTTCATCTCTCTTGCCCATGCGTAGATCTTCTCCTTTAAATACTGTGCCCTTGACAGCCCATTTCTGACTTGTGTCAAAGATCTGATGAACTCTTGAGTTCTTTGAAGGGCAACTTGTGACAGTTGACGAGCTTCTTCAGCCTCTTGAGCAGGTAAACCTTGGTTTGGATCAAATTTGAACTGTGGAAGGGCAAAGAATGGATCGTTCTCTTGGCTTACAGATTTGCGTGTAATGCGCTTATCTAGGTCGATCTCTCCTTGTGCCTTGTTTGGTGTCAAATTATGATCATAATCTGGAAGCTCAAGGCCAGCCTCAAGCAAATCCTTCTCATCCTCTCCTAAAAGGAAATCCAACAAGGACGAAAGTTTCATTACTGTGTCCTGTTCCTTCTCAATGATTTCGATGGACTGGCTAGTAAAGTGTCTCAACACTTTACTCTGGTATGTTCTGGATATGCTCTCTCTATTGCTAATCTCCTCAGGAGCAGTGATAGGCTTCAAAATCTCATATAAGTCGATACTTGCATAAGGATCATCCTCCTCATCCTCCTCATCCGCCTCATCCTCCTCATCCTCCGCGTCGTCCTGTACTCCATGTTCTTCGTCGCTGTCATATTCGTCGTCTTCATCTCTTCTTCTCTTGAACACTAAGCGGCGGGCACCGTTGTACTCAACTTCCTCGGGTGTCTCCAAATAGTTGTTAAAACCATCAATGTGATCTCTATGTACACGATCAGCGCCAAACTTCAGCTTGTTACCTCTATTGGATCTCTCACCATCTATAACCCCTTGTCCAGAGACAAATGGTTGATGTGAAGCCTTGACCTTCTCTGCAAAGGCACTACATGTTAAGGGAATGTGTTAGAAACAGTAAAGAAGAAGCAAAAGGGACAGTAACTCGAACTCACGTGATATAACTCGATGCAACCTTCTCGGTGATCTTAACGTTGCTCATTGTCTGCAAATGTTTCCGTCTTGGAGGATCAGATGAGGGAAGTCAAGAGGAAGAGAGAAGGATTTCCCTGAATAACTTTGAAGCACACACCTCGGTGTAATGTGAGGTGTCCCTACCAGAGCACGTGAATGTCTGTTTGTACATCACGTGCTCTGGTTTGGGCAGTTCCATCTCGACGCGTAAAGCAAAGAAGAAAAAAATTGGTGCGACGCGTCGTGTTCCAAATTTCCTTGGGCGTCCAATGGCAAACGAATTTTTCCCTCTTTTTAACAGTCACTTAACCAAACAAAGTGCTCAGATACTGTACGACGTATACTAAAGAGATACACATATAACACACAATGCTTGAGGCCAAATTCGAACAAGCTGCTTTCTTCAAAAAGGTGGGTCTTTTTCTGTTGAATTCGTCTGAAAATACTAACTCTTGTTCCTAGATTATTGATGCTTTCAAAGATACCGTTCATTTGTGTAACTTCAACTGCTCACCAAGTGGTATCACTGTCCAGGCCGTTGATGACTCCCGTGTTCTCTTAGTCTCTCTTTTGATTGGTGAGGATTCATTCACCAGTTATAGATGTGATCACAACATCACCTTGGGTGTTGACCTCACGGCCTTGGCTAAAGTGTTGAAGTGTGGTAACAACGACGATACTCTGAGCTTGGTTGCTGAAGACACACCGGAGTCTGTTCTCATTGTCTTTGAAGATACACAAAAGGATAGAATCTCTGAGTACTCTCTTAAACTCATCGACATTGAATCCGACTTCCTCGATATCGACGATATCGAATACGACTCTGTGGTTAACTTGCCATCTTCAGATTTCCAAAAGGTTGCCAGAGATTTATCACAACTCTCTGATTCCTTGGCCATTGTCGTCACAAAGGATACCATCAAATTCGAAGCCAATGGTGATATCGGTACCGGTTCTGTGATTCTTAAACCATTTACCGATTTGGAGAATCCACAGAACACCGTGAAAGTTGAGTTGAACAAGCCTGTCTTGTTGAGTTTTGGTTTGAAGTACCTCTTGGATGTTGTTAAGGGGTCCTCATTAGCTCCTGCAATGAGCGTTAAGCTTTCTGAAAAGACACCGGCACTGTTTGAGTACAAGTTGCCATCTGGTTATCTTCGCTTCTACTTGGCTCCAAAGTTCGAAGAGGAAGAGTGAACTGGATTCAACAAGGGGAGATACTATGTATACTATTAATTCCCTATAAACTGGAGAAAAAGGGCCTTCGTTATAATGAAAACTATGTAGCAAGTTGATCCGAATGTTGTAAGTATACAGACCGTACCGTTGACTTTGAAGTGATTGGCAGTATCAATCTGAATGCGTCGTGCTGGTTAAGATAATATCTATAGAGTCTTTTGCTCCTTATGAATCCCATATGCTCATAGAGAGCAATTGCCGGTTTGTTAACCACCTCCGTCTCCAACATGATCTCATCACACCCGGCCTTGATCATCTTCTCTATGGAAATACGCACCAGTTTCTTTGCAATTCCGTGCCCCCTATGTTCCTTCTTAACAGCGAGCATCCCTATATACCCTCTCGATCTGACGTCTCGATGTGGTTCTATCTTACAGATGATTACACCAATCGTCTCACCATTCAACTTTGCAATGTTGCAGAGCTCTGGCCATTGTGAGAGGAAGAAGTGATACACATAGATGGAATAAGGCTCCGAAAGATCATCGCTAATCATGGTCTTCAACGCATGAAGCTCTTCATCGTTACCAGCCTCTAGTGTATGGTACGTTACTTCTGTCATGGCCTTCGCTCCTCTCTTGGTTAAACCAAATGCTCTAAACAAGTGTTTTGAAGGTGTGTTGATGCCCCCCACCCACCAACGGTGAAAAGTCAGTCGAAGCTCAGTGGTGTCAGGATGTTAGTTCCAAAATTCGTCACGTGTTTACATTCAAACATTTCACGTGACTGTTGAACTCACCAGTCTTAGTCATCCGTTACATAAGCACACACCATATTACGCAATGCTATGTGTGTGTATGTTGTGTACATTTTAACCACACTTGATTAATTTACTCCAAGATGGACAAATCTGTAGGGATTCAACGCGGTGCTTAGTAAGGCAAAGTGGGAACGAAGAACACGAGTCTCTTGGTGATAACAGGCTTGCAGTACGTGACGTATTCATATTCTTGTGGGAGAGCTTTACAGTGTTGCTAAGGGAGAGTGAGAGAAGCGTTGTTTATCTTTTGCCACAACCATGTCCGATATTGATAACAACATTGTCATAAGAAACGCCCATACTGGTGTTATAATAAGGGTAAACAGGTACTGTTTCCTGTCTCTTGATGAGCTCAAGGCGTTCTGCTCAACACAACTGAACGTGCCTAAGAACCATCTGTTCTTACTCACCTCATTTGGGCACAGGTTGAAGTCGTCGTCCTTAGACCATGTGAAGGATATCTACGTCTTTGATAAGAATCTGTTTGTGACGGATACTAATGCTGTTAATAGCAACAGGGCATATGCTAGTACCAAGTACTCTGATGAGTTTACCTCGTTGATCCATCCGATAAACTCACCTTTGTTGGATGTTAATTTGGATAAGCTGGCAAAGTCTAAAGAGTCGAGACAACTAATCGGACTGTTAACGACAAACCTTGGCTGGATCGCTGCTATTGAGTCAGATTCGACGCTTTACCTGAAGAAATCAGCGGAACTAAGGTCAAGAGTGGAGTCTTTGTTCAGCAGTATGAGGGTGGCATATCTCTATATCAAGAACTACTCTGGCGACGTGAAGAACACATTTGACTCCACAATGGATTTCTTAAACCATCTTCAGAAGCAGTCGCTCAACGCCAATTGGGAAACTCACTACAACCTACTGAGAGATATTCACACTGTAGAAGGGTCACCTCTATCCTCACTACTAAACAGGGTGGACATAGCACACAATGCCCGTGAGAGTTTCTCTATCAACAAGGATTTAACTAGTGCTCTTTTATCACAACGAGATCGGCTGAGTAAGAGTTTGAAATTACAAACAGAGGTGGAATATGGCGTTAGTAGCCTTGAAAATGATACGACTAATATATTTAACATGTCAGATCCTGATCAATGGCTTACAGAGTTGAAACAGATGTGCGACAAGACGCAAGGGGATACAAAGAAGATGCTACAACAGACAAAGACTTCAATGGATGCCTTAAGTATAGATCTTATCTTGGAAATGCTCCAAGCTCATAAAAGTGATTACGTTACTAAGATTTACGATCTGGCTTTGTCTCTCTACAGACTATTCACATCCTACAAGGACCTCATTGCTAAGATTCAACTGTCGTTGTCATCTTTGTTACACAAGCTGTCACTGTCGCAGGCAGAAGCTGTCACTCTTAAGGAATCTCTTCGATCTCTAAGTCCGCAAGTGGAGAAGGTTCAAATTTTAGAATCTTCTTTGGCTCATACCGTTGATTTACCACTCTTGTACGGATTTTACGTCGTTGAAGGGGTAAGAAGAAGTGCATGGCTGAAAGCAGTCAAGGAGGAAATATCACAGACAAATGAAGAATTCGCAATCTTTAGAGACAAGGAGATCAAGATAAGAAGTAATTGGGTTAAAAATTATGGCGATATTCTCAAACTTTTGAAGAAGGACATTTCATTATTCAGTAACAACGGCCTTACGAATTTTGAAGTTGTTGCCAACACTGATAAAACAGTGGAGTCCTTTGAAGAGTTCACATTCAATGATGCTCAAATTTACATTGAAGAGCTAAGAAGAGTAAACGTTTCTGCAGAAGTAGTGAAAGTGTTATTCAAGGCACTTGACGATATTTCCAGCAGCGTGATCAAAAAACCCGTTGCTTCCAAGACTGAGCCAAAAGATGCTACATTACAAGGTTATAAGTATCAGATTAAAAAACTTGAAAGTTTACTTCACCAAGAACAGTTTAAAAATTTTCAACAATGGCCATCTTCTGAAAGGTTGTCAATCATCTCTAAGCATTCAATGGATGAGAAACTGGCATCATCATTATTGAATGAGGCTACAATGAAAACCTCATCAGCAACGTTGGCAAATGCAGAAGAATTGAAAAGGTTGAATGACGAAAATAGGGCTTTAAAGAGTAATTTGAAAAGGCACGAGGAGACCGTTGAAATGTTGAATGATGAATTGAAAAGATACAAACACGAACTTTCTACAAGGGAGTTTGAAAACAATGCTCTGTCTAAAGATATTGAACATTTGAGAGATGAACATTCCTCTCAGATTTCCCACCTTCAGTTCAAACTTTCTGAACAAGAGGTTAAAGCTTCTAATCTTAGCTGTGAACTTGAGAAGGTGTCAAAGTGTTTACAGGAAGCCACTGAATCTCATCAAAAAGACTCGAACATTATCGATCAGCTCAAGAACCAGCACAAGGTGGACCTCAAAGAGTTGCAAGAGCAAATCGAAAACAAAAATACTGAACTTGACTCTATAAAGAAGAAGTCAATGGAACCTCAACAAGAGATCGAAAGACTTAATAGCGAGCTTGTTGAGCTGAAAGCACAACTCGTGGAAAAAGAGTCTCATATCAACGCTACAAACAAAACGATTTATGATTTGAAGACATCTCTCGATGAAAAATCTGAACTTTTGAAGGAAAAGGATTCTATTATCAAAAACATTGAAGAATCTTCGAATAATGAGTTGAATGTGTTGAAGATGAAAGTTACGGAGCTTGATAAAGTTAACGATGAGCTCTCCACACAGCTGGGAGTCACCAAAGATGAATACGATCGCTTGAAGTCTATGAAGAATGATCTTTTGGAAAATATGGCGAATCGTGAAAATGAGTTTGCCTCTGAAAAAGGTGTTCATCAAAGGGAGATTGAAGAGCTCACTGACCGACTCAAGCAATTGGAGAGTGCAAAATCACAGAAAGACGAGGAAATCGACAAAGTATCAAAAATTGAAGAGAAACACATCCAGATGATCTTCCAACTCCTGGTTATTATCAATTCATTGGTTATTAAATCCAGAGACCTTAGTGATATAATGGTGACGTTTTACGATTTGTTTTGTGAGTCGTTGAAATGTATGGGTCTGCTGGCTGTTAAATCTGAAAAAACCAATAAGATTGATATAATCAGAGTGAAAGGATTGAAAAAAGTCAATGGTGGTGATCTCTCTGCCACTGTGGAGATAGCACAAGGGCTGAAGACCGATCTCCCAGCTGAAGTTCATCAGTGCTCCATATGGAGTGATCTCCCTGATAAGCAATTGTTAAAACTTGATTCCATTGAGAATGATCTTGGGCCTGAAAAAATCTGCTCCATTGTGGACAGTGTGATAGAGACCTATAATCTGACCACCTTTGAAGAGAAGTACTTGAAATTTGTTGACTTAGTTACCAACTTAAATGAGCTCTACCTAGGTAGTGTTTCGAAGAGGTTTAAGGAAGTTGAACATTTGGCTAAGAAGGAGTTGAAGGATAATAGGAAGCTGAGACAAATTGATTCAAAGAAAATCACCATCCGTGATTTTAACAAAGGGGATTTGGTGTTGTTCCTTCCAACGAGATCTAGAGATGGAACCGGACCTCAATGGGCGGTATTTAACGAGATGGGTGGTGACTTTAAGTATATGATGAAAAACACCATAACTCTCTCCACTCAGAAACAATGGTTTATAGGGAGAATCTTAGACATCGAAGAGGTTAATCGGAAGGAGTATCTCATCACAGCTGAAGAGATATTAGTTTAACAGAGTCGGTAATATCTTCTTTTTTTTTGCTTTGCGATTATGGCTGAACCATATCGACTATAAGTTGCACGCTAACTTCAAAGATTCATATACCGTTAATAATTGCTCTTAAAGCAGGCAATTATGAAAGATGAGATTTGGAACTCTGGTGAAACCTGGAATTGGATTAGTATTCACGTAGTGTAAGCACTGTGGTTCTTCGAGTTGGTTGTGAGTTTCATATCCCATATGAATTAGTGCGTCTAGCCCGGTTACAGTATTATTCTCGAGCCATATGCAACAGTTGTTTCCATCTATTACCCACAACCACGTGCAAATATGTCAAATGAAATGTAGATGATTAATTAAACAAGTTAAATTCTATAAAAATTAACCTGAGAATTCATTTAGTGTATCACTGATGTTTATTGAGTTCTAGTATAATATTATAACATCATAGTTATAATTTATTTGCAAGAATCAGAACTTACTGTTATAGTTTTTTTATATTCATAAACAACTTGTAATTCCAATTTATAGGGGAACTTGGGAAAAATAATCCAGCTTTACTTAGTAATTGGTAAATATCGATTAAAAACATCAAGCAACTCACCAATTGAACCATAAAATTTATTACGACGAAGAGACAAGCATACAAGCATTCAACTCCATTAGATTACATACATCTTTAGATCATCTCGGAGCCTCCGTAGCAACACAAGTAGCTTAAGCACTCAACGCCTTTAATTGACGCCTACATTACAGTCGTCTAACACAGCATATAGCAACTATTCAATACCAAGTTCACCGCTTGATGAAGCTATCCAGCTTAATACACTGAACAGCTCAATAGGCATCAGCATCACCATAATCACCGTCGCTTCGATTACCGATAAAGACATGTTTCCCTAACCAAACTTCGGCATCGTCGACGCTGAGCCCCTCGACGGCTAAATCCAAGCTGTTACAACACAACGACACGCTGACACAACTCGGAGGTTCCATCCATCGAATTGTTGTCTATTAGTATCAATACAATGGCCCCATCAGTGAAGAGAGAGGACCTCATAGTTCCATACATCCATGTTTCACCGGCTAGCGATCCAACCGCCGCCACAAATGTTGTGTCTCAGTCCATGCCAATGGCGGCCATGATGATGAAGAACAAGCTTCTTTCCTGGTTTACCATCTTCAGTGCTGTTGGTGCCGTGCTGGCCTCATCCCATGGTGCTAAGACACCAGAGGGATCTCAATCACCATTCCTACAGTTACTCATGGCTGTTGTCGGTGCTGCTGTTTGCTACTTGGATCTTTTGTATCCATCGTTTGGCGGAATCATGCCAAAGCCAGCGTCGCAGGCTGCAAAGACTGCTACTGAGGTAGTAGCAGCAACTGCAACAGCAGTAGCAGAAGCAGCAGCAGGTACAGCTTGAGGTGTGTTTTATTTCTCACTTTTCTATCGATGTGTTCCTATAGTGCTTATGTCATGTCTTGTTTTGTTTGTTTAATGGTGCCACTAAATAGTCAACAAGGTTCTAAAGGTAAACGTACTCATTCAGTGCCGATATCCTCGTTCCACTCTTCAGGCTTCTCCTTGATGAACTGTGCCATCAGGTCCTTACACTGTTGGTTATCCATGTTGATGACCTCAACACCTCTCTGTCTCAAGTAGTCCTCCCCACCGACAAAGGTGTCATTCTCACCCATGACCACCCTCTTGATACCGTACATGATGATGGCACCTGTGCACATGTCACAAGGGGAAAGTGTGGTGTACATGGTACAGCTCTTGTAGACGTTGCCTTTAAGTCTACCAGCATTTTCGAGAGTAGAGATCTCACCATGGAGTGTTGCGGAGCCCTTTTGAATTCTCATGTTGTGGCCGCGTCCAAGAACTTTCCCATCTTCATCAACGAGACATCCTCCAATAGGAACACCACCTTCATCACGGCCTTGAAACAATGATTAGTACTCCGAGAATCGCTAACTCCCCTATGATTGGAGAGAAAACATAAGAGAGCCTCAGGTAAACTCACCAGTGATGGCCTCTTCAATGGCAATTTGTAGCCCCTTAGTATCGTCAAATGGCATGATTCACTCTTGCAATAACACTAAGCAGAGATATAGGAAGAATGATCAGTAGCGATTGCGCTTTATCAACACATTCCGAGCCTTCAACGCTGCTACCGGAAATTTTTCACGTCTCTACGCATCGCACCGTCGGCGTTACCGCGGAGTAAGCAAGACAGCCGTTGAGGCTTCGAAGCCCTGTGTCATTTTAGAGTTTGTACGTTTCCAGGGTTACGGTATTATGCCATATTACATTTCCACCAGTGTGTATTATACCAAACAGAAGAGCTAAGACGACAAGACAACCATTCACTACGACTTTTGCTTTACATGGAGCTCACTCAAGCTGATCACGTTGGAGTCCGTGGAGTTATCTCCTTCGTTGATGATCTCTGCGACGTAAGGCTCCATGTTGCGCTTGATACACTCCTCTTCGTTGTACGTGTTGTAGTAGTCCACGGTGTCTCTTTCCCCAACCTCTACTTTGAAGACGAGGTTGATGATGTAGTACGCGACAGCAGCAACGACAAATTGGAATACGAACGAGCCGTAGTAGAAATGTTTGATTCCAGTGTTCACGTGGATAGTTGGGGTCACGGTGTTGATCAGCCCCGGCAAGCCAGGTGCCACTCCAATGAGAAATGCCACAATGGACCTGAAGTTCACGCCGTGATAGAACCAGTAGATGCTCGAGCTATCAGAGATGTAGCAGTCCGAGATTTTGGCTATTCTCTTTCTGATGACGTAGTAATCAGTGACAAACACCGCAATCAACGGTGTGATGAAGACGGAGAACGAGGACATGACTTGTAAAAACACAGAGCTTGAGTTGTAAAACAGCCAAGGTTGAGTTGGCCATGCCAGCACGAACACAATGATCGCACCTCTTCTGATGTTGATGTAACGTGGGAAAAGTGCAGCAAGGTCCATGCCCCCACTGATACCGTTACCTATACAGTTGATGGCAAGCTGAGACGTGACGAGCGAAACACCACTGAAAAAGGCAGCAGCCCTTGCTTTTGAAGAGTAGTTTGTTTGTAGCCATAGCATACATATCGAGTTTGGCATCCAGTAAAACACACCATACTTCTCGCTCAGGGCACTGGCAGATATGATGCCCAACATGGGGACTATGAAGCCGAATAGGTTACAGCCCAGGAATATTCCCAAGCGTGAGATGAACTCGGTTTTATTGAACCTCGAGAAGTCAGATTGGTTTGCAATCCCAGAGGTCATGGCAGAATACCAAATACTCAGTCCATTCAGCCAAGCCCATGCCTTTTGAGAGCTGCCGAGGGCCATAGGGGCGTTCATCAGGGTTCCATATCCACCATCGTTGTCCTGGACAGCCCAAATGGTTATGCCCATCGCAACGAAGAACATGGCAAAGGAACCAATGGCCAATAGATAGTCCAAGAACTCGGGTCTCACAATGAGAAAGGGGAAACTCAGAGCAAGGTACACGATGAATCCACATAGCTCCTGAGAGGTCATCTTCACATTCGCTGGTAATGTGTTCTCCCAATCCAGATAACTCTTACTCCAAGAGCACAAGACGACGTTAACACATAGCCCACCCAACCAGGCCTGGGAGGCAAACCACACGACCGAAAGAATGGCTCTCAAAAGAATACCGAACCATGACCCTCTGATACCAAAGATTATTCTCTGGAACACAGAGTATCCGACGTGGTATTCGCTGCCGTATCCGCTGTTCAGTATCGCAGCAACGGATATGAAGAAATGGGAAAGAACCACTATGCCCATGGCATTGGCGCCATTCAAGCCTAGCGACAACAGGGACGAACCAGTCGACCATGTGGTAACACAGAGCGAGCAGATACCCCAGTAGCCCAGGTATCCCGTCAAGCCCCACAACCGTCTTGAAACTGGCACAGGAACCAGGTCTTCGTTATGAAGGCCGGAGGAGCCAGTCAACGCAAGCACTCTATCAACTTTTCTGAAAAACTCCATAACTCTGGTGTTTCCTTCTATGACAGATGCCAAATGATGATCCACCACTACAACGTCCCTCATGCATCTGGGATCCTATAAGCCATATATACAGCCTTCTCTCATGTGGTTGTTGAAGTTCTTCGCCATGAGATCATGCAATTACATGCGCCGTATCGTTCACCGCATTAGGGATTATATTATGGGGGTTTACGTGTATACAGAGGGCTGATAGAGATGTCAATCTGATCTATCGAGCAGGTGCAGTGAGAGTGCTCAGTATGTCATTGTGCGTAATCGACTCTGGAACACCCTGGTGGACGTTGGCGTATCGGTCTTTGATGATTCGATCGTATTCGTGGTTTAGGTGTAGGGACATACGATGGGGGTATCTCGCATTTACTTCCTAAAACGGGGTGTCCATACGATAGAACCACATCTCGAGAAGTACGTTCTCTGGGTATGGAGGAGTGATCTTTGTTCACTGCCTGGAGCTGATCCGAGCCGGTGGCTTATTTAAACCCGTTGATATGTTACTGATTTGGTGATGTTTTATCTCATGGTCTGATATCGGCCTCAGCGAAGATTGGCGTCATGAGCTTATCATTGGATGAAAGGTTTAAGGCCTTAAACAAGACAGTTCCGGTTGTTGACACACATAATGACTTCCCTTATCTCTTGAGATCACAGTTGCACTACGAGCTCCATAAGGATCCCAAGTTTGACTTTGATTCCGTTCTTACGTGCCATACAGACCTGGTGAGAATGAGGCAAGGTGGGCTGGGCGTCCAATTCTTCAGCTGTTGGATTGAGTGTCAAGGTGACACTGAGCTGTATGAGGATTTCAACACCACCAGTGCCATCGTTAGGGATACTCTTGAGCAGATCGATGTTGTGAGAAGGCTTGTTGATGACTATTCTCATAAGATGAAATTTGTGACAACTGCAGATGAAGCCCTGCAGAGTTATCGGGATTCAGATAATGAAGTAATCTCGATTACACTGGGGGTTGAAGGGTTGCACCAGTGCGATACGTCTCTATGTGTCATGAGACAGTATTACGATTTGGGTGTTCGCTATATTACCATAACCCATAACTGTGATAATCCCTTTGCTACAAGTGCGTATTCAATCAGCTGTGGCAGAGAGGATAAAGGGCTGAGCGAATTTGGAGTCGATGCTATAAAGGAGATGAACAGGCTAGGAATGATTGTTGATCTCAGCCATGTGTCACATAAGACAATGGTTGATGTGTTGAAGATTGCAAAAGCTCCTGTGATGTTTTCTCATAGCTCCGCTTATAGCTTGACTCAACATGAGAGGAATGTCAGGGATGACGTATTACAAATGGTCAAGGCCAACGGAGGTGTTGTTTGTATCAACTTTTACCCAGGTTTCATCAAGAAGCACGGCGATTCTCTTGACGATGTCACGATTGAAGACGCAGCTGCCCACGTTAAACACATTGTGGATACTATAGGCTGGGACTATGTTGGCATTGGCTCTGATTTCGAGGGTATACCTACCGGCCCTAAGGGTCTAGAGGATGTGTCAAAATACCCTGATCTTGTTAAGCTGGTCTGGAGAGAAACCAATGCCACTGAAGAGGACATATCGAAATTCATGGGGCTTAACGTCTTGAGGGTCTGGAAAGACTGCGAACGAGTGTCCTCCAAGTTACGCTCCTCAACCAAGCCGGTGGAATCCAACTGGGATGGGAGAGCATGGAACTTCCAGGAGTACGTCAAAGGAATGGCAGAGCTATACCCTGGTGCTAAGAAACTTCACCGCAATAACTACACAGGGAAGCAGTGTATAGCTTTCCCTGGGAATGAGAAGTGAAGGTGACCATGGAATAAATCAAACAAAAGCTATATAAATCAAGTGAATATAAGAGAGTAACATGATGCAGTTGATAGTACTTGTGCGTGATTATAGGATACGTAACCACAGTGCAGTGCAGTGCAGTGCTTTGATCAACATCTCAACACCCAAACACCCATACACCACATAGATAAGCTTTAAACCTTGCATTCCACAGCATCGAGTATTTTATCTACGTAGCAGTTGTAAGCGAGCATCAATGCTTCTTTATATCTTGCAAGTTTACCCAGTTGTTGATCCTTGCTACCGGGTTCTCTCAGTTTGTTGACTGTCACTTCAGCGAGAATCCCCAATGGGAAGGAAGAAGCCCTTACGCTATAAGAGAAAGCCAACTGGCTACTCCAGAATAGGATGTGTTCAATGTAAGAAGGCCCATGTCAAATGTGACGAGCAATCACCAGTGTGTAAAAGGTGCACTCGACTGGATCTCCCGTGTACGTACAAGGTGCCGTTTATTGTTGAGAATAGCTCTCAGCAGAACACGGCTGGAAGGCCCCTTGATACGGCAGCGGTGGGAGCTGCTGTGGTCCAGCCAATGGTTACAGAGACTGATATGGGTTGCAACAATGGTAACGATTGCTCAATGATTGAAGAGTCACAGCGGAGCACAGGACAAGATCTCACCACACAGAACATTAGCAATGAGTTTGGAACACCGTTAAACCTAACGGTGGACGATTTGGTGCTTGTTCTTCCAGGTGATCTTGACTTCATGAGCTCATTGGACCATACCTTTGACGATTTCATATTCGAGCAGGAGACCTTTGTGCCCAATTATGATCTTTTTGACTTACAATGGAAGAGCCATATCGTTGTGGACTATCTCGGCTCATTCAACAAGTTTGAGCCAGAGGTTTATCCCTCAATCCATCTCAATGATAAGTCCCTGCTGGATTTTGCATGGACGCTGGTAAAATCAACCCATTTCTTCTTCAACTTCTCGATGTACCCAGATGAGACATTCATGGAGGTTATTGATGTCCTCCTAACCCTTGGAAGAATATTCCCGATAATACATAGCATTGTGCTCTACGACTGTTCAATGTTGATGAAGGAAGTCTACGCAAAGGAGAACATGAACGAAAAGATAGAGCTTTGGGATAAAAATGTCAGAATACCAGTCTTCAAGATCTGCTTAGATGTATTGAGTGACAGAATAGATAACTCAACAAGCTTCGCAGAGTACGTGAGTCTCACATTTGCTGTTGTCATCATCTTTGCAGCCAACGTATCAGATAGCAGCTGGAGAACTCACTTTCATGGTTGTCAACAGTTACTGCATAAATCTTCCAACTTGAAACATACAGCAAGGTCCTACAACCATGCTGATCGTGCTGCGTTGCAGCTGCTGGATATTCTTGTCGAATGGTTCCAGTTCTCTCAGTTCGTGGCACAAATCAGCTCTAATCATGGTTGGGATAACCTCGCCTGGCTGGAGTCTCCTGACGAGCAGGAAGTCGAGCAGCACATGACATCAGTATTAGACAACGGAATAGTTCTAATATGTGGTTATTCCAAGGGGATGAAGCCAATAATCCATAAGCTACAGCTGTTCTTGAAAAACTGGAAGGACAAGGGTGTTAACCTCTGCGGAACCAACTTGGTCAAGTATGCTCTCCAAGATAAGAATCCAGGAGTTGAAGGCCAGATCAAATCATTTGGATATGAGTTAAGAGCAGAACTACAGCTGCTGAAAAGACAGAATTACAAAAGATCAACACTCAAAGACTTCATGTGGGATTGCACATTGAAACACTCCAATACTATCCACTGTTTGGGTCTTGACCTGTATCTCACAGTGTTCTTTATTGGGATAAAAGATCATGAAGTTTTAACACGGATGGTGGAAGAGCTTCTTGAATCTGTCCTCTGTATGCCCTACCACTCAACAGCAGGCGTGTATTGCCATTGGGAAATATACATTGGTGGTCTGGTATCGTTGATACTGGAGGACCAGAGACTCTATAGCTGCTTTGTTGAATTGCTACACCAGCTCCTAGGGAATGGGATGTATGTTGTTGAGAAGTCCCTTGACGGGCTAGAAAACATTGGTCAAGCACTGGACAATGGTAATCTGGATAACCTCGTAGATCCAAACCAGGACTTTGCTCTGATTTGATATGTATCACACGTACTGGAAAAGGTCAAAAACAGTAGATGCTACAACTGTAGTCAGATTCGTTCAGCTAAAAAGATAGAATGTATTTCACCTAGTTTAAGAGTTGAATTCTGTTGCAACAGGGATTGTTGGAGCAAACTTTCCAATTGGTTTGTACTCCAAGTTCTCAAAGTCTTCGCCAAAACCCTTTGGACCACCAATCTCAATGGCCTTTGGAGTGATCCACTTATCATCAGGTGAAAATGCCATCACGTAGACAATCAGTCCATACCTATAATCCTGTGTGCCAATTGCGTTACCATCCAAGTCGACAAGGGTAATCAAATCTGGAACGGAGCACAGTAAGCTTTGACTACCATCATCTTCAACTTTGTAGACAACAATGTTCTCATTCTTGAACGGGATCTTGATTCTAGAGTTGTGATGCTTATCCAGCCCTTCCAGCTCAACAATACCATAGCCATAGCCTCTTTTGAGGATTTTCTCAACACTAACAATCTTTCCTTTGAAAAGACAGGCTGTTGATGATGCTCCAACAGCTGCTGTGATTCTTGGAACGAGGTTGTCCAGATCAGAGTTGGTTCTTGCCTGGAACACAGCACGACCAATTCTCCAAGACAGCGAGATAGTGTCAATGGCAGTTTCAGCCCTTGCTGCTGCGATGTTCAAAGTTGGCATCACACAGGCACCATGGACACCTTGGTGATACAGGACATCACGTAAGACGTTCTCCATTTGCGAGTCGCATACCGAGGACGTGACGATCAGTTGTAAGCCATTACCATTCGACAACGATGTGTATGGATAACCCTTTCCATCATGCACAACTGAGGTCAAAGATTGCCAGATGGTTGGATAGGCTCTTCCTAACGAATCCATATCAATGAATGGGATGCCTTGCTGGTACGCTGCCCACAAGCCACACAAGCCATTAGCACCACCGACTTCAAAGTTGAAGATACCATCAATACATTTTCCTTCGTACTTCTCAATGATATCCAAGCACTCCAGGATTTCGTCAGCGTGCAACCTCTCACCAGAAACAGTTGGTGATCCGTAGTAAGCAACCTTTGCTGCTCTTCCTTCACCTCCTGTCATCTCTTCGAATTTATCCAATGTCACAACAGTAATCTTTGCACCATTCTTGATAAGATTCTTTAGCTCAATGACAGAACTGTTTGGATCACCACCACCTCCACAGCCAAGAATATACGCACCACAGCCAATGAAGTCAATATCAACCTCACTCAGGGTCCACACATGGTCACATATGGTAGGTCTATAGGAGTTGTAGTCAATGTCGATCTTTTCCTTCTTGTATGCTGAGGCACATTTGAACACTTCTTCGGGAATGTATTCCTCCTCGTCACCAACAAATATATTGTCAACAGGACCTACAAGCAGATCTGAGTCATAGTCGACATCACCGACGACTTTCACCTCGAAGAGATAGATGTTTGACAAGTATGGAACCGCATCAGAGACCACATTTGCAACAGTTATGGAGGACTCTAATGCTCCACGAGATACTGCCATAGAGGAAGCCTTTGTCTTCAGTTCTTCAATGACGTTCTTCTTTGCTTCCTCTGTGTCTTGGATTGCTCTAATCTCAGAGACAGTTGCAGAGATTTTACCCAAAGCTGCACCGATGGCATTTGCAACTTGGAAATATGGTGGTTTGATAACCTTAGATGCTCCTTCCAACACCTCAGGAGCAATGAAGGAGCCACCACCGACAAAAATAACTGGAAGTGGATCCTTGGAGGTCTTCATACGATCAATGACCTTTTCCAGAAGTCTTTTGACAACATCGGAGTACTTCTGTTTCATATCTTCTCCAAATAGACCTAGGACTTTCTGCGGATCACCCATGGTCATGGTAGCAGGCAATAATTCGACGCCATGATCATCCACATACTTTGCGAGTGTCAAATCTGAGGTGGTGATAGTATCACCACCAAATAGAATAGATTTAGTGATAATATCAGCACCTGTGGAGTCTGGTCCAACAGAGAGGGAATCGCCATCAAATCTCACGATGGAACCACCACCCAGGCCAATAGATTCAACGTGAGGCATGGAGAAGTTCATTTTCACTCCTCCAGCGTAGGAGTACATGGATGATTGTCGTGGGAACCCAGAAGGAAGTAATTGACCAACATCTGTTGTGGTGCCACCGACATCACAGACCATAACTTGCTTTCCTTTAACGTCTGGGTCATTTGAGCACAAGATAGCAGCTCCTCTCATCGAATTGGTGGCACCTGAAGAGAACGTCCTGATAGGAGCCTCCAAGGCATCTTTCACAGACAAGACAGTACCATCATTCTGTGAGAGCAAAACGATACAGTTCAGACCAATCTTTTTCGTAGCATGGACAAAGGACTTGATGATCTTTCTACCAAACTTCTTAATCGAAGCATTGAGTACGGTGGCATTCTCACGCTCGACAAACCCGATACCTGAGATTTGATGTGAGAGAACAACATCGCACTCTGGGAGCTGTTCTTTGATGATTTCCCTGGCCCTCAACTCATGTGCTGGATTCATATTGGCAAATGTTCCAACGACTGCAATAGCTGAAATGCCCAACTTGCCTATACGCGAGCAGTGTTCAATCAAGCCGGCCTCGTCTAGTGGTCTGATGTCCTCACCGTCAACTTTAGAGCCACCATCCAAGAAGGCATGGTAACCGTTGATGACATTCGCCAGATCCTCAGGGAAGTCACCGAAAGGTGGTAATGATCTACCAAAAGGCCCTGAGAGTCTTATAACAGCAACCTTCTCCAGCCTATTGGAGTCTCTTTCAATAACAGCGTTGATGAAATGAGTCGTTCCAATGGTCACGGAAACGATTTCATCTTTCCGAATACCATGTGCTGGGTTCTCCAAGACCGTTTGGATACTCTTCTCAATACCAACGGATACATCAGGCGTTGTCACAGATTTGTGCCATGCGATGACACCTCTGTCCTCCTCTTCAAGCCTTGAAGGGTCGAGCACAACGAGATCGGAGTTGGTGCCTCCAACGTCAACACCAACGAGCAGTCTTCTCTTGTCTAAAGTCATAGTATGTTTGTCTCTGATCCAATTGAAGATGTTTTGTTCAAAGAAAAGTGATACAGGACGCTTTTTAAGGTACAAGGATTCATATTGGGGCACATGGTCTAAGCTGGTCGTAGAGAAGCCTTAGAGATAAGGTGCTATACGACCATTGGTGTGGTTTGGTCACCATTCTCGTCGTATTTGCACGGTTGTAAAAGCTGATGATGCCCGTCGTATCGCACCCCAAATCGGGCGAAAGAAATGAAGATAGAGCGATCGGAATTTTTCTGCCTCATCGTATGGGTCTCATGTCTTTAGCCGTGGAAGACTAAGTCAATACGACGAGACTCGTGGATAACCACTCACCTGATCAAATACTGGCTCAGTCACTGTTGCTCTGTAGTTCGTAACGTACAAAACGCTTGTGATGTATGTTGTGTATATATAGGCTGCTTGCATTTCTCTGTGTTGGAAACTGCATCGCATTCCGTTGTTATCCAAAGCACTAGTCATGGAGTACACTGTGATTGGAGCTGGTATAATCGGGTTATATACCACCTGGAGCTTGATTGATTGTGGTGTAGCACCAGAGAAAATCACCGTGATTGCTCAATTCCTTCCTGGCGATGAGAGCATCAACTATACCTCACCTTATGCAGGCGGAAACTTCAGTTGTATAACGTCAGATGACGATGACACTTTGCTCTTCGACAAGCTGACGTATATGAACCTTGGTCGACTTCAAAGGGCACTCGGTGGGAGTAAATGTGGCCTTGAGAATCGACCAAGTGCAGAGTTCTGGGAGGCTTATCCTGTGGATAAGAAGATCGCTTCGTATAGATCTTATTTGAAAGATTTTGCTATCGTTGAGAAGAAGGATTTGCTTAGAGGTTGTGCCTTTGGTATTAGTTTCACATCATGGAACTTCAACTGTCCTTTCTTCTTAGGTAAGTTTCAGCAGTATCTGGAGTCCACTGGTGTCAAGTTCACAAGAAAGACTTTGAGCCACATCACCCAGGGATTCATCTCCGCCAACACCAAAGTAGTTTTCAACTGTTCTGGTATCGGAGCACTTTCCCTTGGTGGAGTAAGAGACACGAATGTTTTTCCCACAAGGGGACAAGTCGTTGTTGTGAAGGCTCCTCATATCCAGGAGAACAGAATGAGATGGGGAGACGGAACGGCTACTTACATCATTCCAAGACCAGACTCTGATGGCGAGCTGGTCCTGGGAGGGTTCCTTCAGAAGGACGATTGGACGGCAGACACCTTCAAGGAACAAACTCAGGACATTTTGAGAAGAGCCACGGAGCTTTTCCCAAGGATCCTGGACAAGCCTTTGGTCATTGTTCGTGTTGTATGTGGGCTAAGACCTAGTAGACACGGTGGCGTGCGTATAGCACGTGAAGTTGTTGAAGATGGTAAGATTGTCATCCATAATTACGGCGCGAGTGGCTACGGTTATCAATCAGGGCTCGGGATGGGCATTAGAGCTGTTCAGCTGCTCAAGGGGATAAACCCAAAGCTATGAGTGATCAATGGCCTGGATATATGACATATATGACACTCTCGGCTGGCTAAATAGGCGTTCATGAACAAAATCCTCCAATTCAAGTGAGAACTCACAAATGTTTTGTGTCACTTAGAGTTCAACAGTGCATGTCCATACATCCAACCGCATGTCCATACATCCAACAGTTTTATGAGTACACACTACGTAGGGCAATGTCTTAAAAAGAAGAGAAAATTGTATATTGAAACACAGTAGCATTGTAGTGAACAATGGACAAAAGATAGAGAAAGAAACAGCGTAAGCAATGCTCTGAAAAGAGCACGTTACCGTTGTATACGACGACAAGAGAAAAGGTTAAAACATAGGTTTTTTTTTGGTATCAGCATAGCCTCAAGGACTAGTTGTCTGGACTGGTTTGGATGTCCTTGATCAATTCAGTGACCTCATCCAAATCAACACCCAGCTCTCTGGCAAAGAACTCTGGGATCTCGGTGTTTTCGATGGAAGAACCAAGAGCAGCAAGGGTTCTCAAGTATGCGCCCTCGGTGTTGGCCCATGCGTACAGTGGAACGTCTTGTTGAGTGTGGGCAGTGGAGGTCCAGCCCAAGTTGGCAGCTCTAGAAACCAAGTGGGCAAGAGACACTTGTGGGGAGTCGGAGGCAAGAACCTCATCAATCTCCTCACTGGTGTAGTTGGTGAAGTTCATCTGACCTTCCAACACCTCAGTTCTGAACCACTCGGCCTTGGTTTCGTTAGCACCGTCGTACGCATCCAAGAGGTTAATGGCGTACTCGGTGGAGGTGGTGATCCCGAGCAAGTTTTCTGGCCACCATTCGTAGTCACCGTTGTAACCAAGACCAAGACCACCACATTCGTGGTCAGAAGTAGAGACGACGATGGTCTCAGTGTCCAATTGAGAGACACGGTCAATGACGGCCTTGAAAGCGTCAGCATGGGCAACAGTATCATCGACAATGGCTCTTGGGTCATTGGCGTGACCAGCGTGGTCAATTCTGGCACCTTCCAACAACAAGACGAAACCAGTGGTGGAGTTCTCAGTAGCCTTGACAAGCTGGTCGATGGCCAAAAGGGACATTTCGGTCAAAGATGGGACTTCAGTGGCGTTTCTGTCCATCTCCATTGGCAAACTGTTAGCACCGAAAATGGCCAACAATGGCAATTGGGCCTCATCAGACTCATCGTCGTAGAGCTCATCGAAGGACTCTCTGTCACCGATGTAAGTCCAGCCATCATCTTGGGCCTTTTGGATGTAGTCAACACCATCAGATCTTTTACCCTTGGTTTGGTATTGAGTCGAGTTGACACCGTGCAAGTACTGTCTACCACCACCCATAACAATGTCCATGGTCTGGCCCAATGGATGGCCGTAACCCAACTGTTGCTCAGCGATCAGGTCGTAGTATCTTCTAGACAAGACGTGGGTGTTTGGCGTACAGATGGTGGCGTCTTGAACAAAGGTTGTTGAGACGATACCGGTACTGTAGTTGAGAAGCTTAGCACCTTCGTAGAAGGTACCTCTTGGGTTCCCTTCTGGGTCCACAGAGATCGCACCGTTGTAGGTCTTGACACCGTTAGCGATTGCAGAACCTGCTGCAGCGGAGTCGGTAATCAAGGTGGAGGAGGACTGAGTACGGACAGAACCAATCAAGTAGTTCTCCATCTCCAAGCTGGCCTGCTCATAGGTCAAGTTGTCCCTGGTCTCGATGAACTGACGGGCGGTGGTCATGGCGGAGAGACCCATACCATCGGAAACCATGAAGATGATGTTCTTCTTGGTGTTGTACTTGATTGGGATGGCCTCAATCAAAGCGGCAAAGATTAAGACGAGAACGGCTGTTGGGAGTCTCATTGTAGATAGTATGTGTGCTGTAGACCGATACTGTGAGGCGATAGACAATCTGTCTTTCCGAGAGAAGCCAGGTGAAGCAGCGGAAGTAAAGAATTGGATGGCCTTATATACTTTCAGCCACCAGGGATGTACAACTGAAAAAGATTAGCCCATGTATGCAAAAAAAGGGCTTCTTCTCAAAGCATAGCTACTGGAGACACAGTGAAGCATCTGTGGTCCCATGTGCCTGGAATTGGGCTCCTGAGAGATCGCCATATGTAAATGTGGTCGGGGAGGACTTCCCAGTCCGAGGCGAGGTGGAGGACCCAAGCACGACAAGCAATCAGAACGAGAGGCAGAGCAGCACAGCGGCCGTGGTACAGCCCACGAGGGCTCTACGCATCCAATTACTCCTATTCCAGAGCGGGTGTATACTGACCCGTGCAGTATACGCTACAATTCAAGCGTTGTGTAGCGATTGACCTAGGCTAAGGAGACGTTGATGTAGGGTCATGTATGTGGTTTCCGCCCCACCCATGTGTGTGTAGACGGAGCAAGCGATGGATGGTGAGACGACGGAGCTGATACACTGCTACGCTCGCAGGCATTGGGCACTCAATTGACCACGCAGCCGGCGTGGTGATGGAAGAGAGGCCCTCCACACCATCCAACTGCGTGTGTACACCTTGGACTCGTGCCCCTGGACTCCAATGAAGAGCGTATAGCCTAAGCAGCACACAGCTCGGACTTGATTCTTTTACCCTTGCAAGCGACTGCTCCGAGCGGACGCTTCTAGGCAGCCTCGTCAGAAGAAAGCCAAGAGAAATTGCTGGGCAACGGAGCCAAATCCATTCCAGGCACACTACACCGTTCAATTCCATCAACCACGTGTGCTGGTGAGAAGCCCATGTTGATCATTTGCCCCCAATATACCTTTGTTCTCGTTTTGCGTGATGAGACTTCAATGGCGAGCGTGGTTATAAAGGTGTCGCTGTCGCTGAACCCTTTGTAAATCTGTGTGGACCCTGCTTCAGCTGTTGTACGGGCCTGGAAAGGTCACGAGCCATGTGGCAATCAGCTCCAGATCCTTCCTTCCAGCACCGTGACAGCAGCACCTCACGTGCGCGCAGCCACACAACTGACGGGGTTGCCTGGGGAAGAGCCATCAGCTCGGGCACATGTGTTTACTACGCAATACACGTCCAGCAGAGCGGTGGACTGCATAGCGCTTGCCATTGTACATTGTGACGCGTGCGTGGATGTCCTTTGGAATTCCAAGACGTCGATAACTGATATAGCCTTGTGTCCCGGGCAGCTGGTTGGCGGAGCTGAGTACTTTGTATGCTTCGAAGGCCCCAGATATGGAAACGTTTCCCAAATGGGTAAATGGATGTTTTGCCCACGTTGTCTTGCCATCTCAACGCTTTACGACGTTGCCGCCTACGGACGACCTTAACGGTGTGAACATCGCAGTGCCCAGCGCATGAGTATACCACCACATCGCACGACATTGTGCCCATCTATGCACGGATAGAGCAGCTACCGCTCATATCCAGGTATGGTGCTCAGGGAGTGCGAGTGTTTATCAACAACGTGGGTCATCGTATAGCTGATTGGCGAAAAAGGGTGTGATTTTGGTTTCCGGCTTTTCGCCATAAGTGTAGGTTTAGTTTCAAGTGTCTTGTGTGGAAGACGTACATAGGCCGTTGGACATCGCCATGAGACACATGGTAGAAAAGACGGGCGCGCCCATTGCCGTCCAGGCCACATTGAGATAAGAGGTGGTAGACGTGTGAGTTACCACGTATAAAGAATGGCTCGGAGAGTCAAGCTGGGAAGACACACTTTTAGAAGCTTTACAGAGAGATACGTATCATTCATGATGTACAGTCAATAAGAATCAGGTAAAACACCACGCCAAAGACCCAAATAAAAACCCATACACGGAAACAGGCACGTCCATATCGCACGCTTAGCTGTAGCACGTAGCGATGGCATTTCAAGACTTCTTGCCGAGTATGAACGCCAAGGCAACAGCAGTCCCGGCAAACACAGCGATTCCACCAATCAGTAACTCATTGGTCAAGCCTGGAACGATTTGACCAGCTGTGCCGTCGTTGTTTCCATTGACCACAGGTTTGCCAGACTTGAGCTGTTTCTTCTGATGGTATTCATCCAAGTCAATGTGGTCATCTGGATGGTGGATGAAGATATCGGCTTTGTCCAATCTCAAGCCCTTGTTGATTAGCACACAGTCAATGAGGTCTTGGTCAGAAGTGATGGCAACGATGTCGCCCTCATCGTCTATGTAACTGATTGCAAAGGATTCATGGTTAAGTTCTTGCAGTTCAGGTTTCTTCAACTTGGCGATGATTGCATCTCTAAACACCTCAGTACCGTCGATAGGCTTCACGCTGATTCGATGGACTCTACCACTTGGTGATGTGAATTTGAATGTGAATGGTATCTCTTTGAAGTCCTGTTGTTGTAAAGCGTTAGAAGCACTTTGTGTTTCATTTGTCACACTGATGGAGTCCCCTGGTGCCAAATTGTCATGTACAAGGGAGAATTGGTTGATTTCAGACTGGCTGATGTCTGGAACCAAGTTGGAGCCACTATCAAGTTGAGAATTGGAGTGAACCGACTCGGTATCGTTGTCCAGCGAAGTCCAAAATTTATTCCAAGCTGGGCCTTCAGCGTTTGAGCTTTCTTCGTCATCTGCAGATTTCATCATTGAAATCTGCTCGAGAGTTGCATACGTCAACTTCAACACTTCCACAATACCAATGATCTCGTTGTGATCAACCACTGGTAAGTTCAAGTAGTGACCGTCAAACATCTTTCTCAATGCGGCCTGTATACTGAGCTCCTTTGGTGCAACATCCGGCTGTGCGGTCATAACCCTTATGACACTGACATTCTTTGGGTTGAGACCTGCAGCAATAACCCTGAGAACGACATCTTTCGAAGTGAAGATACCTGTGACGACTTCATTGGCATCTTTCACCAAGACAGCAGTGGTGTGGTTTTCCTTCATCAAAACCGCAGCGTCAAAAACTGACGTCTTGACGTTAACGTAGCATGGCAGAGTGTTTGAGTCCAACACTGATTCCAAAGTTGGACCTGACATTACAGATTTCAAGCTTTCAAAGTATTTCATCACATGCAGTGGTTGTTGTGATACACCAATTTCCATGTGGACACCTTCCAAGGCATCGTGTAATTTTTTAGAACTTTCGTACATTCTCTCCAGTTTCTCCATTGCCTCTTGGTAGCATTTGGTGATATCCAGAACACCAACAATGGAGTTATTGTCATCAATAACAGGTAGATGTCTAAATCCTCTCTGTACCATCAAGTTCAAAGCTTCCGAAGCCGGGGTATCCGCTTTAGCACACATTGGATTAGGCGTCATGATTTGCTCGATCGTGACACCACTGGCATTGACGCCTTTACCGACAACCCTAAATGCCAAATCCTTTGCAGTAAAGATACCCAAGAGTTGTTCTTCATCGTCGACAACAAGAATACAATTCTCACGTTTGGCACTCATCAGCTGTGCAGCTTCTGCTGCAGTGTACGTAGGTTTACACACAACTGCGTCAGAAGGTCTCAGAGACAGAACGGAACCCGGTGCTGAGCCATGTTTGGAACGTTTCTTGGAGCTTGATGTCTTTGTCAATCTCTTCTTGCTGAAGTCGTTCTCCAAGCGACGACGGATGGCCTCATCACGTTTAGATTGACGTTTACGCGATTCCGCCGGATCCACGGATTCGCTAACCAACGGCGTTGACGAAACGCTTGAAGAGATCGCAGATCCTGTCTTCTTCGGTGTCTTAAAAGTTGCCATTTATACTCAGCGTACTCAACTGTCAACAAACGATGGTTGGTGGGATTTGAAGAGTAACAAAAAGGCAGAATGAGAAAAAAAGTAGCACGATCTGGAAAGAAAAACAAACAAAGCTCAAAAGGGTAATTTTCCCAGTTTTTGAGAAAACAACAACAACAAGTAAAAAACGGGCGGTTCATCGTGGTGTCCGGATGTGTCTTTAATGTTTGGGGATGCGTCAGTTTTCCCTGCATTGTCATGGCTACCTGTGTTTACTTGCATAAGTGTTGAAGGGCAATATATACATCCATTGGCAGATCATAATGTGTGGTGCATTGACTTATGGTATCTGTCGATGCCCAAAGTAATATTTATATGCTACAGATCCTTTAGAAATGATACAGTGGCAATTATCGATCGTTGTTTCAAACTTTAGACTCAACAGTTGTACACGGCTGTGGTATATTTCTGGGGGGAAACAAGAACCCAGCTCCTTGTGTGGGGGGGGGGGGGGGCACAGACACCATTCACCATTGTTCATCACAGTACTTAAAGACTGATTGACAATTTATCAACATGGTTAGGAGTTAATACCCATTTGAAGGCTTGTGTTAAAACAAGGAGAATCCTGTGGTAATCTAACAAGCGTAATCGTTTTGGAGTGCTTCTGAAGGATGAGTCAAGGACTTAATCTTAGCCAATTGCCGCTAGTATAAACAGCAACATAGGCCTTGATGATTCCCCGTGCCCCCTAAACGTTCATCCGTCTCTTTAAAATATTCATCACTGCTGAAGGGATTAACTGTTGGAATTGACTTGTTCTGGTCTTAGTTAATCACCAACCCCGACAACTGTTGATCCGAAAGTAGCCATGAGATCAATCTTCAAACCTCTTGAATGGTCACACATTTAACATCGACACCGGAGACTGGAGACATACCTAAAGCATTTCGCCAGCTGTTCAGAAATGTATGATAACCTCTTGGTTAACTTTTAACGTTGCATGGTGTTGCAGATTCTAGTTGTCTTTGTCCCTTCAGGCGAATCCTTTGGACAATGTGTCACCATACAAACCTTTGGACAAATAGACATGTCTCTAATGTGTTATCTACAAGAAATACCACAATCAATTGTCGATTTTCTCCTTATTTGTTCTTCTACTTGGTGATTATTCTCTCTCAAATTCCAGTTATTCAGTTATAAATCTACTGAACTGAAGTGTAGAAGTAGCCAATACGATATGAAACTAATACCAGCGTTTGTCACGAACAGTTCACCAGTGGTCTGGCTTAACAATTTCACAAGGAAGGCAATTGCCAATATGCTTGCCACAGGGACGGTTCCAGAACACGTTGCGCTTATCATGGATGGTAACCGGCGGTACGCCAAAACAAATGGTTTACCAACTCAAGGCGGACATGAAGCAGGAAGCGCCACGCTATTGGAGATCGTTGATGTGTCGTTACAGTTGGGGATCAGACATCTCTCAATATACGCGTTCTCCATCGAAAACTTCAACAGAAGCAAGGAAGAAGTTGATCTGTTGTTCAGTTTACTCGTGGAGCGGTTGGACACATTCTTAGAGCACAGAGAAAGAGTTGATAAGGCACCGGCGGTAAGAATTAGAATTATTGGGAACAAGTCTTTGATTCCACCTCAAACATTGTACAGGTTGGAAAACATCGAAAAGATCACGCAGAATAACACGCAATTGGTATTGAACGTTTGCTTTGCTTATACATCAAGAGATGAAATATCGCATTCAGTGGGGGTATTGGTTGATAAATTCGTGAACCATGAGACCACACGGGTTGATATCGATGAAATCGCCATTTATAACAACTTTTATTTTGGCCCTGAAACACCACCCGTGAATTTGTTAATAAGAACCAGTGGACATACAAGGCTAAGTGACTTTCTCATGTGGCAAGTTTGTGAGGACTCACATATAGAGTTCTTGAATGTTTATTGGCCAAGCTTCACATCGTACCATTTCTATGCCATCTTGGTCAAGTATGGCTACTTCGAAAGCGCACAGCTAGCTGTTGACAAGTTGAATTCATATACAAGTTCCATGATCAGTTACGTTGAAGATGAACCAAGGAAACAGACTGAGCTTCACAGATTACCGCCACACCCACCGTTTGTTTCAGTCTTGGGGAAACGGTAAACTTTCCCTTCTGATTTGCATAAAACGTATGATTGCCATATTCCCGAGCTAATCCGACTTCTTCTTTATAATAACAGTATCTATAACCTTTTTAATCTCTATCTTATTCCGTTCTTTGCTCTTGGCCTCGTTAATCTTTCTGAAAAAGGCATTCAATACAACGACATCCGCCACCAAAGCCAACAATCCACCAAAAAAGCATATGAGCACTCTATAATGCAGCTTGAAAACAGTCGGATTATAAGATGTCCATGTCCAGAGCGCCCATACAACAGCGAATACCGTAACAAGGACATTTATAATATTGGTGATGTATGAGTTCACCTCTTTCCACACCTGAGCAGGAGATTTATACGTATCGTCTCCCTCCAATTTGGTCTTCCCGCGATTCACCATTTGTTGGTATTCATCCTCTTCCAATTTGAGACGTAGTTTGTCCAATTGAGCCTGGAACTCAGGGGAATAATTTCGTTTCTTTGGCTTTGAATCGAAATATGGTTCAAGTCCCTTCAACAATATTGATAGTGGTATGTGTCGAAGGTATTTCTTTTGGACGTAGAGTAAATCATTTGTTGTGATCCAGCCCCTCTCCTTGATAACGGACCCTTGAGGAATGGAGTCCAAATGCTCAACAAGCGGCTTAGGTATACAGAACTTCATCTTGAACTGGTGCACAGGGGAAACAACGGGCCTTCGAAAGTGGGTAATTAAACCAGACAGCGTTTTGTATACACTGGAAGGGGAAAGTACATCAGAACACCCTAACATCCAAACACCGCGACACCCAAACACCGTAACACCCAAACACCTCAGAAATCTGAACTCATACCCTCTTCCCAAAGCCGAAGCTCGGGAAAGCACAACACCCAATCACCGCGAAAAGAAATAATAATTCACGGTAGCGGCAACACTTTACGTGACACTTTGTGACGAAGGTTGCCGCAGTTTTTCCGCTGCAGTTCTAGAAACTTGGTATTTGATATAAGACCAAGCTGAGTTCCTATGTTCCCCTCTACATTTATAAGGACTGCTCACCCTTACCACACTACTCTCCTCTATTCAATTTCCCCCATATTCATAAAACAGTCATAGCACAATGTTCCCAACACTTAGAACAATCAAGGCACCAATCACGCAAACAAACAGACTGAACTTTGCACGTCTCCTATCCATAAAGGCATTGACTACTCCTAATGAGAACGCGCTCAAGTTCCAAGTTGATAGACAGATCCTTGACGATCCAAACTCTTCTTACCAGATCAACGTGCTTAACCAGGCACAAAGTCCGTTGGCAGCAAAGATCTTTGAATACTCCTCTGATGTTGATAACGTGCTCATTGGAAGCAACTTCATCACAGTGAACAAGAACGAATTTGCACACTGGAACCAGGTCAAGCCGGTGGTTGAATCAATTTTGGAGTCCCATCTGACTAAGAAGGAGCCAATCATTGATCTGAAACAAGTTGAAAGATTCCAAACGGGAGCATTGCCTGAGGATGCACGTGGATTCCTCACAGAGGAGGAGCAGGAGATCAGCGAGGAAGTTGCAGAGCTCATTGAAACAAGAATCAGACCTGCGATTCAAGAAGATGGTGGTGATATCGTATTCTTGAGATATCACGATGGTAAAGTATACGTTCAACTCCAGGGTGCATGTACGAGCTGCTCTTTAAGCGATGACACCCTAAAGGCTGGAATCCAAAGCATGTTGAGCCACTACGTTGAAGAAGTTGAGGAAGTGATCAACCTCGCAGAAGTCGAGTTCAACAAGTTTGAAGAGAGACTCAAAGCTCAAAGGGAGAACAGACATTAGATCTGATGAGGGATACCGACACACATAGATATGGTCATTGCATTTAATACTTCGGAGTTTGGCAGGGTGTACATCAATCCTTGCATTGGTTTCAATTCATTTATATCGTTAATAATTCATTCGGTTGGTTAATTACAGGTAATTGCTATTGTTATTCTTCCTTACCATCTTAATCCATTATCATGGCGCTTCAGCATCATTACTCTTGGTTTACCGTTTGTAGTCGCCTTCCCTTAGTCGTGTTCGTACCCGTTGATCCTCTTTGCTAACTTGACATCGATATCAGATACACCACCAATATCATGCGTAGTCAAAGTGATGCACACTTTGTTATATGTTGTGAGTATTGTTGGATGATGCCCCCATAGATGGCTACGCATTGCAACTCTGTTTAGAAATGACCAGGTCTTCTCAAAGTCTTTCAGTTCGAAGTCTTTTGTTATCGAGCCATCCTTCAAGGTCCACCCGGGCAGTTTGGTCAAATGCGTCTTTATGTCTGCCTGTGAAAGCCTCTGTGCGGCCTGTTTGGTGATCTTGTTGTACATTCCTTTCCACTTTGTTCCTTGTCAATGTTTTGATTTGGCGGAGGTGGGAGAAATTGAAAGGGAAAAAAACAAAACACCACAAAAACCCACAAACAAGAAACCCTTCAACAACAACAATAACAACAACAACCACTACAACTGCGGCGGCACACACAGCTGAGGAAGAAAGGCAACGGAAAAAGGATGTCACTAACCTCAGAAGAGCTGAACTATCTCATCTGGAGATACTTACAAGAAAGAGGGCTAGAGGTCTCGTCATTGGCGCTGTTGGATGAAACGTCTGTTTATGACTTTGATACTAAGTACGGTAAACAAGTGCCCATGGGCTCGTTGGTGAACTTGGTACAGAAGGGGATACTGTACTCGCTAACTGATCAGCTGATTGAGCCGAATGGTAGAGATAAAGGTGTTGTCAGTTTCAACAGCGACAAGATAAATCTGTTCAACGCTTTGGGTGTTGACATTGCGCTGAACGGTGTTGAGCCAAATAGAGAAAGAGTTGGAGAAAACGGTAACGGTAGCGGTAGCGGTAGCAGTGGTGGTGACGCCAACCGCGGTGGGAACAGCGTAAGTGACGGTAAGGATGTAAACATGGATAAGGACGGTGATAGGGAGAACTCACCAGGGTTCATCAAAATACTACAGAAGAAACTTGGATTCGGTGAACCAACGCTGTCGTTGTCAACAAATCCAAAGTCGTCGAGTGTGCTGGCGTATGGATTGACAGAGGCAAGGGCGAAGATTAAAGTGCTGTACCAAGGAGAGGAGAAGACGGTGCTTTTGAACCATCCATTAAAGACCTTTACAGATAGAAACATAAATTCTGGTGATGTCTGCTCATTGGCCTGGTCACCAAATGGCGATTTACTCATTACCGCAGTGGAAAGCGGTGAGTTGAGATTGTGGTCTGCTGATGGTAAGCTACGAAATGTTATGGTTCAACACCAGTCACCAGTGGTGCTTATAGAATGGAGTCCCGATGGCAGTTCAATATTGACCACAGACACAACTAACGTCTCTATTATTTGGGACTCACTGTCAGGTCATGTTAAACAGACCATTGATACTCTGAAGCCTGACACTACACTGACAACGCCTACAGGTCAGGACCAGATAGTTGCATTGGGTGTTGATTCCACGTGGATTGACGACTCAAAATTCATCATTCCTGGGTTCAACGGTTCTGCCTTGGTTTTCGAGCTGGGTCAACACTCACCAATTGGTACGCTAATTGGCCATTCCAAGGCAATATCTGTAATGAAGTTCAACTCAAACAATAAGTTGTTGTTAACCGCATCTGATGATCGTTCCATGAGAATATGGGATGGTGGCAATTTCAACAGTACACACGTGTTATTGGGACACTCACAACCTATAACGTTCGCAGACTGGCTGAATGATAAGTTGATCCTAAGTTGTTCTCTAGATGCCACTGTCAGGGTATGGGAAGCATTAACCGGCCAACAAATAACCATGGAATTCACCGATGGAGTACCGATATTGTTTGCGTCATTATCGCCTAATGGGGGTGAAAAATTGGCTATTGGAACTACAGAGAGTGTTGTTACGATTTATGACATTGTCATGGGAGATAGAAGTGTAAAGATCAACGCAGTGGCACAGTATCAACCAGACGTACCTGAAGGTGAGGACGAAAACTACATGACGAGTTTAGATTGGAGTATCACAGGAGATGTTGTCATTGCCGGTTATTCAAAGGCTGAAAGTGTGATAATTGGTGTATAACCTGTACATATGTGTGTGCTTCGTTGTTCTTTTGTATTATAAACAATGATGAATCATCATTATCACGGAGCAGGAGTTGGTGTTGCACTTGTAGTACCTTGTCGTTGTTGTTGTTGTTGTTGTTGTTGTTGAGCAGGGTCGATCTTCCTCTTCTTTTTTCTGTTACCCAGCACTGCTGGTTTACGTCTTAGCTTGTTGATGACATGATGATCAAAATCTGAATCACAAGCTGGACATTTCTCATCCTTTGGTATTTCACTTAGAATGCAAAGACATACAGAGCAGACAAACCCAATGTCGACAACTTTCCCAGTCTGGAAGCATGATGCTCTAAAGTCGATGTCCCTTGTTGTCGGTTTGATGACGATGTTTCGCAATGAAGGGTCGATGAAGAAAGCGGTGGCAAAATACTGCACCAAACCATCTAAGTTGTCAATGTTTAGATAAACACCGTTCGTAGCGTCTGCAGCTTGTTGCAAGAACGTTGCCTGTGAAGATAGTTGACACACGTTGATAGGGATCTTCATCTTTTGAGCAGCAAATATACAGTTCATTATTGGAATGTACTTCAAGTGTTCATCAGGCGAAGTGTTCACAATCAGTATACGAGATTTCACCAGCGAATCCTTCTGCTGCACCTTGTTTATGTATGAAAGTGCCAATGACAAAGAGCTCGAAAGCATGTTCTTTGGAGGCTTCGTGGAGGGGATTGACGATAGCAGAGAGTCAAGGTTCTGTATAAAAGTGTCGTCGACGAGCTTGAACTGTCTGTACATCTGGGACTTGATGAAAGATCTACCATTTGAAGAACGCGCCTCTGAAGCCGGAGTGGCGGACCGAGAAACGGAATCTGGAGATTGCTCCTTTTCAGTAGAATGCTGTTGTTGGCCTTGACCGTGGTGTTGATGTTGATGCTGATGTTGGCGATGATGTTCGTCGTCTGACGTTGTTGGGAAGATCACTTTTGCCCCATCAGTATGTGATGCAATGACAACCACGGTATTTGCACTGTTCAAAGCGAGGTGGGAGTTAATGGCGATCAGCAAAGATCGTAGGACCCTCTTTAGAGCATCCTTCTCACCCAATTGCTCCCATTGAACAGGGTTGGTGTCTAGTATCACAGCCAGAAGAGAGGGTGATTCCACTGTGAAGGTTAGTACGCAGATGGAGACACGAAACGAACAAATAGGCACGTACCACTCGACGACTTTGAGACTTTCTCAGTGGTGAACGCTTTATCAGCAATGGCGTCCATTTCCCTATTGTTCCTGAGGTTGTTCTGTCTGGAGTGCTCCCTGTGATGGGGGAGCTCTGTAAGGAGTAAAGTGAAAAATTTCCCCGATAGTGGTAGAATCAAGCAAACAAGGCCATCATCAAGCTACAACACCACTGAATAGAAGGAAGATAATGACAAAGAGAAGGAAATCCAGCCAGAAAACACAGAGTAAGAAGTCAAGGACAGAGCAAGACGGGGCTCCTCGCCAATTGGACCCTGTTTTTGGACAGTACAGGGCTCTTCCTGTATCGCTAGAGGTGCTGGACAGGGTCACCGAGGACAGCATACCTACCAATGCAGAGGAGTATCTGGCCATTGTAAGGTGAGTGGGTCATTGTGCCCTTTGAGTACTACAGACTAACAGTTGAGGAACCAACCTCGTATAGGAAGCAGGCTGAGAACAGCTCATCTGTGATGTTTGTGCCGAGGAGTACGCCTGATGAGTCTACAGAGGCCCAAAGGGAGCTCGTCACGGAACAGCAGAACGACGTGGACTCGTTCCATTCAGCAGTTGTTGAAGAGTTTAGACTACAGAGGGATCAGCTGCCAGAAGCTGGAACACTCGACATCCCTTCCGGGTTCATATTCCCATTGACATTCACATCGTGGAGACAGTACATGATGACGCACGATCCCACTGTGGAATTGGTCTCGAACATGGACCACGAGCTCACGATAAAGCTGCTGATATACTCAACCAAGTGGCTATCACCACGGATCCCACAGAGGCTGTCACAATGGATGTACGCCATAATGACCAGGGTATCTGAGCCCTTGGAGGCCTCTGACGTCAGTGTTCTGCGAGATTTGGCGAAGAGGGCGAAGACACTCTCCAACAGGGACCAATTGGACGACACCACGCTGTTCACGCTTCAATTCGTCATCACCATCGTCGGTGCAGTGTTTGGACAGCGTGATCTGCTGAGCTGAAGAGGCCTCATCTTCACGCTGTTCTTCGCTCTCTTCCACCTTCTGTTTGCGGAATGGATTCTGTGGAGGGAGTCCCGCGCTACGTCATACCGTTTTGGGACTTGTATCTACACGCATATAAATAGTGAGCCCATCGCAACATTTCGTTATCTTCAACCGTGTAGTTGCCATCAATTGGCCCATCAATCGAGGAAGACACAATGGGCAAAGTCGTTGTTTTAGGGTGAGTTCGGTGGCGTGTGTGGATGATGTTCCATGGTGACTAATAGGGTGTTCAGAGCTGGTGTATCAGGGCTGACATGCGCGTTGTACCTTCAAGATGAAGGACACAGTGTGACGATTATTGGCAGACACATTCCTGGGGATTTGGATATCAGATACACTTCTCCATATGCTGGTGCCAATTGGCACTCGTTTGCCAGCGCGGATGATAAGGTCACACAGGATATTGACATTGTTGGGTATAACAAGTTCCTGGAGCTGGCCAGCGAGCCTGGCGCAGGGGTTCACATAGTTCCAAGCGTCAACTTTGTGAGAAAGGATGGCTTACATGAGGGTAAGGTGAAGATCCCGTGGTTTGCCAGTAGAGTGCAGAACTTCCACCTGTTGAGCAAAGACGAGTATCCACAGATTGAGGACTTTGTTGGTGGCTGGGGCATGGACTCAGTGACCATCTCAACGACGATATACCTGAACTATTTATTGCAGAAATTTCTGAACAAAGGTGGCGTGTTGAAACGTGTGGAGGTAAAGCACGTCAATGAGGCCTTCAACCACCATCAGTCCGGTGAAAAGGCAGATTTGGTTATCAACTGTACCGGGTTATCTGCACGGTTCCTCGGGGGAGTTGAAGATGAGAAGTGCTTCCCAATCCGTGGGCAGGTTCTCTGGGCAAGAAACAATGCCACCAGACAAGTTTCTGTGAAGATCAAGGGAAACTACGAGGGCGAGTCTCTATACATGTTCCCGAGAAAGGAAGGAGGATGTATCATTGGAGGCACGTTCCTTAAGAATCAATGGGGCTCGAAACCAGACCCTGAGCTGACCAAGCGTATGGTTGCCCGTGCTGAGAAGTACATCCCTGAGTTGATTGATCCCAAACTGGGCAATCCAAGCCACATTGAGGTGTTTGGAGAGAACGTTGGTCTCAGACCAGCAAGAGAAGGTGGTGTTCGTGTTGAAAGAGAAGGTAACATCATTCATAACTACGGTGTCGGCCCTGCAGGTTACCAATCGTCCTTTGGCATAGCTGAGAAAGTGATTCAGCTATCAAAGGAGTTCTTTAGATCCTCTAAACTGTGATAACTGGGCATGATATCAGTATTCACACAACTCGCCATGTGTATCCGGGTAAATAAAAATTGGCAATACACGGATAAATGAACCTAAACCGGTCTCCCGGGCAACTTGACAACCCCCGGAAAAAGTTCTAGAACGCTAAAGAAGAAAACATAAAATTTCACAGGCTCATCGCAACTATAAAAACACACACACAGCACACAACACAGCTGTGAAAGGAAGACATCAACACGGTTCAATCGCACGGGAAACACACAGATCATGGATAAAATACTGAACTGGTCATTAGCGCAACAGGACCCTGAGACTGCTGGGAAGGTGCCAGCTCCTGATTCCAAGCTTCTTGCGAAGCTGTTTGGAGCCGCTGACGATCCACAGCTGATGAAGGAGGCCATTGCAGTGGTTCAATCCGAGGAGGCGGAGTTGGAGACCAAGCTGACGGCGTTGGAGAACTTCGAGATGCTCATTGAGAACCTGGACAACGCCAACAACATTGAGAACATGAAGATGTGGGATGCGATCATAGATCTGCTCTCGCTGGAGAAGGAACTGGAGTTACAGCAGTTGGCATGCTCCATTGTGGGAACAGCTGTACAGAACAACGACAAGTCGCAAGCAGATTTCACCAAGTATCCACAGGGTGTACCGAGTCTGATTGCGCTTGCGCACAAGAAGGAGTCGAGACTGAAGAGTCTCTATGCTCTTTCCAGTCTGATCAGAAACAATACAAAGGCTTATGAGTCCTTTGACGAGCACAAAGGATGGGAGTTGATTGGGCCTATACTCTCGGATGATGAGACTGACAATAAGACGAAGTTGAGATCTTTGAGTCTGTTAAGCTCGATCCTGAGCTCAGGGAAACAAGAGGACGTTTGGGATCACATTAGACAATACGATATTGTGATCAAGTTGGCATCGTTGATATCAAAGGAGAATGACATTTCACTCGTTGACAAGGCTATCAACATTATAGTGGAATTGATCAGGGCTGGCTTCAAATTCACGGACAGTGATCGTAAAGTAATAACGGAGAAAGTTGGCTTCATCGAGACAGAGTTGATGGATGTGGTTAACTTGGATGACGTGCAGATCTTGAGGCAAGTAACTCTTTGAATTTACAGCTGGAAACAGGCTTACTAATAATATGTGCGTGTGTCTTTATAGATCCTTTTATAAGCTGGAGCTCATAAAGAACAGGAAAAGCCATTCTAAATAAATCATATGCTGTTCCAATTAGTCCATATGTAGCAATTCTTTATCGTCGTGAGACTTGAAGAGTTTTATAATTGTGGATTCGATGTTGGTGTTCATCACTGCTCGACCATCATCACCATAGGGTAACCTGCCATTGCACTGCTGTACAGTCTGATATAGAGAAGACAACGAGGGAAAGTTATTGGTGATTCTCTTTGCTCTCGGTTCAGTGACAAACTTCAACTCCAGGAGCATTTTGAAATACGTATCTCGAATATCTTTTCCAGACTTGATATTACCAACGTTGGCAAACTCTGGGTGACGAACTAGCTTATCGTAGCGGGCTTGTGCGATTGCGTAGGTGAAGGACTGTAACCAAACAGTGGTTTCGTGAACATTCTTTGTTGTGAAGATTCTAAACCCATAGACTTTCAGCTGTGCCAACGTGGTCTCCAATTCCTCAAGGTTCAGTTGTTCTTCCAGTGTTTGCTTCTTCTTCCTTCTTTTATTGGGTTCTTCAACAGAGCTACCTCGTATTCGCTCAGTGTACCTTCTATTCTCAGCGTTTTTGACCTTTTGAACCAACTGATCCCATCCTATTAACATGATAACAATGGTGCTAAATCTCGGATTATCCTTCTTGAACCGATTCAGCTTGTTCAATATCGTCTCCATTGACATTATCGTGACAAAGTCCTTGGCATCATAAACAAGACAGCACTTGTCTTCCTCAATTACCCTAGGAGATGTCGGCATAAACGAATCAGTGACCTGGTCATACTCAGCGTTGACTTTTCTTTGCCACGTAATGAATGGATCTGCTTTATGGTATTCACGGATTTCAATTCCAAAGAGAATCTCCTCGCACTGCTTACTCTTGATCAAAGATAGCACTGAGTCGGGAATGCTTATAACCATTTCTGATAAAAGATCTTCTTTCTTCCTCGTGACTGTATTGGCGTCTTTCCAACGCCGCAGTTCTTCCTTCTCCAGCCTCTTCTCCGCTGATGTTTTCTTACCAGAGGTGTTTCTCGTAGTAGCATTGTTGGTTGAACTGCTAGATACTGTTGTCGTTGTACTGTGCTGATTATCGGATGTTGAAGCATGAAGTACTTTGTTCTTCGAGGAGCTAAAAGAGCTCGGTGCCTTTTCATCAAAGTCTGGTGATGACGTGAAGTCAATAGTTTCATCTTCCTCTTGTACGACATCCATTGTTACTTCATGGTCCCTTTCTTGCTGTTCGATAGATCTAGCGAATTGTTCATCCAGTCGCTCTCTTTCTCTTTGCTTTCTGAGATGGTCATGCTTCTCCCTGGTTGTTGAGGCATTCTTTATCAGCTTCTTCAAGAATGGATTGGCATGTCCAACAGAGGTCGTTATAAGTCGTTTGTCGAACTCGTAGTTCTCAGGAAGTTGTTTTGGTGCCTTGTGGGACACAGCCACGAGGCTTTCTTCATCATCGCTTGATGATGAACTTGATAGTATAACGTCGTGCCGTACGATCGACGGTGTATCCTCATCATCGCCAGTTTCATCGACATCTTTACTTTTGTTTCCTTTGGAGTACGACGGCGACTTCATTGCCACTGGAATGATGCTCGACAGAGATGAGTCCTCATCCTCATCAAACGGAACAAATAGGGATGGCTGAATAGGTTTGGCACGTGTAGACTTATTCGCATCATCGTCTAGTAGATTGAAGCCGTCATCCTTAGCTGAGATGACACTGTTCGATGGTTTGTGTGCTTGTTTGGACAATGGGGCTGGAATACCTGGACTATCGACACCAATGTCTTCATAAGAATGAGAAACGTGCTTCCTATATGAATCAACCTTTGGCGGTGTAGAGATCAACGGTTTGTCCGTTTGCACAAGGTTTGAAACAGTTGAAACACGTCGTGACATCACAGATGATTCACCTACATCGTCATCACTATCGCTGATATCGTCACAGAAGGACTTGAGAACCCTGTCAGCCCTCAGCTTTCGCAACATGGTATCATCCTTGTGATGCGACACCTTCGGGCTGGACTCAATAGTTATAGCATCGTACGAAATCTGGCGTATATCGGCCGTCGTGGGCTCTGCTGGAGCTGAAGACTTGGGCAACGGGGACACCGCGTGCAACCCACCAACGTTGCGGTCCTCTATGCCATTCTGTTGCGTAGACGTCACTGGCTCCTCGGAAAGGCTATGGTGCAATGTTAGACAAGTCCTCTGGAAACATGAAGCTCTAAACCATACATCTCAACAACATCGCCATCGGAATCTGAGATCAGAACCACTGAAGCATCCATCGTTGGTCCACACAGGGATTCCGGTACTGAACCGCGTGAGTGTGACGATGAAGCCATCAAAACATTGGCGTGGAAAAACACATCAACAGGCATAAAACACGGAAAACACATACAAACAAACAAACAAACAAACAAAAAAACGAATATATACTGGCAAAGCTCGAAGATCAAGACATCAAAATCAACACGGAAACACACTACATAAGCATATTCATCCAATTGATGTGTACGATCACTGTTACGACGTAGGCAACGCTGTGAGGCAGAAGTGCTCAGCATTGATGAGCTGAGATGCCGAACATGTAAAAAAAAGAGAATGCGATAATTGACAACCGCGAGGTTCGAACTCGCGCCTCCGAAGAGACCAGGACCTTAACCTGGCGCCTTAGACCACTCGGCCAGGTTGCCAAATTCACGGAAG